TCTAAGATAAGGGTGCATGTCGTCCTTGAGTTTTTCATGTTTCAGGTTTATGAGATGTGCATGTTGGGCATGTGGCTTCCTCATGTGAGCTTGTGTTTTCGTTTGTACGCCTTGAGGAGTTCCTTAGCATGGGAAAGTTCCTTTTCCTTTTTCCATTCTGCTTCGGAGAGAGGGTATCCTTTCCATGATACTAAGAATTGTCGTTGGTTCCTCACGACTCGATGTTTGAGGATTTTGTCAATTTCATATTCTTCTTCTCCATCAATTAATTCGGGAGAAGGGAGTGTGTAATTGGGTCCGTGTGTTTCTGTTTCGACATATGGGGAAAGTAGAGTTGCATGGAAAACGTCGTGGATCCTCCAAGTCGGGGGAAGGTTGAGGCGGAACGTGTTTGGTCCAAGGACTTCTGTGATTTCGAAGGGACCTTCTCGTTTTGTTGTCATTTTCTTGGAGTATGGGAGCTTGATATTTTTGGCTTCCAACCACACTCGATGACCTTTGCGGAAAGGTCTTGGTGTCCCCTTGATTCGTTGGGCCATTCTTGATCTGGCGAGCTCGTGTGCTGCCACGGCTTCTCTTCTATCTTCTTCCAGGGCTCTGAGTCGTTCTTCCACTGATGGGAATTGAGTTTTGGAGAACGTCGTTGGTAAGGCCCTTGGGTTGGAACCCCATGATGAGTTCGAATGGAGAGTGTTTTCGATCTGCATGCCTTCGGTTGTTGTACGTGAATTCAGCGAGGGCTAGTTTGTCTGCCCACGATTCTTGGTTTGTGATGCAGTAGATCGATAAGTATGTCTCCAATTCTTGATGTACTCGTTCAATGGCTCCTTGTGTTGTGTGGATGGTAAGCCGTGGATAGTGACGAGTCTATTCCAATGAGACGGAACAGCTCTCTGAGGGCTTTGGCTGCGAATTGGGGACCTCTATCAGAACCGATTTTGTCCGGTAATCCGAAGCGTTTGAAGAGATTTTCCATAAGAAGTTTTGCGATATCGTCAGCAGTTGCTGTCTTCTTTGTTGGAATGAAGATCACCCCCTTACTGAGGCCGTGGTCCACCACGGTCAGGACCGAATCGTATCCGTTCGATTCCGGAAGATCCGTGATCATGTCAATGACGACATAACCAAATGGCCGATCATTTCCTTCTATGGGCATGAGGGAGATCTTATGGGGATTCCTCTTGATTTTGAACTGCTGACATTTCGCACATCCCTGGATATATGATTTGATGAACATCTTCATTCCGGGCCAGTAATAATGATTTTTGATGGCATGGAATGTTTCCAACTCTCCAGGGTGTCCCGCAGTTTCAGCGTCGTGATATCGTTGGACAATCTCTCTTCGGATGTTATTGTTCTTCGGAATATATTGTCGGTTCTTGTAGAAGAGTGTAGTTTTTCCATCTTCGGTAATGACCGTCCAATCGTGGAGTCCTTGTTTCATTTCGTTTGATCCGCCTTCGACTAGGGTTTTCATGGCCTCAATCGCGGTTTGATCCATTCCGTGTGGACTGATCAATTCGTTTTTGGAGTTCAAGGTCAATCAAACCTATGGAGGTATCCATGTCGAGTTCATCGATAAATAACTGTTCCTTCAATAAAATAGTTGGTAGGTCATTTTCGTCTTTTTCCGGAATATGATCGGGTCTTCGAGAAAGAGCGTCAGCTTGAATCATCTTGTCGCCGGGCATATTTTCGAGATTATAATAGTATTCGGACAGTATCAGGGACCACCGGGCTTGTCGATCGTTGAGTTTTTGTGGTTGCCTGAAATAGGTTAAATTTTTGTGGTCGGAAAGGATGTGGGTGGCGAATTCTGATCCTTGGAGATAGTGTCTCCATTCTTGCAGGGATCGTACTATTGCAAGGAGTTCGCGATCATAGATCTCATATCGGCGTTCGGTGGGAGTGAAGGTTTTTGATAGGAAGGCTACCGGATGCCTTTTGCCATTCTCGTCTTCTTGGGTGAGGACAGCTCCATACGCGTACTTGGAGGCGTCACATTCAATCTGGAATGGTCTAGACATATCCGGCATTCTGAGGACGGGTTCTTCGATGAATCGTTGCTTCAGGGTTTTGAATGCGTTATCACATTCCTCAGTCCAAATGAACTCTTTTTCTTTGGTTAGGAGTTCGTTTAGGGGTCTGGCGATCTCGGAGTACTTCATGATGAACTTTCGGTAAAAGTTTCCGAATCCCAAGAAGGATCGTACTTGCTTCACCGTGTGGGGGGTGGGCCATTCGGCCATCCCTTTGACCTTTTCTGGGTCCATCATGATTTTGTCGTGTTCTATGATCATGCCGAGGTATTCGATTCGTGTCTGAGCGAATTGACACTTTTCGACTTTGAGGAATAGGTCGTTGTCACTGTGTTCTTGAGAACGATTTTAGTCATGTGTTCCAGTTCTTTCGATGGTGTTTGCAGGGATGAGTATGTCATCCATGTAGATGATCACAAGTCTCCCATCGATTTCAACGATGAAGATGTGGTCCATCATCCTTTGGAACGTTGCGGGTGAGTTACAGAGTCCGAAGAACATGACTAGTGCTTCGAAGAGCCCTTTCTTGGTTTTGAATGCAGTCTTCCATTCGTCCCCTTCCTTGATGCGCACATTGTTGTATCCCCACCGGACATCGAGTTTGGTGAAGTAACGTTTTCCTTTCACCCGGTCCATGATGTCGGATATTAGAGATAGTGGGTAGGCGTCTTTCACCGTCCATTCGTTGAGATATCTGTAGTCTTGGCATGGGCGCTTCTTTCCGTCTTTCTTTGGCACGAAGAACATGGGTGATGCCATTGGTGATTTTGAGTGACGGATATATCCCTTTGCCAAGTTTTCATCAAGGAATTTTGTGAGTTCTTCTTCCTCGGCCGGCGTGAGATTGTAAATGGGAAACGATTTGGGTTTGAAGCCTTCCTTGAGATTGATCGCGTGATCCCACTCTTTCCTTTCTGGGAAACGATTTGATGCTTTTTCAGAAAAGACACTTAAGAATTCGTGAAAGGCATGGGGAATTTTGAGTTTGAGATCCTCTTCAAGAGGTGGTTCATAGTCGGTGTCTTTTTCTTCAGTGCTGGTCGCGTTGAGCCATTTCTCGTTGATTTCTTTCGTGGCTTTTCCTTCGATGAAGGCGAGGAGAAGGTCTTGATCATCTTGCTCCATGGTCGGAGATATCGTGCTTCTCCATTTGACCTCTCCTCGTTTCCAGTTGATATCGGGGTTTTCGTTCTGTAACCACGGCATCCCGAAGATAAAATCCCACTTTCCTAAACCTGTGACATAGATAGTATATTTTTGTAGTCGTCCATTGATGTTGATGATGGGTTCAATCGTTTGTGAGATGGTTCCCTGTTTGTTTGCGGTTCCATCTACGTTTCGGACTTTGATGGGGTTTTTAAGTGTTTTTGTAGGGATTTTATATTTGTCAACCATCCGGTGGTGGATAAATAGGTCATCCGCTCCGCTGTCGATTAGGACCGTTGTGTCGATGCCACTATCGGGTATTTCAATTGGTAGAACGATCGATCGTTTGTTTCGGGTGGTGATCGTCGCCGTTCCAATTGACAGTTCGGGGACGATCTCCATCGACCTTAAGATGTCCCCTATGAAAAATCCTCCTCGGATCCTTCGCCCTTTGTTGTGGCTCGAATGTTTGAGCTTCCCGAGTCAGGGTGTTTGGGGCAAGCTCGTGTTGTATGTCCTAGTTGTCGGCATATTCCGCATTTGGCTTTTGGACAGGCTCGCGCCGGGTGTCCCTTTTCCTTGCAGATGAAGCATTTCCCATTTTGTGTGCCGGATGACTGCTTTGTTTGGATGGCGTCTACATCCATGGCATCAGGGTCTTTCTCCTCTCGTTTCGCTGTTTGTGGGGCGTCCCTGTAGACCACCTTGACCTTCTGTTGGGGCTCACTGCGATATTCCCGTTCTGTTCGCCACTCTCTATCCACTTCCATGGCTGCGTCTTTCCACTCTTGGAGAGTGGGTGGAACTTTCTTCTGTTCCGCGGGTCTGGCAGCGAATTGGGTGGCGACCCTTAGTCGGAGTTCGGGGTTTAATCCAGCCTTGTATTGATCCAGGGCCCATTCGTCACCGTATCCGGTAGCTTCTGCATAGACTGTTGAACATTCCTGTGTACCAATCACAGGTGTTCTTTCCCATGTGAAGCTGCTTGAGTTGCTTCTTTGCGGTTTCCTTGTTTGGGAGTAGGCAGAAATATTTTCGGAACTGATTGACGAAATCTTCCCATGACTGGTAGTACCCTTCCGGATCAGTGAAGGTCGGATCCGTCTTCTGAGCCTCCTTCGCCTCAAGCCACTTTTTCTTGTATTCGGTCATCTTTCTATATTCAATGGACGCCCAGTTCCGGGTTTTTGTCTTTCTCCGTTTCATTCACAAGTGCGACCATGTATCGAATTCTTGCAGTGGCTTCATATTCGTTTTTACTATCCAAATATGTTTCCACTGCTTGAATGAAGGTTTCGACGTCTTCTGCTTTTCCTGAGAATTTGGGTGGTTTGGGGATATCCAACTTGGGTTTGGATTCTTCCCTTGCCTTCCGGGCTTTCTCCAGAGTAAGGAAGTCGTCGTATTTCTTCAACATTTCTTCCAAGCCAGTTGCCATCTTTGCAGTGCCTCCGCTAATTCCTTCTACATGTGGAGCAGTTTCCCGTGAGGGTCTCGCTGATTGTGATGATGGCTTTGTTGGCTAGTCCCCAGATCTGATATAGGATTGCTCCTACTCCTATCAAGAAGACTATGGTATGGACTTCGGATAGTTTTTCCGAAAGTCCGCTGGCTAGGGCGGGTGTGGATGGTAATCCGGAGAGTTGTACGATGGTCTGCCAGAGCAGACTGAAATATTTTGTTCGGCCATAGCTAGTCGTTATAGCGGGCCATTGGAGGTTTGAGACTTCGTTCTTCTGTTATGGACTATACGTGAATACAAGCACGTGTCGTCCAGTACTTCAGCGACTTTGTGGTCGATGAATCAACTCGTGACTACGTCAAGAGTTCTTCGCCTGTAGCTTTGTGAACTTCGAGCTAGACTTTGAGTGATAATTAAAGATATTTGTATTTGCACTGAGACTTGGTATAGCTTTGTGAACAATTAAGAACGAAGTGAAGAAACTAGCTAAGAGAACTAGAGAGTTTATATACTAGAAGACGTGTGTTAGCCATGAGGCGTAGTCCTCATGGGTAACATGCGTATTCCGTGGAATGTATGTAGGTTTCAATGAGTTTTTAATAAGTATCAGTCAGCAATCAGTAATGCGCAGTAAATATGAGTAAGACTATGAGCTGAAATGAAAAACATAAGGTAGAGATGAGGCAGGTATAGTAATACAGCATAGTAAGCATATATGTTCGTAACAGCTGAGGTGGATGTGTGCAGCTTGGAACTCCTCGAACCTCGAAGTCGCAATGCCAGACGAGTTGAGGGGAGGTCGCGAGTTCAAGCAATGAACGGCTCTCGAACTTTGCTGACTTGCTGATCTGGCGCCTAGTTATAAAGAGCTCAATTCAGGATTTACCGACACATTGACGGAACACTCACCATTCCTTCCGAACCTGTAGTCGATCGCATTCTCCAGAGTGTTTCATCGAGATGGCTATCGACGATGACACCTGTAGAGCAAGGGAAATGGCAAGGGCCAAAGTCCATTGCAAAGACAACGATGGGAGAGCCATGGTTGGAGACACTCGGGGTGCTGGAACCAGCTGTTCTGAGACCTATATGCGGTTTGTAAACCTACATCTTCCGATAACAACGGTTCCACAAGGTCGGTTGGGAGAATTAGCGTTGGATTGGGGCTGCTTTTACGTACGGCTAGCCATCAAGGTTTCCGGTAAATGGGTGCGCACGCAGGCTGATGAAGGTGCACTTTGTCGCAGGACTTTGCGCCATGCATTGACTGAACTTTGTGGTCCTGGTTTATAAGGTACCAGACTCCAGCGTGCGTGAACGGTAAGCACGAAACGAATAGACTGGGACTCACCCAGAGACGCTTTCAAGTTGCCTTTCCCCGACCCTCGTGGACATGGTCTGACGCCTAGCGGGGAAATGAGCGATATGGAACAGCGAGGATCTTAAGCAACATATTCGGGATCGGGGCTCCATCGACCAAGAGATGTCTGTCACTTACCTATATGAGCGCAGCGATGCGCGTTACGTGCGTGTGAGCTGGATATCCGAGTGCCATCGATGGCGGAAGACCCAGCTCACGGCACGCGGAATTAAGTCTGCCTCCAATATTGAATCTTAGAAGCCTCTGGCGAAAACTGTTAACCATAGAAAGCAGAGGTGACTCAATGAATGATGTAAACGAGTCACCGTTTGATTGGACGCACAGATGTATGTGGAAGGAAGCGACAGCTTCTCAAGCTTCCAGTGGCTCGCCGGAGATTTGGAGGACCCAAAGAGCTAAATTGGCCGGAATAGGGTGATTGAGAGGAAGAGCACAAGTCCGGTCCCGTCGGTTTTGCCAACCTCAGCCATATGTAGCAGAGTCGTTGTCAATTCTGTCTGATTTCATGATATCGCAATCCGCGGCGCATGTTGGAACGAAGACAAAGCCAGCTCAGGGAAGGATGGCGTTGGGATGGCGAAGGAATGGTGGCCTCGCTGATCAACCGTGAATCGCCCAAGTCGGATCAACCCGCCAACAGCGCCCCTGGGTGATGCACGCGATCCGATCCACGACGGGCGCTTAAAATCTGCCATCAAACACTGCATGGAGCTCGACTAATGTGGGCTCTCTGGGTGCTCGGGTGCTAGGATGAGGATATCACAATTCTGACCTGCCCTGTCAAAGGCCTTAGACTTTTCGACAAACTTTAAACAATTGCACTGATCGAACAACAGAAAGCTAACACGTTCGACATTACTCAAACCGTTTCAAATCAGTTTCCATCATTGCGGCACTATACAAGGTTGGCGAAGTCTCGTGAGGCGCTGAAGAGAAAGGTGCATAGAGATAGCGACTTACGCAGACAGAGATGACATCGTTTCCGCATCGACCAGAGTTGGGGTCAGGTCGGCAGTTGTAACTGAGGGCCCAAAGTGTGAGAGCAATGCGAGAGAGAAGTGGAGATGCAGGACGCACATTAAACCGGTGAACGAATTGGTGTAGCGATTGAAAAGAATGGGAGGAGGGGTACACCCGAAGGTACCGCTGGTGCACGGATTCTGGTTGGTGGTCAATCCGTCGACGACGTCGCAGTTCGAATTGTAGACGTTCCCTGTGACATTGCAGGCGGTGTCAACGATCGTGGATTAAGTGCAGTGCAAAAGCTTAATGATGAAACATACATCGGTTAACACCGTTTCCCAACGGGATGACGTTCCCGACTCCAAAATTGAAGCCAGGGCAGATGGCAATGGCCGACGAGATCATTGGGAGCAAGACAGCGAGTTGGGCCTTAAGCATCATGTCGAGTTCTTGGGTTGCGAGTAGTCGAGGAAAGTGAGATGTCAAAGGAAATCTCTCTGTGGTTTGGAATACAGAGTTGCTACCCTTATATACTAATCCCTGCGACCATCAGACGCCCCCGATGATGGCCGTGCTTGTGCGCACTGCAACCTCAAATACAGCCTGCAACAGCATTAGGTACTATTTTTGGCACGGGCGGCAAACGCTACACCAGGTAATGTCCCAATGACCATGTTTCGGCGCCCGTGCTAAAGAAAATAGCGCGTCGTTGGAGCTTTACGGGCACTCGGGGGTTTCATGTTCACCGTTCACACCGGACCCATTTACAAAGAACCTCCATGTAGGACCATGTTGCAGCGCGGTTCTATAAATATAGAATGCATCAGAATGTATGGAGTGGAAAGACGACTCGTGCAAGGACAAATGGATTCTCGGATAGGTAATTCATACGAATGGAACGGGTGTTGGAGGAACGAAAAGAGCGAACTTGTCACTCGGTCAATTCCAATTAGCGAGACATGAAGTCGCTTCTAACTATATGGTTGAGCTGATGGCTTTATTAGGTCTGTTCTCTAAGTATGTTGCTGATTTATTCCTAAAGAAACAGCTTATCCCGACCAAGCAGGTGATGGGTCAACTTATCAGTTCTATCCGCTGATAAGTGCACTCCGATGGGCACTCATATGTGATAAATGATATGCAGTATGAGCATCAGTCAGCGCGAACCTATGAATATCACGGGGTGGGGTCTAGCGAGTTGAAACAAGGCCACAGTCGCTTCTACTCCAAGAATAAGCTGGTGACTCCGTTCAGACCACAGTTCGTCTCTTACTCGGATGGGACTGCACTATGTATACGTTCTCCGGTGTTTCGGATTCCAGCCAGTGGCTCGCCTAAGCACCAGGCTTCCTTCCGGTTACTCCTAGCTCATGGCCTATCCAGTGAGTCAAGTGATGACTCTTAATCTGAGTACAGTTGTTTCAAGTTCTACTATAGCTGAGTGAAGGAAGTTCAAATTGCGTTTCCCCACAACCCATTTCGCAGGCCTCTCCTGTGCTACCATTGGTCATTATCTCTCTCATCAGAAGATCCTTCATCGAGGCCCCGAGTTAGGACCACCTCGTCAGAACATGACAAGAAGTCATGATGCTGAAAGTAGGGTATATCTAGAAAGGTGGGGGTGCCGAAAAGGCGCGAAGGTCAATGGTCTCTGTCTGTATAGGTTTCAGTACTCTGGTACCCCTCGCAAGGACCAATGGCGTGACCAAGAGCGTCTTGGTCTTACGCAGTGCTGCCAGATTTCTCCCTCGACTTCCAACGTCGACGACTCGAGGTGTATGCGTCACCCTTTTTGGTGCGCATTCAAGAAGGATCCAAACCATAGACGATGTCCACGATCGATTATCGCCCTGAGCGTACCTTTCCTTTGTACATGTTTCCGAAATGAAAGGAGTAGGATCATTGAACTGTTATCCGTATCCGAACTTTCCAAGGCAGACGGTAACCATCGAGTACAATCTCGAACATCACCATCTCGGTCTCAATGTCGATACAAGAAAGAACGTATCCTTTGGTGAGTAGGTTTAGTATGTTTGAGCTAGATATTCATAATGCGAACCTGAGAATAACGAGGAAATACTACATTCGCGACTCGAACCAATGTCCTTCGTCGAGAGGTGCCGGAGCGGCAGGACACATCGCGGTGATCGCATCAGGCTAAACGCGTGACGGGGTTGCGCTGCCTCAGTCCTGCTTTTTCAATTTGGCCTTCTTACCCTCTAGCTCCCGTCTACGGTCATGCATGTTTCAAGCTACGAACTTATCGTCCAATCCTGATTCTGTGCACACTCTCGTCAGATTGCGGTGACTGGGAGGAATTGCATCAACTGTTACGGATTTCCAACGGGTTTGGACCTACGTCAAGACAGCTGGATTGCTCTAAGGCAAATGACTTCTGCTATCTTGTCGCTATCGAAGGGTCCCACACAGTCCTGAGTCGATCCATAAACTCTAAGCGACCTCGATCAACTCTGCCTGCTCGACGCCCACCGGCTCAGCGCCTATTCTGAGTTCGGCTAGATCAAAACAAAACCCGCTCGCCACGGACGCTCGATTCCGTTTGCATGCTCTGCGTCAACGACTTTAAGCTTATCGCTGTTCCTCCTCACATACCGGATCAGTCTCTTGCGCCAAGCCAAAGATTGTTCAAGTTGGGGACATCAAGGATGGTCACAGGTGCATCACCACGCTCGAAGCCGGAACGCTCAGCCTTTTCTCCTCGATTCTCCTCTCTGCCAGTCTCTGCCCCCTGTTGCATCATCATCACCAGGCACACTCTTTTCAATGATCGCGTTCCCTTGGCCGCCGCTAGGAGTGGGATTCGCGGTCGGAAGCAGATTGGTTCCAATCCGGCGGTATAGACCCAACTGGAAAGGCCAGGGGTGAGTTTTGACTTTCTCTATTGCTTACACTGTATGTACTTACATAGTCGGTGGAACGATTTCTCAGGACGTCGTATGATTCCAGAATCAAAATCCGCCACACACTCTGCTCCAAGGCTCCGTGATCTTATGATACTTGGGACAACACTGCGTTGCATGCTACTTGAGTGTAGGCGCTTGCTTATCTCCAACCCCATCATCACCTTCCTTACCGAGTCGCCTTTATGAATTCAGGTCTAGATATGGGTATTGAGAGTGATCAAACCGCTTTCACCTGACATCTGCTCTCTCGTCCCAAAGGATCACCGTTCCACTTTTTGAACAGATCCTGGTGTACCGGCTCTCAAGCGTTGGCCACTGAACCGCACCGCCGACGCTGGGGTCCCGATTCGTGGGTAAAATTGATTGGCCTGATGGCGCCACCAAACTCACCAGTGAGAACTGGCCCTGTGATCTGTGGTAATGATGTCGATGGAGGTCACTTCAATTTCGAACTGAATATAACGTACATAACTACGGATGTATCGCGACCGAGTGGGAACCCCTTCCACCCTCTCCCCAACACTACCTGCACTCCATCCGTTTGATTTTTCTCCTTCCACTCGTTTCAATCGTCCGTCCACTGTGTAAAGCAATCCTGCCTTGCAACCCCTATTCTGAAGTCGAGGTGCCAAGATGTCGGAGGTCGACGTCCCAATGACATTTGGTGCTCTCCTCATAGGAGGCATCATCGCGATCATGTAGGCCCCAGTTCACCGAATTCATGAAAGAGTCTAACGTGTCATCGTCGTTTTCAGGTTTTCGGGCGTCACGATAGCGCAGTGTGTCATTTTCCTGAAGCTGTTCCCTAGGGAAACGATCTGGATGAAACTAATGGTCTTTGCTGTCTGGTAAGTCGAATGAGATCATGAGGGGGACCGGAAAGCTAACAGAGATTGAACAGGCTGCTCGATATGTTGCATTCGATTTTCATCTCGATGTCGCTCTGGAACTACTTGATTGTCCACTTTGGGAACCACGCGGGTATTGACATCGTCCCAACGTGCGTTTTCATAAGCCCTACTTGGCACCGGTCAATTAGGATTCTGACTGCTTCTCCACTTTTACAGGAGTCTCGCTGTATGTCGCTCCGCCATTAGCGCCCGTGCGATAACACTCACCTCATTCACAATAGCTGACTATAGTCGCAACGGCCATCCTGACATTTGGCGTCCATTGCTTCTTCATTTATCGCATCTTCGTTTGTAGGTCCTTACGCTCTATTTCTCCGAAGTCCCCGACGAGCTCATGCATGGCACCGCAGTGGCCAAAAACAACTATTTCATCACCGTTCCTATCGTAAGTCCTCCCGTAACCTCGTACTCTCGACGTTCTATTTAGACGTTGCCATGAAAGCTCCTCATCGCTGCCGCCCGGCTTTGTTTCGCGTGTCGTAAGTCCTTTCCGTCCATGGTGATCTTCTGGGACTCTAACTAAGCTTTCAACCACAGTTACTACGTCCAAACTCATTGAGTTCCGGAGTTTGGAAGTCTTCGTTGCGCTCTTCACCGTAAGTTGTTCCGCGTATCATTCGCATCGAGGCTTTTTATTAAACGGGGTACAGTGGTCCTTCACGACCGGTCTCACCCTTTCAGCAGTCGTGGATGTACTCATTACGGGGCTGATGTGCTACCTCCTACGCGCTCGTCGAAAGCAATATTCAAGGTAATGTACAGCGTGTCAGCGCGATTGGTCTCATGTTAACCGCGTCATCGGCAGCATGAACAAAGTTCTCGACACTCTGATTCTGTATGCTTTCGAGAACGGGTTCTTGACTACCTTGGCTGCCTTGCTCTCCCTGATCACAGTGAGTACTCGTGCCGTTTTCTGCCAGTCCCTGCCTGACCAGAGCGATAGTGGTTGACGATGAAGCACAACCTCATTTTCCTTGCCACACATTTCATTATCATCAAATGTGCGTCTACTTGCGTGCGACCTCTTACCCAACTCCGAAAGGCTGACCTTGTCCATCTCAGTTTATGCCAACTCTCTTCTTGCAACTTTGAACGCGCGGAAGCAGCTCCAGGGAGGAAAGATCACTATGCACACGACTAACCTCGCGACAGCAACTACACTTGGAACAGTCTCCACGAATTTCCCTACTCACAATTCGAAGCCCCACGGCCGAGCTCTCTCCCAGTCCATCGTCTTTGGGCCTAACAGCTTCTCCGGCGTACAGGGTCCAGACTCTCGGGAGAAAGCTGATTTCGAGCTTGAGTCTGTGAGTGGTGCAGAAGAGCTGCAAGATTTGTCGCAGGACAACAGGGTGCGTTGAAGATTTGGTTCTTGTTCTTGGGCGATTCACTAACGAATCGTCTCTCAGCTTCGAATCAAGGTCGATAGGACCCACGTCCGAGTGACAGACGGTGAACCCAGGTCTCCGGCTTAGGCATGGGCCTGGCGCTCCTTACTGATTCCAAAACCTCCATCACTTCGTCTTTTGGTTTCCATTAGTGTATTTATAGGGTTATTCTATGTACGGTATGCTGGTAGCCTCATACTCGCTCCTGTAACGTAGTTGTATCGAAATGTATCTAACATGTATGTACGAACAAGTCCATGTGATCCCCCAGTTCCACCGTCTCTTCCGCGGTTCAACGTTCAGCGATCGCTCTCTTCTGTCCATCCGGGCTGGCTTCTCCGCTTCCCACCTACTATTGACGCACGGTCGTCATCCTCTGTGGGGAGGGCAGTGTGAGGGCCAAGGGAAGTCCGATTCGTGATGGTATGGCTGAACTGAAGGGAGAAGGATGTTGTATGACCAGCACCGGTACGTGAACTGAGGCGGGAAGCCGCTCGCGCGAGCCGCCCGCGGTTGTTGAGGCTGGCGAGTAAAACGTTGGCGTATAACCTCCCAATGAGGTAGTTACTGTAGTTTCGTCGATGAACAAATTGAACGGAAGGAGGGTAAGAGAAGGTCATACAAAGCAGCGTGGATCAGGTCGCCGTCTCTCTTCAGGAAGAACAAAAGGTTGAGGGATGCAATGATGGTCGTGGCGAGGCCGTTCTCGAGAGTATGCAGGGTGAGGGAGTTCAAAATATGCTTCGTTTCGGCGATGTTGATTTCGTGCTTGTACCTCAACAACTAAACATCGTCCACCGCCCGAGGTCAGAAGAATTCGCCGTAGGGATTGCACATACGCTCACCAAGATTACCATGCCTATGGTAATGAAGGCGTCACAGACAAGGTTGAAACCAAGTTGTAAGACGACCACGAGATTGATGATATGGCCCATGCTGTTGGTCAGGTACTGGCACGAAAGCGAGTGAACCAAATGATGTAGAAGAGAGGGGCAGATCCACTTACATGGTGCCCCACCAAGATGGCCAATATCAGTCCCGCGATCGCGGTCTAAGAGTTTCCCTGAGCACGAAGGAAAAGAAAGGCTGGGGACGACCTACCAGAACAACGCAGGCGCTGAGAAAGATCTTTTCCAACTTAATGGAGGATACGATATAGATTCGCCTTGTGCTGAATTGAGCGATTTACTGGTCGGATGAGGCGCTGATCCCACTCACCACCCGAAAAACATCTGGACTGCAAACACAACTAGAGCACACGGATCCAATCAGCACCAGCCGTCCAGGACGCGAAGATACGGACTCACCTAAAGAGGTGGTGATTTGAAGAAAGGGGCCAGTGGATGCATACTTGACCGCGTCCGGTGGAAGGGACAGCACGGTAATAAGTGCATGCCAGGTGGCGTGGAAGACGAAACAAATGTTAAGCGTTTCGAGCAAAGTAACGAATCCCACTTTTGTTCAAAGGCAAAATGCGAATGCGGCGAGAATAGAGAATGAGGGCCATGTCGCGGGGCGGAATTGGCGTGTGGCGTACCGAGAAGGTTGAGACGTGTTGGGTTGCTTCGTCTCTCCTGGACGCAGCTTAATGCGTAGGTGTCTTAAAGGATACCGAATGGACTCAGAGTGGGACGGTAAGGAAATGTGGATAGACTTACGAACTTGGACGACCAGCCCCCCATAAAGCATGAAAGCCGCGATGGAACCGATGAGCTTTGAAGAGATCCGTTTTATGAGCCGCAGCCCTCTATCAGCTCGGCAGAGGAAATTAGGCGTACGACGGGGCCTGCACTAAAAACATGGGCGACGTTGCCGAGTTAATGATCATCGTCGTCCGTTTAATCACCAAAGAAGCGCACATTAGGACTGGATTGGGACCCTCTGACATTCCAGTCAGACCTCCCGACCAAGCGATAGGGGCGGGAATTCTGTTTTGATGCGGCTGTGTAGAATCGAAGACTGTCCAAGTTGAAAAGTGGGGAAACGAATGTGGTAGTCAAAACGATGTGTAGAGAAGAGGAAAAATGAGCAGGTCGACCAGTCCAAGGAGAACCATGAAAGACGAAAGAGACCCGTCGCAAAACAACGTAATCCGTTTCTTCCTTGTGTATACACATCGCCTGAGCTACGTACTACTTTCCCAGCCTTGTCCCCGCCTCGGGGCTTGTAATCATTCATGTGAGCATGGCCACCGCCCGCCACCACTTTGCCATAAAGGTACAACGCTTGAGGCTATTCGTAGCCTTTGTTCTTTCTCATCCATGCGCATAGGACACGGTTAGGAAGCGTAGCGATATACCCAGCACGAACCTCTCCATGCCATCTTGCTACATTTGTTGCTTGCATCTGTTAGGATCAGATGCCCACGACTTCCCCCAGTGACTTTTCGTTTTTCGACTGATTTTCGACTCACGACTCTGGCGCGTTCGACTTTATACGCAGCCAGAACTTTACTGAAGGCGTCACCAGAACATCACACTTATATGTCACACAGATATGATATGGGCCCTCTGAAACAAAAGAGGGCCGAAACCAGGGTGCATGGGCGTCTTACCGGAGGCTGACAACCTCGTTTATGGTGGCTGACAATCTTCAAGGATATAAAGGCGGCACCTCTCCAGGCGCTACTCCTTTCCCGGAGCTCTGATCCTGACACGCTGCATACCTGAGCCGACGCCTGGGGCTGAAGCCGTTCAAGGACTCTCACAAGTCTTACCTCTATCTAGTTGCTGAATCCTCTTGTACAATGCGACCACCTACAAGCCCTCACCTGGAGAAAGGCTCGGACGGATCGGCCTCAAAGTCGTCCCTCTCTGGACATCCGGCAGCTGACTTCGATCTTGTCGCAGAGCGGAGGCTTGTACGCAAGCTGGATCTTACTCTACTGCCTCTGTTCACGCTCATCTGTAAGTGACATTTCCCTCCGCACGTTTGCATGCTTGGTTCTCATTTGTCGTTGTAGACATGGCCAATTTCATCGACAGAACGGCCATAGGTAACCACCCCTACCATCTTTGTTATTATCTAGACTGACGGGCTGCGTCAGGAAACGCTCGTGTCGCAGGTACGCCCTTTAAACCCGGCTGGTTTCAGAATTCTTGACCCATCGCCTGGCATTTTTAGGCCTCGAGAAAGATTTGCGCATGTCTGGGTCGGATTTTAACAAGGCTATGACGGTATTCCATGTCTTCGTAAGTCCCCCTGTTCCTCTAGCACTTCGCCTGAAGTCCAACCCCGCCATCTCAGTACGCATTGTCCGACATACCTTCGAATTTGGTTCTGAAGAGGTATGGCTCGATCTGGCTCGCCGTTCTGGTAATGGCGTTTGGCCTTGTCGCCCTTGGTTCAGCTTTCATGACATCCTATCCGGGGTTCATCGCCAGTCGAGTTTTCTTAGGATTGGCAGAAGGTGGTACATTGGTGAGTGAAAACGGACTATGTACGACCAAAGCCTGGAGACTTATACAAACTATGTAGTCTGGTCTCGTGTACACCCTCTCCCAGGTACCCAGCTTATCTCCTGTCTGAAGTTGGCACTGATCTCCCGTCGTAGTATTATCGGCGAAAGGAATTGGCCATGCGGGTCGGCTTTTTCATGGGCGTTGCGCCGAGCTTAGCCGGAGCCTGTAAGTATTGTCGTGGCCGCATAATGGTCTGGCGGACGTTGATTCGTGGGCACAGTTGGCGGGCTCCTTGCTTGGGGACTGCTTCGTGTTCGTGACATTGGGGTTGTAACGCGTTGGAGGAAGGTATGTGGTCTTCTCACCTCCAATCGAGGATATTGCTTAAGGCTCACGATCTAGATTTTGCTGGTCGAAGGTCGGACGCGTCCGCCTTTCGTGAGATGGAAATACTCACCTGTCCACAGGCCTTCTAACGACTTTAACCGGACTTACACTCCTCTTCGTCATCCCTGCTGAGCCTTCGAAGACGAAGCTCTTCACGGTCGAAGAGAGAGCGCTGGCGCTAGCCAGGTTGGAAGCTGATAAGCCAATCAGTCAGCGTCGGCAAGGCGAGAAGGGCGGGAAGGAAAAAACGCGACTTCAGTTGGTTCTCAAGGCTTTCAACGTTCACGTTCGTACAACCATCATTCGCCCCTCTCAAAAGTCTGATTTACTCCTTTAGACCACTGTTTGTACGGTGGTGTTTATAATTCTCAACATGTCGTTCCAAGGCCTGAGTATCTTCTTGCCTACAATCATCAACAACCGTACGTCTTTGAAGTATCTCTCATTTTATCGACTGATCATTCTGAATCTGCGATAGTTGGGCACTATAGTTCGTTATCTTCCGTTGAAAACACTGATTTATTCCTAACGTGATTCCTTAGCCCCAGTCCAGGTTCAGGTTCGGACGGTTCCTCCCTACCTCGTCAGCGCTGTCTTCGCCCTCAGCATCGCATTCGCGAGCTTCAGATTTCAAAGCCGATTTGGTGCCCTATTCGCCTCGCTCCTCCTCTCCGTCGTAGGATACGCGATTGCGATTGGATGCAGAGAACCACATGCTCGGTGGGTATGGACATCCTCTCTCTACGAATAAACATTTATCTACAACAGCTATGGCGCCTGCTTCTTGATGATTGCTGGAGGGGGCTCTGGTGGCCCAATGGTGAGTTATTTCCCCTCCCCTGTTCGTCCATTCTCACCGCCTTTCGCATAGATCATGACGTGGGGAACAGAGAACGCAGCGCCAGACACTATGCGAGCCGTCGCCAGTGCTGCGATTCCTGCCTTTGGCGCTATCGGAGCTATTATCTCGTGAGTCTGTCTCCGCCGGACCTGTCATCCCGTCATAACTGTGACCTATAGCGTCTGGACATATATCCCGGAAGATTCCCCGCGGTATCTCAAAGGAAATGCTGCCAACTTGGCAACATCGATATTAGCGTGCGTACTTGTTGTGTTCCTGATGCTGTACCTGCGACGGGAGAATCGGTGGGTTCAAGTTTCTTCAATGGTCCACTTATCAAAACTGGATACTGACCTTACGGGTCTCATTTAGGGCGAGGGATTCTGGGAAGCGTGACCATCTGCTGAATGGGAAGACTGAAGAGGAGATTAATGAGATGGGGTGCAGGCATCCTGAATTTCGGTACCAGCTGTAGCACCTATGCATGGAAGCTCGCTTCGGAGACGAAGTAATGGTTTATCTGGTCCGTCCCGGTCGTGTAATACTCCCGTTACCCCATGACACCCGTTAGACTGAATCCAGGGAATGGGAAGCTTCCGCTTTATCAAGGTTTCTCGCTTCGCCATTCAATTGAAAGCGACTTAGAAGAGCACCTTTGCCACGCGTCCGGGGCGTGGAAGGCGCTTCTCCCGCTCCAATCAGATGTCTACTTGTGGCTTAAAGAAGCTGGCTACTTACTGTCGCTCTTTCTCGCAACCTCGATCCTTCCCGAATCCCAATGTCCAAGAAGACGTCCGCTGAAGTGTTAGAGAAAGGGAGTATCTCGGGGTCGGCGTCTATTGTCGACGACCCCCCTTCTGGTGGAACAATGACGAGAATCGATCCGGACGCTGAGAGAAGACTGGTGCGGAAACTGGACTGGAGGCTTCTACCTTTGTTCACCTTAATCTGTGCGCCATTCCGTTACCGCGTGAGCGCAGCTAACACCGTTTTGATATTTAGACATGGCCAATTTTATTGATAGGACTGCTATCGGTAAGTTTACTCGTCAAAATGGGGACACCTATGTATTCACCTGATTCCATAGGTAATGCCAGAGTGGCAGGTACGTCGGCGTACGTGATGTTTACGGATTACACGCTTACCAGATACGCGCACTAGGACTTGAGAAGGATCTGGGTATGTCGGGGTCCGATTTCAACAAAGCATTGACGGTGTTCTATATCTTCGTGAGGACTGTTTCACTTCCGACCATTAAGCTCCCTGACAGCACCCTGACTTGAGACAGTACACCGCCTCGGACATCCCCTCAAACCTTATTCTGAAGCGCTTTGGCACCGTCTGGCTAGCGGTGCTAGTCGTAGCATTCGGACTTGTTGCACTGGGCTCAGCGTTCATGACATCGTATGCAGGACTAATCGTGACTCGTGTGTTCCTTGGGTTATCTGAAGGAGGGACGTTGGTACGTCGAGGCCGCCTGCCCATTGATTCTAGTCCTATACTGACGAAATCGCCCTTGGTCAGTGTGGATTGGTGTACACTCTATCTCAGGTACGACATTTACGCTGGGCCTGTAGGACGATGCATTATTGCTAACATCGACCTTATCGGATTTAACTGGTGTCAGTTCTATCGGCGTCACGAGTTGGTGCTAAGGATAGGTATCTTTTTTGGGCTGGCACCGAGTCTATCAGGAGCTTGTGGGTTCTCCAATAGTCGACCTCATTTCGGACACCTGTCTCACACGGCGTAGTTGGAGGTCTCCTTGCCTCTGGGCTTCTTCGGGTGGACGACATGGGCAGCATCAATTCTTGGCGCAAGGTATGGCTTATGTTGAGCAGAAGGACAGCCATATCTGACCTGTCTAATTGATAGATCTTACTAGTGGAAGGTAGTCTCGAGTTGACTTCGACTTTCCAGACAGGCTTAGACGATACTTCTGTCCAGGAATAATCACGACCCTCCTTGGAATAATTCTTGTTTTCACCATTCCATCGGGTCCCCAGACGACTAAGATGCTGACAGAAGACGAACGTAATCTGGCCATTGCGAGATTGAAGGAGGATCGAAAGGTTCAAGGTGATAAATTGAAGGAGAGGACGACGCTACGACTAGTCCTGCATTCCTTCAACGTACATGTACGTATCTCTTCCTACATTCCATGCACCCCGTCAAGTTACTAATCTCCATTGACAGACGGTGGTATGCATCATCCTGTTCATCATCTTAAACGTCTCGTTCCAGGGCCTGAGTATATTCCTGCCAACAATCGTCAACGGGCGTGAGTGAATCGCTTCATTTCGTAGCGGTACGTTGGTTGACCATGGTATAAATCGTTGCACAGTTGGGACATACTGTAAGTTCAATCTCGCGCTTCGCTGTCCACCCGGCAGCCTCTGAACTGCGACTTGTAGCGACGGTCGAAGTCCAACTCCGAACCGTTCCTCCTTATTTGATCAGCGCACTTTGGGCTATCGCCAGTGGAGTTGCGAGTTTCAGATTTCGCAATCGATTCGCTGCGGTTTTTGCCTCCCTTCTCCTTCTCGTCATTGGTTACTCGATTGCAATTGGGACGACCGATACTCGTGCACGGTACGTATGCCGCCCCTCTTGTCGAACATCTTTTCGAAGGCTCAGCTGCATCGCTCATAGGTACGGTGCCTGTTTCTTAATGGTCGCTGGAGGTGGAGCAGGTGGGCCAATGGTATGTCCAAGCGTCAGCTTGAGTAATAGTTTGTTTTCTGATGAAGGTCGTGATTTAAGGTCATGACCTGGGGAACAGAGAACGCTTCTCCAGACACCATGCGCGCTGTGGCTAGCGCAGCCATTCCTGGGTTTGGCGCCCTAGGTGCAATCGTCTCGTGAGTTACCTCGGTTTATTCAAGTAAAACCATGTTCCCTGAACCCTTCCACAACAGAGTATGGACGTACGTCCCCTCAGACGCACCGAAGTACCTGAATGGGAATGCTGCCAATCTTGGCTGTGCGTGCTTGGCATGCGTTCTCAGTATCTTCCTCGTACTTTACTTGAGGTGGGAAAATCGGCGTCGAGACGCTGGAAAGAAGGACCATGTAGTTGAAGGAAAGTCGCAGGAGGAGTTGGAGAATATGGGGTACAAACATCCCGAGTTCAGATATCAATTGTAGTGACGGCCACTTGTATTGAACCTCTGTATTACCACTGTAAGCCTGCCTACCAGTCTCGTTAGCAATCAACTCATTCCAACCAACGCGAGCTTTCTCAACGATTCTCAACGTGATAGAAACAAAACAATAGAACCCTGAACAAGCATCTGGACCGGTGGTCAAAGCGTCCAAGTTGTAGTGACAAACAATGGCAAATCCGACGCGGAGGATCATTGTGCGCTTTCCATCACCAAGTACGCTTAGACTCCAACCACTCTATATACGCTAGCTGTCTTGACTGCGCTATCTCGCACACCCAATTCCTTTAGTTATCGAACAGATTCCTACCGAAGTTGAAATTATTGTAAGTGAACGCGACTGACAATTGGATACCTGGCCACAGCAGACCCACAACTGACCACGCCCTCACCCTTAGATCACCCTCTCCATCTCTTTGAATACTACTACCTCGAAGCCAATTTCGATATCCCATAACGCTCAAGCAACCATTGAGAGCCCCCCATCATCAACGTCTCGATGACTCCGCCTGTCTATCCGACCCAACGCTCCGCCACTATCGACTTCGGCGACCCAATGTTCTTCCCATCACGCAATAATTCGACTTCATCCGTTGTAGAAACCCGGCGCTTGGATACCACAACGAAGGGGTCTACCTCCCACAAGGCTAGTCTGGAAGGTTCTGGCAGCGACGAGCTTGTCGAAGGCTCTGGGAAAGAAGATCTCGGTGCCACTGGTAGTCGAGAGCCAACCAATCCTAGGTTTACCGTCCTCGAAAACGAAATCATGGGGCTACTTGGGCGACATGGTCTTCCTCGTCGTGTAATGCTTCGAGAACCTAAGGGGTCAAAGGATGTACTATGTGCTACTCCCACTGAGCGACCACTGCCACCAATGCCACCCATGGAGACCAACCACTCGCCGCGCTCAAGCTCAAGCACGATTGGCGGAACCAATCTTTGTCGCTCGGAGACTACTCGGGGAGGCGATCAGAGGCACTCAGGCTGTGACCCATTCCAACGGCACGTATAAACATACTCGACAAGGATCTAGTACATCTCTCCACCGGATCATGGACTTGGACGGCTCGATGGGAAGCAGCGCTACTCAGGGCCCAGTCGGGAAGGACTTGAAGAAGGAGCGATCGTCTCTCCTTCGTACACGGTCACTCAAGGTATCCAGCGTTGCCAACCGCCTCAAGTCTAAATTCGACGCCAAACCAACTAGTAAACTGTCCATCTCAAAGCCACAGCCATACTGGCCCGATGACGAGAAAAACTACTCGCTAGGTTTGATGGAAGGGCCTCAGTCGCATTCAAATTCACCACCTTTTTCCCGCATATGCCTGAGGCACTGAAAACGGAGCTCGTTGCATTAATAGTTATGAGTCTGATCGTAGATACTCTGCACCAAGATTTCAGCCCGTGGAAAGTAGTCCTTCAAAATTTCCTCGTATTGCCCCGCAAGGTGACCACTGCCGGCGTCCTTCCAATATAAAACAGCGTGGTTAATGTCAATGAATGTTTCCGGATGCGTTGCCCGTCGATGATCTCCAAGTAACGAGCGAACTCGATGGAGAATCTCTTTCGGGTCGCTGTCGACGTGGAACCAAGGAGCAAATGCCAGTTGATCAAGTGCACTTGTGTAAGCCCAAATTCGCAGTTCGAATGTAAGGGGCAGGTGGGTAACACCCTCTTGTCTGAGTTTCTCCAAAGCGTCCACGCCGCATCTGGTCCCCATCGTCCCGTACAAGCCCAAGTTCTGGAGTTTGGGGCGTGCTTTGATGATCGCTGGTATGTCCATGCATTCCCAGCAGCACGTCATGAACAGCGTGTGCATCTCGCGGAGGGCACCAGGATCACTGTGAACCCAGGAACGGGAAGTAGGTATGAGCAGCGTAGTCGACGACATAGAGCGAACCAAGTCACCATAGAATTTCATTCAACTGCCGAGCAGAACCCTCTGCCTCCGGAACATCATAATAGATGCGGATCCTCAGCTGGGTGAGACCGTTCATATTCTCTAAGCTTTTGAAGAGAAGATAAGATGTCTTCAAGCTATTTCCAATGTCGTTGTCAGACATGCAGGTGAAGAGTGTGACTGAGAGCTCGCGAACGTAGTCTCGCCGGCGAGGTGAGCTGATGAGGGAGAGCAATGCGCGATTGGAGTGTTCCACTTGACTTTCTGCGGGGGATACCACGATGGAATGGTATATCGCCCGCTCAGCGCTTTCTTGAAAAAAACTGTGAACAAGGGCCAGGTTCGTGGCGTCCGACTTTGCACAGCATAGGGCGATTCGGGCCTTCACTTCTGGGGGAAAGCTCTGAAAAACGAAACGCGGATCAGCGCCTAAGTACTAGTAGCCTTAAGCTGGTCGTTACCGTCATTGCAATAGGTCACAGCCAACTGTGGGCAGGGTAGTAAGCCATCCAGTGCTTGGAAATGTGTAGTATATATACAAACAGCAGAGGGTTCCATTTTTCCGATGTCGATTCCCGAAACCTCACGCCCATCCGTCGAAGAGAGACGTCAAAGAAGTTTCACACTGGTGTCATAATTGTGGGCGAGCTTATGATTTCGAACAGTCGTTTTGCGAGCATAATACGCGGGAGGCTATCTCGCCGCTCGCACTATAAATGCGCAGATACTCACAGAAGAATTCAGCGCAAACCTCAGCATGAGACCGTTTACGACCCCTGCAATAGTTCTAACTGTCACCTTCCTCTATCTATTCTATCCTGTTGCAGGAGCAGGTGACCAGTTTTACATATCGCTTCTGGAAGAAGGCAGAAAAACTTCCAGGTGGCATTTCTCCCTCATCGTCCACAACAAAGCACCAGGAAGCACCGTAACCGCCAACGATGAATTCGCTCAATTCGACTACAGGATAGACAAACCGACGGGGTGAAGTCTATATTTACGCGTATCGATTTATCTAACCACGAAAGGCAGGCTATTCAAATATCATCAGCAGCTACGCTGGCGGCCAAGAGAAGCTCACCAACGGACCGGGATATTCGATCACATCGCACCCATTGGCGTTAAGAAGGGGGAAGAACACGTCCGCCAGGGAAACAAGGAAGGAAAAATCATCAACAATGTGATTGCAGTCTTAAAAGGAGCCAATCCCATGCCTCAGGTCACGAAGACGGGGAATTTCCGCAACTGCCTCGATCTCGCCATAGAAGGGTTGAGGGCTCTATCGCTTGACGATAACCAAGCTATATCTACTACAGACTACAACATGTTCAACGCATACAAAGAGTCTATCCAAAAGGACGTCCGCCTATGTACCGACAGGACAGCCTATAATCATTGGGACAACAAGCCTGCTCCACTTCCGGATCCAACACCTGACTCCGAAGAGGCGAAGAACTGCATTGGAGTTCAAACGCGCGCCGCCACACCGAAGGACGAGGGGAACCAAGCATCAGGCGGGAACGATGATAAAGGAGAAGGATCGAGTGCGGGTAAGGAAGGGAAGAACAAACAGACGACCGCCAAAAGGAGTACGACTGGTCCATTCAAGAACGGTTCCCCAAGCCCCCCAAGCTCGAAGCGGCGATCTCCACGCCTTTACACACAGAACAAGAAGGGGAAAACTCCGCCGTTGACTGTGGGGCACTCGAAGAAGGTTTCGAAGGTGGGTCCTGGTCAAGGACCCATGAAATTTTGAAAGGCCGATCACTGTCTAGAAGGGGGATAGAACACGGGCTCTTCTTGGCGTTACGAGTTCGGAATCTTTACCGCGCGAGACGCCTTGAACAAGCAATCGTTGCAGAGCTCTTTCGTCGGTCTCAGTACGAGGCCTACTCCTATGACTGACTGGACAACTGATATGTTCTGTATACATATATCGTACGCAGTCATACTGCTTGCACCTACGATCACCCACTTACAACTGTATACTCAATGATCTCCTTGGACTGGACGAATGGTGAAACGAGTGGAAGTTCCCGAGTACAAACAGCATGGGCAGTGAATCACGGTGATGTCGATCACGTACGATTGTACGGCAGACCGGATCGCGTGATCTTTCTGAGAAGTTTAGTTCATAGCTTCAATGTACACAGTGGGTGCACACCTCTCTACCCATATAGGCGTCCAGTGTGGTCAGAAGGGGAAAATAGAATCGATCTCTTCGTCACGGTGGGGGTCTACCTTCGCTTCCATCTCAAAGCAACGTTCGATTTTCGCAGATCAGCGCCCACAGGAGGGACGCGAATTAGGCCCGCGCCCACAGATCCTTTCAAGAACCTACTCAGCGCTTCGCCTACCGTTCTCATCTCCGCTATGGAGCTCGACTTTTCGCATACGTCTGGGAACTTTCCGTGACTCCGTCTACAACTCCCCGTCGAGTTCTCCCATTGATTCGATATCGGTAGGAAACATGAAGGTACTATTGGGCACACTACTTCCCGGGATTGATATTTAGGTACAGAGCATCTACGATCATGTTGATGGGTATTGATGCGACGAACTCTGAGCTAGACTTCATGCTCGTGGGCGGCGACTCTTTATGTCGATCACGGATGTCCACTTGTACGGCACACCGAACCTTATGTGTGAACCTATGGTCCATGGGAGATAGCTTCAATGTACACAGTAGATGCACACCGAGGACCCACACCAATTCTGAGGTGGAGAAGAGTGGGTTGAGAAAGGGTGCCATCCATGGTGGGTCGATATCAGCGACGTAGAAACCGCGGGTATGGTATGGAAACTACCAGGGAGTGTTGGTCTTGATCGTAAAGCGCTGTGAGCGACGGTTACTCGCTGAAGAATACTACTAAAATTTAAATCAGCGCCCTGGGTGCGTAGTGACTCATGGACAACTTCTAGTAAAGAAGAATGTGTGGATGGATGATACATCAGGTATGCAGTTTTGCAGTATCTCCCTTTCGTGAGTGAGCCACTGATCCACTGCAACTGGTAGCATTGGTAACCCCCAGGACGTAAAGACGAGTGTCATTGGTTGTCGCTGAGTTGAAGTTTGATGGAAATAAGCGCTCGTCGGAATCTATGACTCACTTATCGCCGCCGAATCAGCGCATGTGAAGGACAGACCGAGACTGAGTCAACACTTCCAAAACCCGTAGACTTCATAGATAGTGACAGCGACTAATCTACATACCGGTCTGAGGAACAATGTCTGCTATGAATGACAACAGTAGCCAGCGTGCTAGGCGCCCTTGTCCAACGCTCACAGGCTCTCGGGTACCCTACACCGCGGCGTTCGCGTTCTCGTACATATTCCCTGGTAAATACTCAATACTCTACCCTCGTAAATACTAAATGCTCTACGGGGCTTTCCGTCCTCGCGACTTGCAAAATATCCATAATCCGATACAGGCGGTCAGTGCGCCTGGGAGGCCGATGCCAATGGCTATTTTGTCGCTTGTTGATAGTCCGCTTTCTGATTTGGAGCTCGAGCTGGTGGAGTCGCCTGGGGAGCTCGTACTCGTTGTGTACGGGGTTGAGGTTGAGACTTGGGAGGACAAGTCTCGTGGGTCACTATAGGGTGTGTAGGGGGTGTAGGACTCGGAGTCGATGCGGGGCGTGGAGTACGGGGTGTGAGTGGAGAAGTCGAGGTGGGGGGTGCCGGTATTTGCGAGTGGGAATGTAGGCGTGGGGTAGGAAGTCGGATACGAAAATGCTGGTGTTGAAGGGGAGGCGATGGGTGGGAGGATGGGGTCCGCGCCGCTTTGGCCCCCTGACGTATTGCTGCTGGCACTAAAATAGCTCTCAGTCACGGTATGATAAAGGGGAGAGATGGCGGATGGTGGATGACGGACGAGACGACATACCTGTTAATCCCACACGTACGATCTAACGTGCAGCAAAGACCGCTATCTTGACTTTTCCAATCTAGTGCGATACACTCGTAGCTTTTTCCATGTGAGCAGTAAAGAGGAAATGTCAGTGATGGCACGACGTCGGGGCAGTTGTGCCACGCCGCAGATGCAAAGTCGTAAAGTAAGTAAGTAAACTTGATTCAGACTCACCCCCGTTGACATTGGATATCAACCATCCCTCCGAAGGACTGGTCGCAGCATAGTTTGAGAGACCTGGAGCAGCAGTGCTCGTAGCAGTAGGTTTGGCGTTTCTCCTGTGGGGCAGATATTTCCAGTGGGGAAGATCGTGGATTGCGTGAGGTTGGATGGGTTTCTGGGCTGGAGATGACTGCTCCATAGACGATGTTGATGAGGAGGGGAAGGAAGGCTATGAGGTGGAAAGGTGGTGTTTGACGGCGAGTCAGGGAGGTCATGGAGTAGTTAGAGTCGTTAGAGTCGTCAGAAAGTGAGAGCGCGGTGAATGGGAGGAGGGTGCCCAGGCACCCCGTGCCTGCCAGCGTGTGTTACTTATACTTACGACAGCTGTTGTTGAACGTTACGGAAATAACCGAAGGGGAGGGGCAATACGCTACTTGGGGACGTGTAAAAACAAGAGAACCCTGGTGTGATGGGATGATTTGTTCATTCTTGAATAAGCGCTCGTGGATGGTTCCTGAAAATTGAATTGAGGCGGCGAATTGAGCTCTTGAACTTTCCGTATAGTATTTAGTTCCGAGAGGTTGGTGCCTCGTTCTCGGGTCCACCGTGTCGACTGTCTCGGGACCATTGAATCATAATGCTTGTTGAACTCGGCAGGAGTGTCGGTCAAGCCTGAGCGCCTGGGTCTGACTTTCATCCGAGGTCTGTTAGAACGACCATGTTAGGGGGGTGGTCAACTCGAACGCTGTGTCCCTCCACAGTTGCATGCGTGCAGTCATAATAGGCTCTGCGCTGAAGATAAATATGGTGTGCTTTAAGAATCAGGATGAGAAGCCTAGGGCTAGAGGGTTGGGCGCAGTGCACCGAAGCGAGGAGGAGGATTCGAGCAAGGCTTCAAAGGTGCACTGGAGGGACTCAGCCAAAGGTGTTGCCAAACACCGAATAAGCCGACTGAAGGCTTTAGCCAAACAGGGTGCATACCCGAAGCCCCAGCCAAATACCAGTCGGAGGGAGCAGGGGTCTAGCGAAACAACCTGAAGCCTCAGCCAAATACGTTAGACATCCCGAACCTTACAGTATGCCAAATACACTCAAGCAACTTCCAAAGGCCTAGCCAAATACTCCCCAAAGTCTGGCAGGCTGCAGCCAAACAAAAGCCTCGCGGTTCGAGTCTCACTGTGTGACGGCGCCAAGAGACCATCTCTTTCCTCCCTCGCTTGCGCTCCCAGGCACAACGCAACGCTGCTTTGTTTTTTCTTTTTGTTCCCTTGTCTTTGCCTCTTCCACGACTCGTCCTTTCACGACGAAAATTTACGCTGCTTGAAATCGTGTCCTTGCGCTACCTACTCTGCGATACCCACCCATCTTGCGAAACCTGGAACCTGAACGGGTCATTCATCCGCAGATCGAAGAAAAGGCAGGCTTTGGAAGGGGAGAAGCAAGGGATACTGTGGGACTACTTACTTATACAAAGGCAAAAAGGGAAGCGAGGGTTCTGTTTTCATCGAAGATTGATATGCACGGGAAGCCTTAGAGATGGCGTCTTCGACTACGTCTTCTTCGCGAGCTAGAGCGTCTAAAGATGCTCTTCCTCCTCGTTCAAGTTTAGGCGAATTGGGATTCGATGCGGTGGTAGACCCAGTGCGTATGTCATCTTTTCTTTTGCCTATACGTGATGTCTGTTAGGCTGATGAAGCGTCCGATTCATAGAGAACGGAGGAACGAACAGACCACGGACGGGATCAGCGTCCTCCTCGTCCCACCACGCAAACGGCAGCGCTCACTTTCAAGCTCATACGACCCCAAATCCTTCTACAACAATCGAAAGCCAAGCCCTAACGATCACCCTCCTGCAAGCCAAAACGACGCACCTCCACGCCCGTCTCCTCTCCACACTCGACTTGCTAGACTCCAAATCCCTCGACGTCGAGCGCCTGCATGCGCGCGAGAAAAAGTTGAAGACGAAGATGAGGGTGTTGCAGGATTTGTGTAGGGAGAAGGAGGAGGAGTTGGTGGAGATGAGGGAGGTTGTGGGGCGGTTGGTTGAACGTGGTATGTGGTAGCCTTAATTTAATTCTGTGTTTTTTGGAGAAGCTAATCTATGGATTGGAATTGGGTTCATTTGTGCTGGGTGTAGTGGAACTAAACGGCACCCTGAACGTTATCCGACCCGCTTCGTATTGTACGACGGCGCTGCTGGATCCTGTTATTCCCAAGAAACGCAAACCGCCACCCACCCAATCCCACTCGCACTCGCGTGTAGTGAACACCTCGAATCAGCTAGCAGCTTCGACATCGCGTCTCCCATCTTCATCTTCCTCGCCCGCCACTGCCGCTGCTCCTGGTGTTGGTGGACACGCCACTCCCGCCCGACCACGCTCGACGACGCCTACACCCCGCCGCGGTCCTATGCGTCTCGCGCCACACCATCTCGACGACACTGATCACGAAGACCACACCAGCGACATCCCGAACGTAGCCCATACCAACGGCATCCCGAACGACGACTCCAATGACCCCTCAACCCAACCCCTCTTCAAAACCCTCCTCGAACAACAAAAAGCCGATCGAGCACATCTGGTGCAGTCGCTCAAGGACGCGCAGCAGAGGATTGCGGTGTTGGAGGCGAAGTTGAGTAGGAGGGAGGAGGAGGTGGCGAGGTTGGTTTGTGCGGGGTGGTGGGTTGGTGGGACTGGTACGGGGGTTGGAGCTGGGACGACTGGGGTTGGGGCTACCGGGGTTGGGACGATTGCTACTGGGGTTGGAGGTGGGACTGGTACTGGTGGGACGACGACGAACGATCGTACGACAGCAACAAACGGAGTAGCAGCGGCCATGACGAATGGAATCCCAGCTGGCATAAATGGTGCACTGAAGACGCCTATCGAGGTCGACGTTGCTCAGGCGCTTGATTGGGCTGTATCGAGGAACAAGGCTCTCGAAGTTGAGATTGCGGGATTGGCGCGGAAGATTGGGGGGTTGAGGGCTGCTACGGGTGGTGCGAGGGACGGGGGTGGGAAGGACCCCGGTCCTGCGCGTGCGAAGGAGAAGGAGAACGGGGTTGCGAGTGCGACGGAGACGAAGAAACCTGCCGACCCACGAAGACGCATCGTCGAAAGCCCAGAAACGCCCCCTTTATCAACGGCGACCACGAAACTCATCTTACGCGCGTCGCAGCCTAGTTCGGGCTCGTCGTCGTCTTTCAAGGCTGTCCCGCTCCCGCCTGTCGCTTCTTCCTCTTCTTCTTTCTCGTTAACGGGGGCGTCGACGTCGTTTGATTCTTCATGGCACGATAAGGACAGGGATGAGAGGAAGGAGGAGAGGAAGACAACTCTTTTGTCCCTGAGCACGGACCTTTCGGCGTTGGAGAGACAGATTGATGCGTTGGCGGGTGAGAGGGAGCGGTGGGGCCTTGTCTTAAAGGATTCGACGAGAGCAGGGGCAAGGGACGCGAGGGGAGGGAGTAGGTCTGCGTCTGCGCCTGTTCCGATACCTACCAGCGAGCCGGAGGCGAAGGGGCATCATCAGCGTTCATCGTCAAATCCTCAAGCGCATCAACGGTCTTCGTCGAATCCTCAAGCGCATCAGCGGTCATCGTCAAATCCTCAGTCCCAGATGCATACGCATGTGAGGACGGGGTCGGGTGAGGGGGTGGCAGTGGTTAGGTCGAGGTCGAGAGCTTCGTCTGCTTCTGCGTCTGGGTCCGTATCTGCGTCGACGGTGCAATCGCTTTCGAGGCCTCGGAGTGCTACGCCTTCGTCGTCGTCGTCTTCGGTAGCTTCGGGTTCGACTACGGGTACTGTGACTGCGACTACGGCTACGGGGGCGGCTACGGCGAGACCTCGATCTTCGTCTGCGGCGACGGGTCAACCGTCCTCTCAAGGTTCATCCCCGCCTTCTTCGAGAGCGCGCTCGTCGTCATCAGCGCAGAGTAGATCTCGCTCGTCTTCCGCTGCGCAGGTTGATTTACGGTCACGGTCTTCATCGACTGTGGATGTTGGTTCGCGGTCGCGGTCTTCTTCGACTGTGGATGTTGATTCGCGGTCACGCTCGCGGTCCTCATCCTCAACTGCGCACGGTGATTCGAGGCCGAGGAGATCCTCTACGCCGATTCAGAGTAGCAGTGGTCGCCGGTCGGAAACGCCTACCCCGTCTCGACCGCGGTCGAGGGTGGACGAGGAGGTTCAGACGACCGAGTCGTTGTGCGGGTCTAGTACGCCTACGCCTACGCCTACAAGTTCTCGATATCAGGATTTGGCACGCGGCGGTGCTGGAAGGGAGGACGGTGTAGGAAGCCAGGAAGCTCTGACGAAGCTAAAGCAAGAAGTGGAGATGCGGTTGGAGGGATTGGAGGGAGAGGTTAGGGAGTTGGCTGGGAGGGTTGGGGTTGGGGGGCATGGCATCCGGGAGGTGCGGGAAGGGGAGACGAGAGAGGAGGAGAGGCTGCGGTTGCACGATCTGGATGCGCAGAGAGAGGCGCTGGAGGAGCATAGGAGGAGGTTGGACGAACTAGATGAGCACAGGAAACGCTTATCGGAGTTGGACGAGCAAAGGAAGGTGTTGGACGAACATAAGAAGCGCCTGGATGACCTGGAGAGGGACAGGCAGAGGTTGGACGAGTTGGAGAAGGAGGGGAGGGTTACGAGGGAGGAGTTGGAGCGCGAGAAGACGCGGATTGGGAAGATGGAAGAGGAGATGGAGGCGAGGTGGGAGCGGGAGAGGGAGCGTGTGGAGGTGAGGGAGAAGGAAAGGGAGGAGAGGGAGAAGGAAAGGGAGGAGAGGGAGAAGGAAAGGGAGGAGGAGAGGGAGGAACGCGACGAAGCACGCCGCGCAGCCATCGAGCAACACCTCCAAACCCACCGCACAGCTATCGAAGAACGACTTAAAACCGAACGGGAAGCCCTCGAGAACCAACTTAAAACCGAACGCGAAGCTAGAGAAGAGAAGGAGCGCGCTGAGCGACTCGAGAGACTGGAGCAGAAGGATCGAGAGTTGAAGGAGAAGTTGAGGGAGAAGGAGGCGCAGAGGGTGGAGAAGGAGAGGATGAGAGCTGAGAGGGAGAGGGAGAGGGCTGAGGTTGGGGAGTTACGAGAGGGTGTTGAACAACTTGGGGAGGGCTTCGAGTACCTTCGCGAGGAGGCGGGGCAGTTGAGGGACTTTGTCCACGCTACGAGGATTGATGTTGAGAGGGATCGGGAGGATGTGGATCAGCTCCGAGAGGCGTTTTTGCATCATCAGGAGGAGTACCATCAGAATCGCGAGGGGGTTCAAGAGTTGAAGGAGGAGGTGGAGCGGAATAGGGAGGAGATGGAGAGAGTTAGGTGTGAGGGCGGGGAGCGTGTTGTAAGTCCTCCATCTATCAATTTCTTTTTATTTTCTTTCTTGGTTTTGTTCGCACTCGAGAGAATTTGTTTTGTTCGTACTCGAGGGAAGAGGACGGAGAGCTAATATCGTTACTCATTCGTATAGGATAAACTCGAAGTTGAGACGCGCGATGTGGTGGAGGAGTTGAAGAGGAGGATTAGGAGGGTTGAAGAGGAGTGTGAACGGTATGTCTTCTTTTCTTCTTTCCCCCTTTGCTTAATGAACATGCGGCTTATTCACGTTTTCTACCACCTTTGCTTTGACACTGGACTGCATTCCCACGAACTTTTCGTTTAAACACGAACTTCTTCCTCTTGCGAACGGACTCTGTTGGGTTTGAATGAAGCCTTCGACGATCCGAGCTGGAGCTTAAGGAAAGGTTTGAAGAGTTGAAGAGGGAGGGGCTCGTCAATGGGGGGTCGGGAACCGTTGGTCGGGATGAGGTTGGGGCGAATGGACATGCTCAACCTCAGTCTGCATCCAGCAACGGTCAAGCTCAGCTTCAGTCGGTATCCCAGAGCATCCAAGCTCAGCGTCAGTCGGTATCCGAGAATGGCCAAGCTCAAGAGGATGGTCGTGTGGCGAATGGGTATGCTCCAGGGGAGGTTGGTGGTGGTCGGGTTCTGCCTACTTGGCCGGCGATACGTCCAAGTCCGGAGCTAGAGGACCGACGGGAAGACGAGGGTGTAGAAGATGAGGAAGGCGAAGGTGAAGCGGATCGTAGAAACTCGGCTGGGTCCCCGGTGGAGACAGAGCGCCAGGGGGATGTGGATGATACCGGAGACCTCGGTGAACAGGAGGGGAAAGAGAGGGGTGAACGCCAGGAGCGGGAGGAAGAGGACGCTGAGCCGAAGAAAGAACGAATCTCGGTGCAGGTCTATGACCGACATGGACGCCCCCCGTTTTCGCTGGAAAGCCGTGCGCATGACGAGAGCAAGCAAACGGATAGCTTCGACGAGAGCACCCAAACGGACGGGTTCGACGAGAGTACGGCTCGGGATGAAGACTACCGGTATGACGGTAGTACGACGCGCGCGCAGTACGATGGGAGTACGAGTCAAGCTGGGTACGATGCGAGTACGAGTCAGGCTGGGTATGATGCTAGTACGAGTCAGGCGGGCTACGATGCAAGCACATCTCGCGCCGAGTACGATGCAAGTACCACTCGCGCACAGTATGACGACAGCGCGAGTCGAGGTCGATATGACGATAGCCGAGTTCAATACAACGACAGCACCAGTCAAGCCCGGTACGACGAGAGCTCGAGTCGACACCAGGAGCACGAGTCCTACGACCACGAGTACGACGAGCTTAGCAACTCGCTTTATGACGATTTATCGCATTTGGTGGATGGGGACGAGGATGAGGAAGGGTATGAGCATCGGGGTTACGAAGGCGGTGGGTATGGAGGTCGTGGGTATGAAGGGCAGTATCGCCGGGGGTATGGCCGGGAGGTCTACGTGGAAGGTGGACGCGAAGTGTATGTCGAGGACGGGTACCACGACGAGGATGGGTATCACGACGATGAATATCAGGGCCAATACGAGTATGAGGAAGGAATGGACGGAGGGGACCTTCGCACGCTTGTGCTTTCGACTATTGAGGAGGTTTCGGAGAGGTCTAGTTCGTCGTTGGCTGTTGGGGATCATGGTGCTTACGGAGATGGGGAGGAGGAGGAGGATGGGGGTTATGAAGAAGTCGAAGAAGCCGACGTGGAGGGAGAGGAAGAAGGGGAGGGAGGGTACTCCTACCTCGAACGATCACCGTACTCGCATGAAGTGGACTACGAAGAAGGCCGACATCCCCAAATCCGAATCGACGTTCCGGATGACAGCTCGCAGGAGTACCAGCGACCTACCGCTCTGGAGAACGAACGCGCTTATTTATCGCCTTCGACGCCTGTTCCGCATGTGGGTTCGCCGTCGACGCCTGTACCGCACGCGCAGGATCGAGACCGGTTGTCGCCTTCGACGCCTGTGCCGGAGCATCATGCTGGTGATCGGAGCCATGATGCGCAGCAGCAGGGTTCGTCGATGTATGTTGCGTCGTCGTCGTCGCCGTTGCATACGCAGAGGGATGGGAGTTCGTCGCCTATGCCTGGTGGTGATGGCGATGGATCGAGCGCGAGTGGCAGGGAGAGGAGTGGAAAGGAGGTGAGGGAGGGGTCGAGATTGGGTGTTAGTGGGCAGAGTTCCAGGTTGGGTGTTAGCGGAGCGGGATCCTCACGCTTGGCTGATGAGTCTAGGTTGGGTGTGTCTGGTGGAGGGTCTTCGAGGCTGGGTGTTTCAGTGGCAGGTTCCTCAAGGTTAGGTGTATCTGCAGGTGCTTCGTCTAGGCTGAGTGCCTCGGGCGCAGGTTCGTCGAGGAACGACAGTCCCCTGCCGCCCTCTTCGCCGCCGCAGGATACGTCGGTCTTGCCGGTTGTGACTGATATGTCTGGGCTACCTGTTGCGACTGACATATCTGGGCTACCTGTTGCAACTGATACCTCGGCTCTGGATCATGGGCATGATGTCTACCCTTCGCCGTCGACGCACGCTTCGCCTGAAAAACGTATTTCCCCATCGGCGCGAGCCTCTCCTGCCACGCGAGCATCGTCCTCGAAGCGTATATCCCCAACGAAGCGAGTCTCGCCATCTAAACACGATCCCAGTTACCGAGGTGCCTCGCCATCCGATATGGACCTCGAGACACCACTCATGCCGATATTGCTGTTCTCAGAGGACGATGATGCGTCTGGATCCGCGTCGCGTTCTGGTTTGAGTGGCGATGTACATATGTCACCACGACGAATCGCTCGCGCCTATGCGGACATCGAGTCGCCTGGGAGGAGGTTCTTGCGTAGTCCACCTGACTCTCCGGATTCTTCCGCCCCTGATTCACCGGAGAGTGTGGAGGGAGAAAGACATCATGGATCTGGAAGGAGAGACAGGGGAGAGCGAGGGAGGCGGGAAGATCAGGAGCATGGGGATGGGCACGAGGATGAAGACGAGTATGGGCCTGGTCATGATTCTTCGACGTCCCTGGCTACGCTGGAAGTGCTGGGTTCGCCGTTGATGGGTGAAGGGTTCAGTACCCGCTCGCATATGGCTGCTTCGTCTGGGTGGGGGGATGGTGGATCTAGGAGTGTCAGTGGATATCGGCAACCCATTGTGGAGGAGGAGCAGGAGCATGGACAGGCACATGTGGAAGAGGACGAAGACCCCGATCGACGCTCCCAGAACCGCCATCACCAGGATCGATACCCCAGCCAAGGTTCAGGGCACCTTCTGGACGAACGACGCCACGAGGACGAGGATCGGTACCTCTCCAACGACCAACCTGAAGACCAGAGTCGTGATCTCTATGCAGAACATCGCGAGCCCCACCATCGATCTGATCTCCGTTCGCCAACTCCTCCCCCGCCGGAATGGCCTGTTCATCATGTTCGAGGGGGACGGTTCCCCATTGACGACACCTCTCGCGGTCCACGGCTATCTCGTTCGTTCTCTCGCTCGAGGGGACGTGGAGATGAGAACGAAGATGGAGAAGGAGATGGAAACGAAGAGCCTTTGATCGACCCTGACACCGTACCCTTCGACTTTGATTACGGGAGCTTTGATCCCCGCGTTGACGAAGACGGGAATCCCCTCGACGACGATGAAGGTGATCGAGATCGATCACTAGGTGTCCTAGCTGGCCTAGGTGGTGGGATTGGAGTCCTGGCAGAGTCGACGAGGGAGTTGGGAGGGTTTAATTCCTTTGCGGCCGATTTGGAGAGTTTTTGTCATCCGAGGGAGAGCGAGTCTGTGGGTGAGGAGGAGGGGAGGTTTGATGATGCGCCTGAGGAGCTGGAGAGGGGGTGGAATCGGTCGGGGTATGCTGGGGATCGATCGGGGTACCAGGAGAGGTCGGGATACTACAACCAAAGCGGATACGACATGGGTAACCGATCAGGGTATGGGAATCGATCCGGCTTTGACCACGGCGATACGTCTACCAACCAGTTCGATCGCTCTGGATACAACCATACCAGAAGTGTCTACGGATACCCCTTCAACCAGAGTGCGACGGGTGATTTCAGTTTCCATCCTGCGAACGAGTCTACTGGGCGGCATTTGATGGGAGGTTCGTTTGGAGGATCAGCTTCGTTTGGAGGTCGATCGTTCGGTGGGCAGGGTGGTCATCCTGTTTGGAGCACACCGAACAGGTCAGGCGGTCAGCGTCAGTCGATGTACGCTTCGAGTGGGTCGCCTGGTCATTACCGTCCTGGGGAATCTCCAGGGAGGTTCTTCAATCCCGCCAACGAGTCTACTGGTCGACATGGCTTCAACCCAAACGATTCACCGAGCAGACACTTCAACCCGGCGAACGAGTCCACTAATCGACACCAGTGGGGTACTAGTCAAGGATACGCGCCCTCGAGACCTTCGCCCCTCAAGACCACTTTCTCGGCTCCCTCCCTTGGCGGTGGGAACGGTGAACCTAGTGCCACCGGAAATGGATATCTGACTGGTTCACCAGGTCTTGCTGCCCCTTCAGTCGATCAAAACCGATCGCGTTCGACGGGTGGTATCTTTGGATCGGAGGGTCTCAACTTCAATTTCAATCCCCTCGTTCCCCCTCCGCCTCCCACTTCTGCTCCTGCCGGATATGCGTCTGAAGACAAAGGTATGTTTCCCTATCCCTTTTTCAGTTCATAGTCTAATTTATAGTTATAGACACATCGACCGCTGCGTTCTTTGGTCCAGTGTTCTCAGCTCAGCCATCCGTTACTCAGACTCCTGCAACTCAGCCCAATCGGAAACGAGAGCGTCCAAGTGACTCGCCTCCGTTCCAATCTCTTGATCAACTGGGTCAAGTAACGCTGTCGCCTTCGCCGTTCACGTTGAAGTCGCCTCTCTTCACACCCCGTTCGCCAAATTTCAATCCATTGGGAAGGTTACCTGCTCTCACACCCAGCCCGTTCGCTTTGTCGCCTATGGTTACTGGTTCTGCAAATACCATTCCGGGCGCGTCGGATGGATCGGGGAGGCTCGGAGGAAGAGGGCTAGCTGCTGGAGGTGCATCGTCGAGTTTGGGAACCGGAGGCGCATCGCGTCTGGTTGGGAGCGGTAGCACGAGTGTCCAACCCGCCAATTTGAGGAGGACGGCTTCTCTTCCCGGCCAGGGCCGTACTCGGGAGAGGGATAACCTCACGACGCCTGCGATGGGGCTGGGCATTGGACATCGTGGAAAGTCTCCGGTGTTCGACTCTGGGAATGGGAGTACCGGTGGAGCTGGTGTGTCCGGGAGTGTCGGGAAGGTGACTCGAAGTCGAAGTGGTAGTGGAAGCACCGCGGGGAATATGAGTGGAAATACGAGCGGGGTGTCGAGGAAGAGGAGTGCGTTGAGCACGGGTGGAAGTAGCCCGAGTTTGCTGGGAAGTCCATTTAAGGAGAGGAAGGAGAGGAGGCCTGGATCTGCAAGTGGCAAGTCGTTGAGTGTGAGCGGTGATACTGTGCCTGCTGGGCAGGAGGAGGGCTGGGTTGGGAGTGGAGATACTGAACCTGTAGAAGATGAGTATAAGTAGACGTTTCGGGAGCAGGTCTCTTGGTCTCCGTTTCTTTAGTTTCTCTTTCTCTTCGTGTTGATATTCATTTTACTCTTGCACATTCTCGTTCTCATTCAAAAGGTGCACTCAACGTGGTCTGTAGTTGTTGTATGTATATAGCCTTGCGTTTTTGTATATCTACTCCCTTATCTATTCGCTCTATTTTGTATATTTCGACCTAGTGTTCTGTTCAATAGCATTCATTCTCGACACCCCAACGACGTCATGAAATTTTGAAATCGTCAAAAAGATGAGATATACAGTTTAGATTACATGACACTTTCCATCCGCTGCATTCCTGGCTCCGATCTGGCTGCACAGACAGCTTTAAGGCCTTCCACAAGTACGAGGAATTTTCTTGCACCGTGGTCGTCCATGATATCACTCCCCCATCTACTCCGCGGAACAAGATCGACATCTTCGGGGTTATCGTCCACAATTGTCTGACCTGACAACGGCGACGTAAGTTACCCGTGGTAGGGAGTTGGTTATAACACAGCAAATCAGCCTTACCAGTCGGGGTCGGTGCAAGTCCCAGTTGTTGTAGATTGGGTTGATAAGGCATAGATAGCGGTGGTCGTACTGCTGTATTGCCGTGCTTCACATAGCAGCAGTACATCCTCCCCATGAAGATGACTCCTGCTATTGAAGGAAGACTGTAGAGCTCTTCGAACGCAATAAGCGCCCGAAGGTTTTGGTTTCGTTTGAAAACAGACGTCAGCTTCGTTATACATCTGGAGGAAAATACGAAAGCAGAACAGAAGCTCACCTTGTATGTCCCTCATTCGACTTCTCATCACCTTGTCCACTGCCTCGCGCATTGAAGGGTACAGGATGTCGTTGGGCCCTTTGATGTACACGACGAGGATGGGTTTGTCCTCGTACATTATCTCGTACATGAATTGCACGGGCGACCAGCAGCTGGCACCTGCACCTATGGCACCAAACGAGCTAGGCGGAAGGATACCGCTGCTTGTCTGAAACGTGTTCGATGGGATCAGACGCGGTACGACGGAGTATCGACTGTCTGGTGGGAAGAGCGAGTGAAGGAGTTTGTTGAAGGGCCCATAGTAGTCGGTTTCAGTTGCGTGTGGGGGCAGGCAGGTGAATTGGGAGATGATAGATGCTGAGAACCAGGATGACATCGTGGTGAGAAGTGGGTATCGAGTGGGGTGGATTATGTGGGGGTGAGTAGACGCTCGAGTGATGGCCAATAATCTCTCGCGTTGATTGTATCGCTTTGCCATTGGCGTCTAAGCAAAACATGCACAACAGATCGCCCCACCGGTACCAGTGCGCCCGCCGCCGCGCTACCTCGCTAGCAACTCGCTAGTCCTCAATTATTCGTCGATTATAGCATGTTGCCGGAGTCGCCGCAATCCAAGGTCACCCAAGGTCCCCTCCTCGTTCCTGTACTGCTACCTGGCTCTGGCTAGAAGCGCGGCGGGAGGAAAAAAGTGGCCTCGACTAGTCTTCCGTAGTCAGATTAAACGATACTCACGCGCCCTTTGTAAACTTGTTGAATGAGGACGCTTCGCATGTATATGTATGTCTCGGCGCCGTCACAATTTGAATTTGGACTGGAACTGCGAGGTTTTGTTTGGCTACAGCCTGACAGAGTTTGGATTTGCTTGGCTAGGGCTTGTTATTTGGGCGTTGTGTAGCTCCGAGGGGTTGTTTGGCTTATGCCTTGGGATATTTCGTGTTTCGCTGGGGCTTTGGGATATTTGCCTAAAGCCCCTACTGCTTCCCTACCTCTAATAGCTGGGGTTGGTCTGGAGCTTCTGGAAATGCTCTGACCCTGTTCCCCCTTCTCTTGGAGAGTTCTGAGGGAGCAGGACCCTGTCTCTGTCCAATCTTTGTCTGCAGCTATCGAGAGCTTGTCACTTACGTGGACAGACAGATTGATTTGTAGAGCGTCATTCCCGTCCCCGGCCCTGTCCGCCGCAGCGAACTAGGTAAGGCAGGAGCGCATGCACCCTTTTTCGAACGGAATTTAACGGGCGCTTAATTGGCATCAGTGTCAAGTGACCATCAGTCCCAATGGCATGTGCCGTTATCTCGTCCAATTTATTCCATCCGAGTCCCTGAGTCCCAACAAGTCGCATGAGGTCCGAAGGACGAGCTCACCTCTCACGCCGTCACGCTCAGGCTTCCTTTCCCCCACAGTAATCCCTCACTGGTCACCTTTCGTGTGCCTCGAAATGCGCGACGACAACTCGCTGACTCGAGTAACCTCTCGCATTCCTCTTTCCCTCTTGGTTCTGTCTCTGACGCATTACGCGAGTTGCGTTGTACTATACCCCGAGGCCTCACGAAATCCGGACGACGCAGACCTGGTAAGCAAGGCCGCTGCTAACATTCTATCGCGTGCCTCCTCGATGCCCGGTTTCGATAGACGACAAGATGGACAAGATGAAACTTGCCCCTTTGGCCCCAATGCAGAGAGATGTGGTGGTGGTCGATACTGCTGTAGCACCTTATCAAGATTGTGTTGCAATTTCGAATGTTGCGTGCCTGGGTGAGTTATATCGTCGTCCGGTGTCGGTGCATGAATGGGCACGAAGCTTACTTCCTGATAGCACGGAATGCATGCATCTGGACTGGGCGCCGAGCAGCAACTCCAATATATGTTGCCACTTAGGAACGAACTGTGGAACGGGACGGTGAGCATCTATTTGTACTTCATTGGGTGGCCAAATTTGAACACTCCCACTCCCCGACAAGCCCACCGGAGACGACGCCTCTCCTTCCTTCAGCCCCCTACACGTATTCATTCCCTTCCAATGCTCCCTACACGCCTTCGTTCGACACGCTGAATACAGCAATCGATGATCATGAGGCCACTGGGTCCCCAAGCGAGACCAGTACGGGGACTGCCGGAGAGAGTGGAGACGGTGGATTATCGACAAGCGATAAGATTGCGATAGGCCTTGGTGTTCCATCGGCTGTCGCAGCTTGTATGGGAATCTGGTTGTTCTTGAAGTCGCGAGGAAGGAGGACTTCTTAGCACATATTTGCGTTGTCGGAGAGCATGGGCTCTGACCGCCAAGTGCCGATCAGCCCTGTCTCGACCTTGGACCTTTGTGCGACGTCGAAAGGAACACATCCTTGATTCTTGGAATTCAATCCCACGTTTGAGACTGAAAGCGGGAAAGGGAAACACACTCGGGCTTCACAATCGCCGCCTGGACACCGGTGGACTTTAGGTCAGACTAACCGCTCGAAGCTATTTTCGGAAATATGCTTAGGTGACAGGTAGAACGCGTGGCGATGGCTCAGGTACACGCTTGATATGAAATGGGCGCTTAATTTCAGATCTCAGACGGTTTGCGCAGCTCGATGGCAGGTGGTATGTAGTGTGCATGCATCGCTTCATCGTTTTGCCCATCGTTATTTATCCCTTCCTCACATTCATTCACCCCGTTCTTCCACCCCCTCCCTTACCTTTCCGACACCTTTCCGTTCTTCAGCACACCCAACCCGGGCCCGATAATGCTCGCGCATACGACATGTGCGCTGCACATCATTACCCTCGGAGCCCCGGCAGTGTTAGGGATACCTTTCATCGAATCTACAGTCACAGGGATCACGAAAGCCACGTCCATATCCCCTCTTTTCTCTAGATATAGATTGCCATCCAAACGACAAATAGGTTGTGTAACAAATGCAACTCCGTGTGAAGGGGGACATTGTTGCCCCCAGTTCGGTACGCAATGCTGTAGGGCCGACGTTGGGGGCGCTAACTTTGCCGAGTGTTGTGCGCCTGGGTGAGCCCTATTCACGAGAAGCAATCGATGCTCGACACTGCTTAACTTGAAGCTTCTTTCCCCAGAATGACTTGTGTCTTCTTCGGTGCTCAGGCTGCTCTCTGCTGTACAAGAGGCGAATCTTGCGACGGCGGTACCGTGACGTACGTGAAGCGTTTCCTTTGGCACACGGAGCGTTTGAGCTGAACTGGGGTGACTATTTAGTCAACCGGACGACGATGAAGACGATTCCCCGCCTCCGGCTACCACCCGCTCCAGCCAAACGTCAAGCAGTACAACTCCTACCAGTACGCCTTCTTCTACCCCGGAAAGCATTTCCGATCCGTCCACATCGTCCACGCCGACCTCCGAATCCCCCGGAACGCCATCCATAGCGGACACCTCAGCTGCCTCGACTACTGATGGTTCTTCCATCGCCTCTTCCACCACACCATCGTCAGACTCATCTAGCGACACCCCTACCCCCACCATTGGTTCACTCCCATTCCCCTCCCCGTCGACCACAACTTCAGATGACGCGGATCCTGAGGAAGACGATGAAGAACCAGAGACGTTGAAATTGGCCGATAAGATCGCCTTGGGTGTAGGATTGGGTGTTGGTCTTCCTAGCGCAGCTGTGGCTTTAACGGGTCTGTGGACGTTCTTTAAGCGTGAAGGTTGGAAGTAGTTACATACAAAGGTTGACTGGGATGATGGTCGCTTATAGCTGGTCCACTTATGATTGAATTTCACGGCGTGGTCGTCCTTGCCTCTCGAGACCACGGCTCTCGAAGAAATAAAAAAGGCATTTATTAGCAACAACTCGTCTCGATCGAGTGACCTCGGGGTTATGAGCCCCGCGCTCTACCACCTGAGCTATGTTGCTGATAACGTAAAGAAAGCTTGAGTATTGTCCTCGTACAAGTGCATTTTATCTGACCAGGATGATGGAATCCACACCGAGGCTCAGACTGAGATAAGTCTTGCATGCAGCAATAAAAATCAGTTGACCACAAGAGCCGATACAGTGAGTCACATCCACAGCTCCTTGATCAGATCAGCCGCCCTCTCCGCAATGGCATAAATCCCAGCCTGGGTCGAGCCCGCAGTTACGAACGGCTTTAAATTCAAACAGATTCAGCTTCGAGATCATCACATGCGAGCACTACGAATTTGACGAGACTCACTGTTACACTTGAATCGACAACCCTCAGTCCCTCAACCTTTTTCACTTTCAGATCCGGGTCGACAACTCCCCATTTCGCACCTCGAGGCGACATTGCGCACGTCCCGCCATTGTGACCGGCGTTTGCTGTCGTCAATCGTAATATTGAGTCGACTTGGGCGTTCCACGCTTCTTCGTCGGATAAAGGCGGGAGAGGCGGCGAGACTGTGAGGTTCCATTCGCTCCACGTAGGGGCAGAGAAGAACCGCTGAGCGGCCTTTATCCCTTCTTTCATGGTTAGAAAATCAAAGTTGGAAGCGTAAACGGCGGAATCGATGAGTGGTGGATCGAACGGGTCCGCCGAGCGCAGTTTTACCGAGCCTCCTACAATGAGGTGAGGGGGAGCTGGGTCTCAGATTGAGCGGAGGGAGCTCACGAGAGGTGGTTTGAATGGCGATGACTACGACCGCGATCGACGGCGGGAGGTATGGGTTCCCATTCGCCTAATGAGGGTCTGTCAAATTCTATCGCGATGAAAGTCGAGAGCTACTCACGGAAATGGCCAATTCGAAATGAGGGGTGTTCTTGCCGCTAGAAGGGTCGTCGTACCCGCTCCAGATACTCGAGTTGTCAGGGATCCGAAGCGAAATGATGTGGTTGGACCCTGAACTGGTTAGTGGCCCTGTACGATTGGTACGCCATTGATCGAGCCATTTACGCTGAAGTTCGGCGTCTCTGGAACTTGAATTAGAACATGGCAACAGAAGTTCGAGGCTGAGCCGAGGACTTACGGGGTGACTGTCCCTTCAATTCCTAACCCCCAATTCAAGAACATCAATGGCTGATCCGTCAGGTTCTGTCCAACGCTTGGTAAATTTACCACCGGTTCAATACCCAGGGCTTGAAGTAGGGAGACGTCTCCTATCCCCGAGAGCTGCAGGATTTGCGGAGAGTTGAAGACCCCAGCCGAGACGATCACCTCTTTGAAAGCTGTGACTCGAAGCTCTGGAATGGCTAAGAGGATATTGCGTAGCACAGCGGGCGGTGGACACACCTTTCGAAGTATCGTGGGCGGAAACAAAATGGACTGTCGTAAAGAGAGGAACACGGCCACTAGGTCTCCGAGTCGCGGAAACCTTCGTGACACGATGACCTACCAGAACTACCAGGTTTGGCCGGTTCGCGTATTTCGGTGCTAGGTATGTCATAGCTGCCCCACTGCGTTCACCGTTACCAACGGTTAGCTGAGTCCAACCTATGCATCATGTCAGACGATGTTAGATCACGGGTAGGGGCAGGGCTACCAACCGACGCCGAGCATATTCCCATCGTTCATATCCCGATTGTAGGCAAACTCTCCTCCTAGCTCGCGGCTCGCCTCCACTACTTTGGCGTCGATTGCTTGAGGTGCTGCGGAGAGGCTCACAGATGTGATTCCGGTCTCGCTGTGCCAACGAGGATCGTACTTCCCCCTCGAGCCATGGCTGTCCGATAACTTGGTCCACTTTTCGGTCTAAACCCGCTCGTCAGGTTGGAAGGACTGCACTTCGAATGTGACTAAGGCGCCCACCTTGAACACATACGGTAAAATCTTCTTCCACGACCATCCGTCGTCCCCAGTGACCTTCGCCCATCGATCGTAGTCCGAGGATGATCCTCGAACGTAGAACATTCCGTCTATTTATAGAGTCTCGTTGGGTCGAAGGGTGGTATAGCGAGAGTGGAAACTCACTTATGGTGTTACTCCCGCCCAATACATGGCCCCTGGGGATGTAGATGCTCGTATTGCCAAGCGACGGCTGGGGTGTAGACGTGTAGTTCCAATCCCAAGAGGTATTCGGCGCCACCGCTGAGATCCCTGGTACGAGAATGTTGGGAATGGTCTCGTGTCTGAAAGAACGACGAATCAGCAACGGTGTCGTAAAATGACGAGTGGAAAGAGACCATACGTTGGACCTGCTTCGATAACCAAGACATTCCATCGAGGATTCTCCGTCAATCGGTTAGCGAGAACAAGGCCTGCATTTCCACCTGCTGGAGTGCTCAGCAAACATGCGCTATGGATGAGACAACCTATGACTGACCTCCTGCGATGATGAAATCGAACCTTGGGAGGCTGCGTGGTAGAGTATCAGTTATCAAAGAGGAAGTCGGAACTAACAGGAAGAGCGCGACGACGAGGAGCGAGAGTGGCAAAACGCGGAGGAACATGACCAAGGAGACTGGAGTGTTGATTCCTTTTGAAACACATTGTGACAGTCTATTTATGAGTGGTCTGGCGAAATACTTCTGCATGGCTCTTTCCACGCCCTCAAAGCCTTCGACTGGCTTCCTTGACCAGCTTGGTCACTCGAGATCGAGGTACGAAGCCCTTCCACCGCGCATAGCCAGGAGCCCATTGGGCTTGTCGCCAGAGACAATGGTATTCAGGCTCTATCGGCCGTCTTCGTTCATCAGGGGTGGAGACCTCTGGCGTGGTAGCTATGCGTCTAACCCTTGCAGGAAAGGTCGCGCCGCAAAATGCCGAGGTCATGATCGAGTCCCACGGTCGAAGTGGGCGGTGGGCGCTTGTTTTTTCTATCTGGTGAACACGGCGAGGGATGTTCCATCCATGGAATTTCTCCTCCTATCAATATGGTCTTTCAACCGTCGCCAATTCTGTGCAGGGGTGTCCACATCCTCCGAGCGAGATAAACAGTTTGCCCAGCTTCAGGGCCGTGAAACACCGTTTATGGAATTATAAGTGTATGTATGGACATTGAAGAGAGCTAGCGTGTAATAGAGAATTGAAGTAATGTGTATTGCAATTGGTACGCTGTATTCATCGTCCGATGCATCCATCACCCTCTGTACGTGCAGCAGCTATGGTTTTACGAAATCCATTACTACCTCGATCACTAGACGATAGAGAAAGCTCAGGCTCACCTGATAAGGTACGGGATATTCGCAGCCATCATCAACCCGAACGCTGCCCAAGCAAGCTTCAACCCGACCCCTAGTGACACTTCGATGCCAATGGGTGTTGGATTCGCAACTGGTGTCGTCGTGATAGTCATCCCGTTGATTACCTGCGCCTTCTTGACCGCTACGGTCCAGAGGATGGCACCTAACAGCAGGAAAATACACGACAAGATACTGAAAAGTGTGGAGAGAAGGAATGTAAAGTTAACTTTGGCTAGACCCCTGATGAATGTAATGAATGGTCAGTCCACACATGATCCCGGACGTCCAGCGACAGCATCAACTCACAGTATAAGGCTTAGTCCGACAAAGATAAACGCGAGCAGAAACATATACCCAGCCGTCCTCGAAAACGACCCCAACAGGACGTCATTTCGGAAGTTGGAAGGCGGTACGACAGCGTTGATGAACTGCGAATAGTTCAATGGCATGTCGGATTTGATGATAGAGAAAGGCCGGAACTGAGACGCGGTAGCCTGTCGTGCGCATCTCCCACTGAATTCGTTCTCGGATTCGACATAACCACAGTAGTTGGTAACGCCGAAGCGATATTCGTGTCGCAGGCCTGTCCCGTTGCCAAGTCGAGAAGCACCATCGGAGGCGTACAGTCCCTCGATTGGTATGACGCCTTCAAAGGCCGAGAATAGGACTTCGCTACACAAAGATCAGCGAAAGCCGAGGTAAGCAGAAGGTTGAAACGTACTGATAACTTGATAGGTCAATTCGAGCCATGGATATACTGCCAGCAACAGATGAAGAGTTTGTTTGCCCGGCCTAGGGGTGGAAGAGATCTAAATACCCTCCCCCTGGGATAGGCGCGAAGAACATACGTAGATTAGCGCAAGAAGTATCATCGATGTGAGTCTATAGAATTAGGTCTTTTTTCAGAGTCTGAGAAGGGATAATCCAGAAAAATAACTCACGAAAGCAGCGACGCAAGGCTGATGCAGAGTTCCCCTCTCATTCTCACTCTTCCTCCCGAGAGACGACAGCAAGCAGAGTCCGAGCCGTACACAGAGTAAGAGTCGGAGTTTCTGTAAGGGTAGGGGCTGCTCGATACGTTGGACAGTGTGGTGTTTGGCTTTTCGCTTGGTGCTGGCTCCCAGCTACGAGGATGGCGACCTAATGGAAAGGAATCGGGTGGGGTGTACCGAGGGGAGCGCCCAGGATAGTAAGACATGATCCAGTCGGCAGGTACAGTGTTCGTAGCAGACGTCGATGTCAGGAAGCACTTATACTCGGTTAGAACGTACCTGAAGGATAGGCCTCGTGCACAGCTAGAACAGCGCCAGAGGTATTCCACCTGTTCAGCAGGGCCTAAGGAGGTTATAGTGGGCGACCGCCTGACCATGCACGTTTCATGTGTAAGTGTCCAGAACGAGACGGCACGCAGAGTATTGCGCTGACAGGGTCAATGGAACATGTCGATCTATTAATAGAAGCACTGGTTCCAGCTGGAGTAAGGGCCAGATAAGCGCTGGTTTGATTGAACTGCCATCCGTTCGAACCCTACTCTTTCCCTCGTTCCATCCTGTCCATAGATGTCGAGTCCTTACCTCTTCTTTTACCTGTTCTTCCAAGTGACGTTCGCCTTTGTCGTAGACGTTCAGCATTCGCACGCCCACCACGACCTAGCGCAACGACAATCGGTGCGACTGTGTCCAGCCGGGAGCCTCGAATGTGTCGGATATTGCTGTATAGGAGACTCGTGCTGCTCTCATGGAGCTGAGCCCTGCTGCATAGCTGGGTAAGTGTCGTGTCCCTAGTTGCATCGTTGGTCACTGAGTCCAAATATACCCAGCGCCTCGTGTCAGGTATTCGACCATGCTCCCCTTTGCTGCGTGAAAGGCGTGAATTGCGGAGAGGTTCTGTCATCTGTCGCGGCGCCCACCCCGACTTCCACCGTAGGCCTGCCGCCCCCTCAGTCGTCAATATCGTCGATATCGTAAGTTTGAGGGCCCACCCAGTCGTTGACATCCACTCACCAATTGATATTGGCAGGTCAGCGTCGATACCCACACCCAGTCCCTCGAGTACCAACAGCGACGAGGAATCAAGCAGCAACAAGCTTCAGCTCAGCGACAGAATTGCACTAGGAGTCGGAATCGCAGTCGGGGTACCTTCTGCACTGGCTGCAATTATCCAGATGTGGAAGTGGAGGAAGTAACTAGAACCAAACCAGAGGCTAAATTTTGAACGATGCAACCCAAGTTGATAATGATTAGCACGGCGGGTTGGTTGGCGTGTCTGTCTATGGGACTCAGGTTTCTTAGGTCAAAGTTTTGCCTGTTTTGTGAAAACAAGGCCCCGAGATAGCCTTCGAGAGGTGCTGAGGAAGCGGTAACGAGTAGGCTGGAGAAAAACCTGCATGCCAGTTGCGCTTGCCCGCCTGCCGTGACCGAACAGTTGATGGCATCATCGGCATTGGATTTTACCACGACATCTGACCGCTCATTGGATTTGCGTTGGACCTCTCTATGTTCGACCATTTCTCCTTCGAAGCCTTACTATAGGTCCGCATTGTTCATCTAGGCGCATTTTTTTCCCTTGGTAATCATTTGTGTGGGTATCTAACCTACACCACCCGCCGAGGCCCGAAGACATTGGTAAAACGCCCCTTCATAGCTTTCCTCTTATCTTCCCCTTATTCCGTTCCCCTAGTTTGCAGCAGTTGACTATCTTTTTACAGCCTTTGCCAAAAGTTGACAGTAATCTTCGACATTCGGTAACACCTACAGGACATTATCATCTCACACACTCGACTGTCAATACGATTGTTATCATATCCAGCCACCCCGGCCATCGACATGCACGACGCAAACGGGCCCAGCGCGACTACGAGGTGCTCAAGGATTCATTGTAAATCCACCCCTCTCGATTGGCCCTCGGAACTACCGGCTCAAGCCTGACATAAACCTCATCACGAACTCTGCAAAGTTACTGTGGAGTTCGGAATGACGCTTTCCCAAGTGCTGTAATCGTGTGGACTACGGATCTCTTCGCACTCAGATCCCTCGCGACCTGCCGCTTGCCTGACTGCTTTAGATAGATAAACCTTCGCTGCGGTTCATGTCTTGGGTTGCTTCCTGGGCTTCTTCCTCTCCACGGCAGAACCAAACATTGGGCACGCCCCCGACTGAGCAATTTTAATGAAGCCTGTTTAGAGTCAAATGGCGACTGACTGTTCACCTTCACCGGGATCTCGCCGTGCTCTAGCCTTTGGAGGGAGATACATGGCCACTCAGTCATTATAGGGCCGCCTATTTTCGAGGAAGTGGACACCCGATTGCAGGTGGGTGGGAACAAATCCTCGCTCCACCACAACGTTCTCAAAAACATCACACCTCGACAGTATCATCGCGTCCAAGTTCTTCGCCTCCCACCCCTTTCACTGCGTGCCAATAACGCGTGGTTTCGCTCCTCTTCAGCATTCATCTCCGATTCACCGCTGTCTTCATGAATGTCAAAAGTGTGTAAGCTTCTTTCGTATAATGTGACCGCGTCACTGAATAGTTGTGCTTCGCATAGGTATTTCGTTAGCTGTGTCCCCCGATATCGGTCTTTCCTCCTCTTGGACGGGTATAAGAAGAACTGAACGAAGTCCTTCGATGGTTCTGCGAGGGATTTTCGTCCCCAATCCCACCTCGTCACTTGTTGCATTGATCCTGTCGGAATCGAGTCTCAGACAATGATCTCGACCTCGAAGCATCTCTTTGTGCTTCTTCCTCTTTTCCTAGTCTCACATCTCTCCCTCGTTCTCGGTTTCCCGGCGTACGCGTCCCTTGGAGGTTTAACCGAGCGTCAAGTCGAAGAGTACACGTCCAAGCTCCCTATCGTCTTTCCACCACCGCCGCCTGAACCTATCAAGGACCCGTGGCTCAAGTTGGTCAATGACAGGGCTCATCCATGGAGACCCCTTCGGAGAGGAGATGTCAGAGGACCCTGCCCGGGGTTGAATACGTTGGCATCCCATGGGGTATGTGGCGATGAACTTGGAATCCTTGGAATCCCGAACCTGCGTTGCGACTTTCGCATTTTCCTCGGGTATCCATCGTCGGTATCGGTGCACTGCGCTAACGTTGTTCTACGTGTTCCTGCAGTATCTTCCTCGAGATGGTGTGGCGACTCCAGCTCAAATCATCACTGCCGTCCAAGAAGGTGCGTTCTGTCGCCATTGAACATTTCGTCGGATATGATTCTGACCATTCTCTATAACAATGGATAGGCTTCAACATGGAGTACGGGATCGCGACATTCGTCACCTACGCTGCCCACCTCGTCGATGGAAACCCACTCACCAATCTCATCAGCATTGGTGGGAAGACGCGCAAAACTGGCCCCGATCCACCACCTCCCGCCATCGTTGGTGGGTTGAACACTCACGCTGTTTTCGAAGGTATGTTTGTAGCTATCGCGTTATCCCCTCGTTTTGATCGACACTAATTCGTCTTGATTCGCAGGTGATGCGAGTATGACCCGAGGTAAGTACTAATCGAGTCATTCGAAGTGGGATATCAGGATGACGTATATTTGTAGGCGACTTTCACTTGGGGGATAACTTCAACTTCAACCAGACGCTTTGGGAGCAGGTATGTATCGAGCCCCTGGTTACCATCTGTCAATGCAAAGTTAACTTTGCTGTAATCAGTTCAAGGACTACAGTAACCGCTATGGAGGTGGACGATACAACCTAACTGCGGCTGCTGAGCTTCGCTGGGCACGTATCCAGCAATCCATGGCCACGAACGGTCAATTCGACTTCACCTCCCCTCGGTACTTCACAGCCTACGCCGAATCCGTTTTCCCAATCAACTTCTTCACGGACGGACGGCTCTTCACTTCGAACACTACCGCACCAGGCCCCGACATGGACTCGGCGCTCTCCTTCTTCCGGGACCACAGGTACCCCAAAGACTTCCATCGCGCACCCGTTCCAAGTGGTGCTCGTGGACTCGATGTAGTCGCCGCTGCCTACCCTATCCAGCCGGGCTACAATGCAGATGGGAAGGTGAACAACTACGTCCTCGACCCGACTTCCGCGGATTTCACAAAGTTCTGTCTGCTGTACGAGAACTTTGTGTTGAAGACTGTGAAGGGGCTCTATCCAAATCCGAAGGGCTTCTTGAGGAAGGCACTGGAGACAAACTTGGAATACTTTTACCAGTCGTTCCCTGGGTCGGGAGGCTGCCCGCAGGTCTTCCCCTGGGGCAAGAGTGATTAGGTGCGCCGAGTCTGCGGGACGGGGGTACATTTTCGTTTAAATCGAGCTGCACGTTCGAATTGTAATAGTTCGTCATACTACTACGATGTTCCAATCGATTGAATACTAGGCGATCTTTGCTTAGCCCTCGCATTTCTGAACTCAAGCCGGTGGAACACACGAGTCGCGCGTGCGCTTAAACTCGTTCAAGCCTACGCTGTCTAGACATCGCAGCTCTCCCGCAGGCTCAAACTACTATATCTGCGCTGAGGGTATTCTGGGTTGCTCGGACACTGCATGGAGTCCATCAATATCTGGCCAATGCAGCCTCTGGGAATTGTTCAACAATCCTTAATTAGGGGATATGTTCGACCAGCCAACATGAATCAATGAGGATAACTGAGTAACTGAAAGGATAGGATATCTTTTGCATATCCAAGGAACTCAAGTCCCCACATCATTGACGGCACTAGGAATACAAGGTCAGCGAAGTAGCGTGAGCCATTGAAGTTAACAAGGGAATTAAGAAGATCTACTTACGCAGACAGAGATAACGTCGCTTCCGCATTGGCCAGAGCCACCATCAGGTCCGCACTCGTAGCTGAGTGCGCAAAATCGTCAGAGGCCAAAATGATAGAAAAATAGCGATGGAGGACGTACGTTAAACCGTTGAATTTGCTGGTGTAGCGATTAAAGATAATGGGGGCAGGGGTGCATCCAAAGGTACCAGAGTTGCAAGGGTTCTGCGTGGTGGTCAATCCGTCGACGACGACACAGTCGGAGTTATAGACGTTCCCTGTAAGATTGCGGGGTCAGCCATCGTGGATCAAGCGCAGCGCAGAACGCGGAAGAATAATGGGGCCTACATCGGTTCATGCCACTGTCCAGGCGAATGACATTCCCGATCCCAAAGTTGAAGCCAGGGCAGATGGCAATGGCTGATGCAACCATTGGGAGCAGGACTGCGAGTTGGGCGTTGAACATCGTGTCGAATTCTTTGGTTGCGAGTGGTGGTGGGAAGTGAGATGGTTGGTTAAGAGATATTGCTTTGAGGTTTGAAAGATGGACTGGCGACCCTTATATATAAATTTCTACTGACCATTAGGCGCCAGAGATAATGCCAGTAGTTCCGCCGGCGAGTCGCCGCCTCGAAAGCAGCATTGAACAGCTTTGGGTACTATTTTTGCCACGGGCGCCAAAAGCTAAGTTAAGTGTCGAGCGCCCATTATACTCTATAGAGGGAATAGTTGGAACTTTAGCTGTGGAGCATGTCCATGGTTATCTGATGCATCAGAACTTCATGAAAGGGAAGGTGACTTGAGAAATGATATATGAAGTCTCTCGAAACACCATCTCGACTAGCGGTTGGACGACCGAAGGGCTTGGCTCATTCGATCATTCTCTAATGGCTAGACATGGAATGGTGTCTATGGCGAAATGATGGAACCGGGGAATACGCCTTGGCACCAAGCTGTTACTCTTGGACGACCTGCTTTTTCAATGTTTCAGATTCCAACCAGAGTCAAGATAGATCCCAGGGTCTCTCGCGGTTGTTCCTCAGTTGTGAGAATATTTAGAGTCCAACGGGTTCAGTTCGTGCAAGTCTTACAATAGCTTGGTGAAAGGTTCTGAACGAGGTCCCATAGACGGCTGTCCTTCTTTATAAATTTGAATTAGCCCTTGGACCGCACAATCCATGCGCAGGGTCTGTTACTGTACCGCCATTGCTCACCATCGTTCCCATTGGAACGTCCTTCAGGCCTAGTGCGAGTACCTCATCAGAACATGTCGAGAGACGGTACCGGCAGCGTATGGCCCTCTTTCGCTGCTCCCCAAGCTACGCCTTTGACTTACATTTGTCGAGGAGGCATGGAAGCGCCCAACCGCTAGTTGTCGTGCCAATCGTTCTCAGGCGGGGTGTTCTATTCACGAGTGGGCAGTGTCGCGAGCGATATGGAGGTGATGGGGATGTCTAGTACTCTCGAAATCTTAGCTAAAAGGGATCTCTCAGGAGCCGCTAAGAGAAGCCATCCTGGTCTTTGTTTTCTGATGGAGCGAGGCGGCGCTCATGCAAACTGACATCGACGGGCTCGGCAATTGGCACCCAGCTTCCAAGAAAGTTCGAACTCCAGTGATTCAATGTATTTATGCGGTGTATTCACGCTGCAATTATAGATTATCAAACCATAAACTTTCAGCGCCATCAGACGCGGCATAGCAAGGGGCACGATGGTAAGCGCTCGTCCATGCCAAATCACCTGTAAGACGACTTGGTGTAGAGGGCCGTTGCAAGCACGGCAGCACCGAGCCTTTTTTTACTATATATAAATTATAGGGTATTATAGGTTATGTATTTCGGCGTTGTGACCCATTTTTTCCTGTGTTAAGCCATGCATGAGTTGCATTTGTCCTAAGGCCCTCATAGAGTCATAAACACTCCAAAGAGTCGGAGAATCATCCACATTACAAACTAAGTCACTAACCAACCCAGGAACTAGCGTCGAGCGATAACCAAGCGTTGACCAAGCGACGTTCAAAACAAGCTGTTTGAACTTTGGTTAACATTCCCAGTACTTCACATGGCACTCGTGCTCAGAACCATTTCCGAGCGCGACTTCAAGACTTGAAGCGTCCGCTATCCCTTTAGGTCGTCCTCGTCGACTGGTGTTTGACTCTTGAGTGCGTCCGATGACGACAGAATACCCGATTTATAAGGGTCCCGGGCAGAGCCCGCGGCCTGGGCTGCGCAACGAAGAGCATCGCTTCTGCTCGTCTTCCGCGAGGGTATAGCCGTTGGCAAAGCACGGTCTGGAATCTCGAGTCACATGTAGGTCTGCTTGTAAATAAAGAAATAAAGAGGTTCGTACCTGAGGTTGCCATCAGGGCGTCTGATCCTAACACGAACAAACACGGTACAGCACCTAAGCTTCAGCCGACCGACGTCCTTGCATCTTCCCAACTTTGTAGTCATCATCCTAGATCTATACAATCGAAGTATCCTTATATCGCGTGTTGCATTGGAGCCCAAACTCGTCCTTAAATGAGCCTAGTACCTACAGACCCAGGGACTCCGGGAGGTCCTGGGAGGTTTGACGTTACCGATCCCCTCGTCCGAAGCAAGAAAGCCTAGTATAGACCTACAGATTAATCATACACATCTTTGGCCTAAGCAGTACTCGTGCGGTACATCAGAGCCCACGCAGACTGGGTACGCAGGTGTGCAATAACTCTCGTGGCCCTGCCCACAGCCCGCGGACCAGGTCCGGCAGTCCCGCTTAGACCTGCGACAGATCAGTTACCGGTCTAGGAGCAATTTGGGGCGGGTAGCGTCCACTTACCGCAACAACTACAATACCAAGTCCAATGTGAGGTTTTAGGGAAACGACAGATTACTTAGGACGGTCGACGGTAAGTAGAAAATGGTGAAATCAAAGCGGCGATCACGGCCATCAAGTAATTCCCTAATGGCTATAATACAAAGCTCGGCGCACTCTTGGCAGAGGGTCCCTACGACTCTGAAAAACCGATCTTTACTTACGTAAAGGCTCGGAACTAGCCAACGCACATACTATCATTATCACTGGGTTGTAACGCCGACATAGAGTTGTAACGTGTCTTATCGGGGCTCAGATTCTTCTTTATCGGCCAATATTTTTGCATATCCTGTGAGAGTATACGTGGAAAATGTTAGCATCCACTTTCTACAAAGAAAGGGCAATTTGTAGTTGGAAGAATGCGTTATCAGTGGTAGAATTTTTGCGACAAGCGCAAAATTCTGACGTAATTCGTACTTTTCTAAAGGTCAAGAGCTCGGAATAGCGAAAAAACACTGGGAAAACAGATGCAGATCATTTTTGCTCCAATTGTGCTATCTTTTCAGTTTCCTACTGTAGTCACTGAAGAGAGAGGGCAAAAGTGCTCGAGCGTGACAGGTACGAGGGACCATTCGCAGCAGGTTGCACTCCTTTCCCATCAAACAATCAAACTTCTGTCACGCTCTTCGCTTCGGGGTTGCGAATGATGTGACAGAGGAGTGATCGCAGGCATGTCACACTCGTTGCAACTCCCTGTTTTTGAGGCCTTTTGGATACCCTTCACCGGCTTTCGTCTGGCATAGCAGGATCCTCTTCGATCTTACAGAGATTTGAAAGTAGTATAGAGAAATGGCATCCCAATGTACTTGCAAAAATATGGAAGCGAGGACCTCCTACTTCTTGAGTTATTGAAGGATAACTGAAACCCGTTACAACTCTATGGTAATGATAGTAGCCGCTACACCAAAAGGCAGCATGGCTGAAGAGCTTATCTCTTCAGCCACCGTCGGGTATATGAGCGTTATGGGAACCGCTGTAAGCCACCGGTCTTACATCACCATCAGATTCCGGCGGGACATTTGGAATGTCCGGGCGCCTACTTGTATACAAGCAATACCGAGAATTCTGTTAGCTGGAGCCTCGCATAAATGGGGTGCCTCATGGTGAATAATATGCGCCTATCTTCCGAGGGTAACCAGAGGGGTTGTGTTCTAAATTGGACGTAAGTGATGTGGCCTTTCCCGCACCTGGTCACGAGAAAGGTGAACAGGACTTACATGGAGAGCGGCGAGCTGCGAGGCAAGGTTCTGGAATCTCTGGATCATGATGGAGATTGCCACGGGTAAAACTCGATTATTCAATGAGTTGCAGAGCCTGTTTCAAATTATGAGAAGGTATTATGACGCCATCGAAGTCCATGCTTGTAAGCCGTGGAATTCAAGTGATGATCCACGGGCCTAGCATCAAGTACTAGGACTTTGTTCGTTTTGATGCATCGTGAAGCAACACACCCACGAGTCATCAGGGTTTACTCACCTCGCCTATTAGCCATTGGATCACTCAGGTAAGAGCTTCTTCTATTCCTGCCCCTTCATTCGTGGTCCACAAACCCCGGGTCAACGATTCGATTGGCACCTGGTTCAACGTCAGTCGGTCAGCGCTAGAAGTTGAACCACACTACTCGCGCCGCCATTCGTCGCAATGGTGAAGATTCAGAACCCCACCTCCAGGCGAGCGATCAACATCCCAAGAATGATGCTGGATGAGGTGATCATCTCTATCTATAACCAGCAAACAGCTAAGAAGTACGAAGCGTATAGGGTACACATCGACATCAAGAACTTGAGTTATCTCTAGACTAATGCTTCGCGGGTACTACTAGATGTGAATGGAGCCATCAAACAATATCAGGCATCGATGGTGCTGGTAATGGTGTTCTCTAGAACGCATCCGGTTGACTGGGGCTTGGGACTTTAGCTTTAGTACGTCTTAATGCCTCGGTAGGGCATACATACGTAGGTGAATGGGAATAGTCGGAGTGGATGGACCGGATCGAGGGGCGTTCTGTCCTCGGGGTTTCGGAACGAAGAGTGGGACTGTGGAGTCTGTATGTGTCTGAGTGGACTGTCGCGAGGACTACTACCTTTCCTTATCTACTCCCTTGGTAGACGCGTCTGATGTCGTTTCTTCATTTCGGCTGTGAATGGAGGGAAGAAGTCACTTAATTGGACACCAACATCAGGTGGTAAAATTGATCTTTCTATTCAGCGATTTCTCAATCAATTAACCGACGTCCAGATCGCCCCGAGCTCGCTCGCCTATATTCACTCCAAGCCTGCGTAAGAAGTCACCGGAAGGATCAAAGCTTCGGTTCGACCCTCTGTCTTGAATCGTGATAGAACATCGTGAAACTTAGTTAATTAATGTACAGTTTGATTCAACACTCGAACGTGATTGGGAACAGGAAAGGAAGTAAACGTACTCTTCGAGTTGGAAGAAGCAGATGGAGCGTTGGGTGGCGACGGATGGGTGGATCAGTGCTCAAGGGGATAATCACCCCCTGTGATTATCCCAAGGAAGAGAATCGTTTTTAATACAATGTGTTTTATTGGCTTCGACTCAGAGGGAAAATTGTATTCTGATTATAGTTAAAGGTTCCCCGCAGCTTCAAACGTGTTGCATTGGCCTGCGCAGCTTTCGCGGAACGAAAGGCTTAGGTACAAGATATTGTGGGCGTCAAAGCGGTATTAGAAGCTGAGGCACTAGCCATGTCGATAGTAGCTGGCGCTACTAGGCTTCCTTAATAGGGCCATACGAGCAATCTAAAGTGAGGAGAGACTTCCAGCGTCCCGCGGCGCATATCATGATATTAATAGACCTTCCATTCACGTCATTAAATGGGTTCATCGCACCGTGAGCGCTCACGAACACAGGCCTCAGGCCTCAGGTTGCGGGAGTCGGTATACTTAGCCTCATCCTCATGGCGACATACACAGCTATGAGCGCCCTGATGTCACTTAAGCCTTCTCTCTTAACAGCATGTCGATCCATCATGTAATTCCATTAGCAATCACACCGAGAACGCTTTTGTCTCTCCACTTGCTTCTGTCAGGATGAACCTTCTTTTTGTTGGCTATAATTGGAGGATATGTAACGTATGCTTTTCTGATTTGTTCGTGTTGTTGTCAATGAAGACGGGCGATTCCAACAGGAAATCATTCCACTCAGCGGAACAATGTCCACACACCCACGGGCCCAATATCTGATTTGACATCGCGCTTTTATGGAATTACGATGTGAGGTTAGAGTTGGTTCCTAGTAGGTATGTCGGGATCGACTGGCTCCGATTTGGACACGATCAAGTGAGATCGTCGAAATCGGATAGTTGTTGAGCGCTCAGCTCAGTTCCAATTCATTCGGAAGAGCTACGACCCATATTTATAAAAAAGCTCCGTGGGTTTCCGTGCGTACCGCCATGCAAGAGAGTTGCTATGAGTTTTTTTTGAAAAACCCTTCGCGAAGGCTCCAAAAATCAGTCGATTTGGAAGCTCCAGCATAGCGACACCTTGCTCTACTCTAAACCGAGTTCGAAGTTACGCGCTGGTTCAAGTTCGCTCGTTCGATGGTACGTACCCCTGATGAACCTGGCCTTTCTCAGCCCTCGAAATATTAAACTACGAATCGAAGTCATCGGTATTTAGGTGTCGGATCCCCTTAATCATCAGCCTTTCAGAAGGTCGAACACTTTCGATCCGGGAAGCGACTCGTAGCAGTGGGGAAATTAAGCGCCCAGCAACTTGGAGCTCTGAATCTACTTTTCGGCTTCGAGGTCCGAAGAAGCTCGTTCATCTCGCCGTCAGGCTATGCATCGTTGTAGACATGACGCCATTGGCTCAGATTCCTCGCTTGAAGGTGCCTTCTAAACGTACTCCCAGTCCGAGTCACACTCCGTATCTCAGGTATGTGATTCTAAATGAATCAAATTCCGAGGGACCGACTATAAAGCTCCCATCTTTCTCCGAGCCTTGCTTCGAATACAGGCTCTATGAGAATACGAGCTTCTTCCGCGAGCTCTGCCTCTGAACTCGCCTATAGGAGAGAAGGTCAGTCATCTGTACCGTGTGTCGGTGCGAAGGGAAGAACTTGGGGGGTTATGTACTTGCATGTCCGAACCGTATGCAGGTACGCATAGAGGAAGGGAAGAGAAGAGACCCTGAGTGGGTTATGGCTGGATTCATATCCGGCAGGGCTCTGAATCTGAATCCAGGGTCCGAGAACGAGAGGTTCAATTACATACACATACATTAGCCAGGGCAAAGTGGAGATTACTACGAATTATGTAAAAAAACACCCGCCCCGAGGAGAGCGTAATCCAATCCAATCCAATTCAATTTGGAATGGAATGGAATGGAAGAGAACTTTGTAAGTAATACTAAGTACTACTACTTGGGGTAAACCCCAGCGCACTCGGTAGATAGCGTGCTAGCGTAGTAGCGCAAGCAAGGAGGGGATGTCGGGTAGTCAGTCGGAAGGGGGAACCAGGAGGAGGGCTCCGCCAGGGAAGGCACAAGTTAGTGCTTGCCTCACCCTCGAGGAAGAGAATCCAGCCCAGCTCTTGGAGCGCCACTCCATACTGCTACTACTACACCCCATCCCTACGCACTCCATTTCACCACTCCTGGAGTACCAGTATGCGCTAAGTATTCAGAGTCGAAAGTCGGAGTAAAGTGAGTCGTCGGAGTACAGAGTATAGCCCAGAGGATGAACGCCGGTTGTTTCGCTCGCAGTTGTCATTAGGCAGTGGACTAAGAATTAGCGTTGCTTTATATACGATACCCACTTAACAACCCGGGGGTGCAGGTATCGATGCCCCAGCTCAGGTGGTGCTTAATAATCGCTTAGGGGCGTCCTTCCCGCGAAGGTGCATTCGCGTCGTTGCCCCACCGGTTCATCATGTGCATACAGGCCTGATTACATTCCCAATTTATCATCGACATCGACATCGACATCGACCATCGTTCGATGCACACTTAATTTTATAGGACGGAAGGCATGAGGGAGTCTCGGATTTGAATTCTGATTAGCGGTATGCGGTTGTGATTGGTATCAGCTCTCCGAACAACTTCATATCTTGTACATATGCAGTTCTCAGTAGGGAGTGCGGTTTCTTTACGTTTTTATTAAACCCCCCGTGGCGTACGTACACTGTCAGGTATACATACCTTCAGCATGACTCTGGTACTTGAGTCTCTCGATGCGATCAAAGTGGGACGATGTCACCTCAGACCTCTCAGACTCCATGTATAGTCAGTCAATCAGCTCAGGCGGCTTCGATACTCGAGATTCGAGATTAATCGCGAATCCCACCAATCGTCCATCAAGAAAAGTTGGAATCGATTATCGTACGTTGCCAACCCCTTCCAACGGTTCTGAGTCCCAATTATCGTTTCGTCATGTCATTTATTTCAGCCTCTGATTCATATATGAGGCATTTTTAGATGACTTGGATGGCCTAATGTGATGTGGTCTGATCGTGATTCATGAGATGGGTCAGAGTCGAAGATGGTGCGAGAACGAAAATGAGAACGAACTTTGCTAGAGTTCATGCAATGATTGGGAAGTGTGGTTATTTGGCTCCAGCGAAACGTTAGGGTTGGCAATGCCAGTGTAGACTACTATCTAGGCCCGGACGTTCTTGTGAAGGGTAGAAGGATGGGTGGATTCTGATCTGCACGGTACATTGCGTCGACGTCATTGTTCAGAACCCTCCAAGGTTCAAAGGTTCATCGTGTAATAGTACTCTTAGTATGCACTCAGATCGCTTCACTAGCGAAATTTAAGCTGCAAGCGGACTTAGAAGAGTCGGTTTGGGGTTCAGATTGCACTTCCTCGAGGGAGAATAACAATTCGGATTCGGTTTGGTTAGAATTAGAATGAATGACCGGGTTTTAAAGGAGAGGTCGATAAATTGATCCTTTCCAAGGACGTGAAGATGGAATTCAGTGAATCAGGAAACCACGAAGGACACAGTAGGCACTCAGAATCATGGACCAGGAAGAAAACCTTCGAACGTGGCGAGATGTCGTCGAGAATCAAGTACCATGTCCGCCGACAAGGGGAGGATTGACATAGGTCCGCCGAGGGGAAGATTGAGACGAGATGGATGGATGGATTAAAGATTGTAGATAAGTCGAAGACTCTAGATTTCGAACCTTCTCTCAAAAGAACATGCAGGGTCCAAGCTCGATTCTCGACTCGCTTACCGGTTATAGTTAATAGTATACCAAGTACACACCATAACATCTGAGCGAGAGGATCCGAGTCGTGCTTCCAGTTCCACACGCGTATGTAGGCTCGCAGCTGGGGCACGGTCTTTTCGTTGACGTTCGATGGCCTTTCGCCTTTCGAAGTTGAGCGCCGACTGTCGACGTGTGTCGAGACTCGAGACCCGTCGGTTGGCTAGTTAGTTGGTTGGTTGTTTTTGGGGTTGGAACCGGGTGTTTGGTACCTACCTACGCTCCGGTTACTTCGTCCAGTTCCGAGTATAGACATCGCCATATGGTTCGGGGCCCTGCTAAGTAGCTTGTAGGTAGGTCCTAACTATGTATAAGTAGAAGGTAGAAGTATGGGGTTATCGGTTAGTACGGGTGGTATGTCGATTATCGTCCGGAGGATAAGGGATGGCTAATGCTAGTGACCGTTATCTATACTTCCACCGTTCGTCGAGTTTAGTCGATTCAAAGGATGAGTTGTGGCTGGCACATACTAGTACATCCACATCCACATCCACATACACTATATGCGGTGGTACTTCAAGATCCTACATGGATCAAGTCGATTTCGAACCGGGCTGATGATAATCTGATCTGATATATCATCAGTTCATCGCTCTAAGTACTTACTCGATTCACGCGGGAGAACCTTGTTTGCTTTAAGTACTTACTTTACTCAGTCCTCAATTAAGTATTCGAACTGATGATACTGATATATCATCAGATCTAACAGATGAACAGATGGGAACGGGGAGGATAACGGATAACGGATACTATAACGCCATCATAACGGATACTCAAGTCTTAATGGACTCTGTAGTTTTCGAGTGGTGATCTCAGATCTCCCGGCTCGATGCGTACCTATACCTTAGCCTATACCTGTACCTGTACGGTGTCGTTAAGACGGATACTTGCTTACTTGTGGGACAAGAAGGACTCGCACGTCGCGGTATTCTTGGGAATTGAAGCGCAGCGTATGTATGTAAGCGGTGGGTTTACGAGAACCGGCACGGATTTGGATTGGGAGAAGCACGAGCGCGAGCACGATTCCTGCAGAATTCGAACTTCCTTCGAAGTTATCGAACCTTGGAAGTAGTGAGGGGTATTTGGGGTACAGACGTTTGCCTCGTGATGAACTGATGATGAATCGATGGGGTCTGATGATGACGATGATGCTATGCTACTTACTTACTGGTACGTCCGGTCCTATGCTATGCTATGCTGTGCCGATTCGTTCGCTCGTTCCTTTCCTTTCGTTCGTTCGTATAAATATGAGCGTACGTACGTATAGGGACGAGACGAGAATAGCCCGAGGATGGAATAGAGAACGAGGGGCCTTGCTTCGAGATTTGAATCTTAGGGATCACATGCAGGATCAGAACGATAATGGATGGGGATGGGGATCAACGCCAACCTATACCCAGGATACTATACATAGCACATCGACGTCCGACGTTGGGCGATATGGATCAAGATTGCTGGACTGGACTGTGTACATTCCCAATGCCAACACGACGGATCAAGTCATCTCGCTTCGTCTTTATTACAACTTATTACTGGTCAGTATTGTTATGACTGAGGACGATTAGGACCTTTATTGCTGGGATGAAAGGAATGGTCCCTAGGGAAGTAGATAGCAAAAGGGAGAGGGAGAAAAGCGGGAAACGAGGCCAGGTGGGGTAATCACGGTCCTACCGGTACGATCGTAGCCATGGTGCCGGGTTCACCTGCCTGCAGCCTCCAGCACCTCGGTAGAGGGGACAAAGAAAGGCCATAGAAGCCTCACAAACAGGGGGGGAGGGAGAAATAAGTCAGGCGTCTCAATCGCGCATCGTCTCTGAATCGTCATTCGAAGTTGAGGGAAGAGGGGAGACAAGGTTAAAACGAGGAAGGTACCCTACACAGAGATGAGATGGGATCGTGATGATGATGGCCGTATGATCCGAGGAAACTGGAATCTTACACCCAACGCAACTCCCAAAAGGAGAACTATGATCTGGCAAGATTTGGACTGGGGCCAACAAAGCGAAAGAGCTGTGCATTAGGTTCACGACTGGGGGTCACAAGTGGCCGAACCCGGTGGGCGGCCCAAAACGGGGGAGGTGTTGGGGTGGTCTGAGCGTGGGCGCGGTTGCAAGCGGCGGAGATTGGGTGCTGAGCGTCGGAGCTTGAAAAAAGTGATGAAAGCGTGGCTCGCGAAAAAATGGAGGGCAAAAAAAAGTCGCACGGTCGGTTGGGACTGGTTTGGATCGTCGGAACACTCTCATCATCATCAACCCAGCTAAACCAAAAGGTTGTTTTTGCGAACTCTTGTCCCTTCCAACTGCTTCCCCTTCGCTTTTTATTAGGGCGCAGGGAAAAAAATAATATAGTGAGTTGCCTGATTCGCGGACGCTTCTGTGAGCGCTGAATGTCCCCACCCCCCCTCTCTCTCGCTTTGCCTAGGCAGGGTTCTTTTTCGAACTGTTGGACCATCAAGCAATCAACAACCCCATCGCACAGCTCGTCAAGTATGCCCCAGTTTGGATGGTGCGTGTTGTTGGCTTAAATACGAGGGTGTTGCTTCGAGGAGTGGCCAGACCCGTATTGACCGCGTCGTTTCTGTTGCAGGGAATCGTCCGAGGCTGGACGGGAAGAGCGAGAGGCCGTCCACGACAAGGAGCAACCGCAGCGCTCGCCGCCCCCGCCTGTTGAAAGGAAAGCGCCGTCGCCGTCAAACGGACGCGCCGAGCATCAAAACACAGGATCACAATTCGCTCAGCAATCATCAGACCAATCCGAGCTGGTGATAGACCCCGCTCTTCGCAGCAACACACCTGTATGTCCTCCGTTTTTCTTTGTTTTTTTCTTGGAATAACCTATTGCACAGCGCCAGACGACTGAAGCTGATAAGAACGCCGCTGGACGAGGCCACTCTCCCCCACCCAACGTGTCGATGCCCCTTCGTGCCGTCGAGCCGTCGTCGTTCATGTCTTCGTCGTAAGTGACAGCTCATCACTTCTTTCATGTCGCTGATGTATGTGTAGACACCGTCGACCCCATTTTGATGATAGCCATCGGCTGCCATCCCCGCCCACGTCGATTACAGCGTCTGGCGTCCCGCACTCGCACTCGCCGTCGCCATCAGTTGCTTCGGCTGACCGTTCATCAGCCTCGACTCCGTCCGTCCGTCGATCGCCCCCGCAATCTTCTATGCCCCCTCCTCCCCATCTATTCCAGTCCTCGTATCACCACGACCCGTCCATCATCCAATCATCAAGACATCACGAACACTTTGCACGTGCGGACCACCCAAACCATACTCCCTACATATACGCTCCTCCCCCTCCTGCTCCCTTTGATCACCGTTACGACCATTCCCATCCAGTTAATCACTCGCCCTATTCGACCACCGGTATCCCTGCCCACTTCCCCATCCCTCCCCCTATGGCACATCACCCGCCCCCGAGCTACGGCCACCCCTACCCACAACCCGGGCCCCAGCCCCAGGTACAGATCGTCCACACCGACGACGCAGCCACCAAACTCAGCGACAGGGTCCGCCGCCGCTGCTTCAACTGCTGCACCACCGACACCTCCACCTGGCGCCGCTCCAACCTCAGCCCCGGCAAAGTCGTACGTTATCTCTCTCTCTCTAAAACTCTATCTATTCATTTCATTAATTTAATTAACGACTATGTTATCTTTAGTTGTGCAACAAGTGCGGCTTGTTCGAGCGTACGCACTCGCGTCCCCGACCGGAGCAGTTCCCGCATAAGCGCGGTCCGCTGGCTACGGCTTCGTTGCAGCGCCGTACGCCTCCCGCGAACAATGCGAACCCGCACTTTGCGCCCCCGCCCCCGAACACGCACCTCCCGCCTATCGCGCCGCCGTACCAGTACACCCACCCCTCCATCCCCCCTTTGAGTAACAGCAACAGCAGCAGTGGCAATAATACCAATAATAACAACTCGCAGCAGCAGGAGAGGAGGGATGTGCATCCTCACCAGCACCAGCACCACCCACACCATGCGCCGCCCCCGCCTCCCTCGGGAGGTGGTGGACTGCCTGGACTGCAGTCGTGGCATGGCCAGCACCCGAGCAATGGCCCGAGTGAGGGCGGGTCGCCGCATTTGGGACATAACCCCAACACTGCACCCAGCAACAACGGCAATGGCCACTCGACTAGCAATGGGCAGGGTAACGGCGGTGGTGGTGGTGGTAGTGGAAGTGCCCCGCACTCGAGGAGGCCGAGCGATGGAGGTAATCCTGGAGGCCCCGGTGAAGGAGGAAGTAACGGAGGGAATGGGGGTGGAGGAGGTTCGTCCTCCCGACTCCCAACTCCCCCGCCCCCGATGAGGCCTGGTGAGCAGCGGGACGGCGGTGCGCCGATCTCGAGTGCTCCGCCTTCGTCGGCTGCTAGGGAGACTGCGGCGTAGACGTCATGGGCACTAGCTAACTAAGCTCTAGATGGTGGATGATGATGGAGCATAGGCGTGGACGGAAGCGTAGATGTGGATGTGGATGGCTTCCGTGGATGAAGGTTGATGGATGGAGGGTGACGGGTGAGGCTGATGGGATGCGGATGGTGGATGTGGATACGGATGAGATGGCATGCGAATGGGGTTGGGTGGGATTCCCTGTGGCGGCGCACTGGTTGGTGTACATCTTTTTCGAAGTTGGAAGGCGAGGAAGGGTGCTGTGATGGGCTGTGATGGCTATCCTCCTCTATCGAGCCATACGCGTTATGGTTTAGCTTTGCGCTTCGAGCTTCGATTGGATGGATGGTGTGCGTCATCGTCGTTCGAGTCTCAGTCTCTTCCGCCTCTCTCGTCTTCAAGCTCGTCTGGCCTGGTCTGCTTGTCCCCTTCCCTTTTTCATCGTTCGCATCGAGACTCGTTCCACCACCCCACCATTCCGGTTCTTCGTCGAACGCCACTCGAATCTCGCCATGTCGTCTTCGTCGTCGTGCGGTTTCATTCATGTTTATGCTTGTCCCGTCTCTCTCTCCCTCTATCGTTTTACCTCCCTCCCATTGTTAACTCGACTCCTTCATATGAAACTAAAAAAATTGGACCATGCGTTATACATAGTTGTTTTACTGTTACTTGTTCCTTGTTACTACTTGATACTTGTTACATATAACCCCTTCCCTTTTCTGTTTCTCGTCTCGTCTCGTCTATTCCTCTCTCTTTTTCTCTCTATTCTCTAGTGCGTACATTCCGAACTGAACTTCCCTTGTTACATTTCCTCCCTCTCCTTGTTAACATGTTATGTGCTTTTACCACCCAAAGACCTAGCGTGCGTTCGCCTTGGCTGAATTGCCTTTTTTTCTGTTTCTCGTTTGGATTGAGATACCAATCGTTCTTCTCGTCTCCTCTTTCTTTCTCTCTTTCTCTCTCTCTTTCTGTCTTTGTTACTCTCTGTTACTCTCTTTCTTTGATACTCGTTATTCCTTTCTTTTGATACTCTGTTTTAATGATGGTTGTTTCTTCTAGTATGCTTTTACCTAGCTAGTTGCGTGCGTACGGATACGACGTACCACCCTTACCTATACTCAGTACTCATGCCCTTGCCCTTTGCCTATATCTAACCCCACTTTTTCTTTCCTTCTGTAAAGAATTGTTACCCTCGGCGTGAGTGTCAAGAACGGGGTAGGCACAGTCGAGCATTGAGCGAGTCGAGAATTTCAATCTATGACGTCCCTCGTCCGTGGTCCTTGTTCCCATTCCGGATGCTGTGGAAAATTTTGATGTGATCGATGGGAACGAAAAGGATCATGGGTTGTTGTGTTGTTGTTCAAGTTGTGTGATGACTGATGACTTGGTGGAGGAGGAACGGACCAAGCCAACGGAAGGGAGGCTACTTAGTACCGAGGAACCGGACGGGGAGGAGGAGAGGGGGGTCGGAGGTTTTTGATCTGCCGTTTTTCGTTCAATACTTACTGCTGTAATACAGACTGTGTAGCTTGGGGACCATGTTGAAGAATCTTATTGAATGGATTTGAATGGGTGGGTTGCTATGTATCCTAAGCGTATTCACGAGGACAGGGGATGGATGCAAAAGATTTACATACTGAATAACTTTTACTGAATGCCTTTTGCGGTTGAAGCGAACGCCAAGAAAACTGAGAGCCGGGCGGGCTGTTGAAGAGGAAGGTGGAAGGTGGAAGAAGGTGGAGTCTGGAAGCGAATGGGTCTCTGGTGTGCCAAGAAAGAGGGCGCGTGCCGTGCACAGGTACACGGGGAGGGTAAGAAAGGTTCGGAGAAAGGGGATGGACTGCGGCGCAACTTGATAAAACGGCTTAGGAACGCTAGAAGATGTTTAGGTTCTACGTCCATGCAAAAACGCAGGCTCACAAAGAATACGCAGGGGACAGACAGAAAGCGGATGGAGGAAAGGGGCAAGGCATTCGGAATGATGGCGTGATGTTGATGACTGATGAGGCCTAGGAATCATGATGACTGATGATGGGAACATTTTTGGGAGCCTGAAGGATGAGGTTCGCGGAAAGCCCGAGACACCGTCACTGACAGAAGGACAGAAGGACAGAACGGGAGGATGAAGAGAACTTAGAGAAGGAGGAGGAGAAGAAGGAACTAGCGACTCCTTGTGTGGTGGAAGAGAGATATTCTGCGTTTATTGGTTATTGAATGGTGCGCTCGTGTTGACTTTCTACTACTGGTACATACTTCCGAAACTGGACGGTTGGAAAGAGGAACTCCGAGTATTAAACACTCCCGAGCGTGGGGTGGCGTGAACTCGGAAGATTATGAATACTATCCAGTTCTGTCCCTGTCTTTTTGCGTGACATGACATGACGTCTAGACCCCTACCCCTTGGGTTCAAACTCCAATTCTTCGGCGTCTGGCGAACTCAGTGTCAGAGTCAGAACTGTCACCCTGCTCAGCCTGTCACCCGCATTGGATCTACGTCTGACTTTATCCAGGCCTCAGTGCCTCGGGTACTACATATGTTACATGTACAATTTTTTGACAGCTTCGGTTCGGGTGGGATGGCCTGGAATTCAGGTGGTACCCCGAGTTGAAAGGAATGACGAGGAGTAAAGAGTTGTAAGCGCCGAGTGTTAGTTCGTAAGTTCGAATGACTGCATAGGTGGGACTCGGAGGTTTGCTTTGGAAGTTGGAATCGGGTATCGACAATTAACTTCGTCACAATTCCAGTCCTGACTCCTGAATCTGGTTCAAAACTCGGACTTGCCGTCATGTCCTTAAGCATGAAAATTTGGATTCAATATCATTCAGACCGGATATGTAGCGTCGTAAGTGATCTAATCCGAACAGTTCGCGTTTTAATTTTAATTTTAGTTTTGGTTTTGGTTTTGGTGTGTAGGTTGTCTGAAGGCGCGAAGTAACTGATATGGATGTCCACCTTGGATCATCAGAAACGACGTCGATATCATCAGATGCCGTGTCCTTCGTGTTACAGTACGTGCATGTATGTACCAGTTTCAGTAGGTGTACATAACCGTAGTTACTGCTCAATCGAGTGTGACTGGGCGCTATCGCTATTGAAGCCTCGAAATGGACTCGTTTCTATTGATTGAGCTCTTAGACAAGTGCGATGCTACCTGCATACCTGTAAAAGTAGGTTGGTGAGCATATCGGGAATTGGCGACGACTGTGAGCGGGATATTCAGAAGTATAGTGTACAGTACGTCTTGAGCATTTACTGGGAGAGGGGGTCTCTCCCTTCTTTCGTTCTTACTGAATTCTGGTCCGCCCGAGGCGTTTCGACTTTTGTCTGGGATTTGACGGGTTTGATCGGTTCCAGGCGCTCCCGGTGCCGTTGGATGGGTTCCATGGGCGCCTAAGTATTCCTGTCATTAATTTCCTGATTCCTGAACTTCAAACCCGATGTCAACTGATTTCTCGTCGAAGATGGCTGGGCGCGCTGTGGTGTGGGAAGACCGATGTGGGAGGTGTTGACGGTCGAGCGCTCCCTTTTGCGAAGTGTTCGGCTGTTCCAATGCAGTGGGCGCTTATCAGCACCAATCATCGACAATTCGTCGTCGAAGTCTGCAAGTTCAGCACGCCTCGTCACTGTATAATGGCTAAGAAGCAAGGTAGGCATGTAGAGCACAGTTTCCGTAGACGAAGCACTCTCTCCTGACTGGGCGGCGCCGCAGCCCCACTTCAAGTTGCTTCTTCTCACCTTTCTAAATCCAAATCGTTACGATACTGATGTGATAGTGCATCAGAAGAGCAACGCCTTAACAGGCTAGCTTTGGGTCAAAAGGATAAATCAAAATTTGACACTGGATCATGATGAAACATCAGGCTGAGGGCGGCCTATGTCCTTCGCGGAAGGTTTGGTTTCGAACTACTCTCGTCTCGTAAGCGAAAGTGTACTGCATTGCGTAACAGCCTGTATCTACTGGACTATGGAACAGACGTACACTGTATTGACTTTACTGAGCCCGCCATGACCGATTTTCTCCTTCGCGTGTCGTTAATTGCGGGATATTCTCCCCTTTTTATGCCGTTATCTCGTGGCTGATAGGCTCCTTGGCTCCCTCGAAACGTGGAGCGACATAATGAGGTGAGCTTCAGCCGGTAGAAGCGTTTGAAATGGCGAAGTTGAGCGCTCGTAGCCATATGCCACTCAGTATGCATGTCGTATGTACAGCCCTCTGTGAGAAAACGAAGACTGAGAAACCACATGCTGAGGGAGGATAAGGTTTGCTATAGCCTCGAGTATGGAAGATGAACCTTTTGAGAAGAAGGTCGTGTCGATTTACGGGAGAGGTTTGATAGGACCATAAGTGAAGCTCCATGGCTGTACTTCAAGCGCCCACCGTCACATACGATCATTCATGCCAAGTGTTGACTTGAACCTCACAACGGTTGCTACCTTCGGGTTCCATGTTCTTTGGCTGATAGAGATATGTGGAGAAGAAAACCTTGAAAGTGAAATCTGGAATTGACGGTCTATGGAAGTTCGAAGAGACAGGAATGACGACGTCCTTAAAAGTAAAGGCTCTGTACATGTGTCTTGTGATAAAGGGCTTGGAAGTTGAACCAACCTGGCGAGAGGAAGGTACTGTAACGTTTGTTTCAGCAGCATTCTCGAACTCATGAGGTGGGCGCTCAGCGCTCAAGAGCTTCTTGGCTGCGGACACACGTACACCGTTATGAGAGCACCTTCAAGTGCTAGAAATACGACCGATATCTCATCGTTTACCTACTGTAACCTACATTGCGACCGTGGGCGAGTCGCCCATCGAATGTCTTCCAGCAACATCAAATCATCCCTACCAGGTGCCTTTTGCTGATGATGGAAAATCCGAATGAAAGCGTCATGTTGCAATAATAACCCTTCCGATTTCGTTTTGAGTTCGGAATGCCAGTTGTCAACGAAGTAGACGTGCGTACGTACAGGCGGCACATCGAACAATTGAAAGAGGAGGCTCTCCCGTGAGTAACGGATGTCCAGCGAGCGGATGGAGATAGACTGGCCAGGCCTAGTTCAGCGGAGCAGCGAAAGGAATTCTGGAATGGACGTGTCAAGTGAGTCAGTGGGTTGACTCGGAGTTTCGAATCGAAGTGGCAAAAATAACGGCCAGCGAGGCGCCCACAGATTCGATTTTCCAAGGTTTAGGTTTCGACGGGGGTACCTACGACCGCCGACTCGAAAGGAGGTTTTTCAATTCGAGGGTACGAATGGATTCTAGGTTTTCTTTCGAAGTTTCCAGATTCACAAGACGTCTGACTCGTGGTGCATGTGCGCTTGGGTACGACGGGACCCCTTTGCGAACCTAGCGAGTTCAGTTCCTTTGCGGGACGAGACCGGAGATACGATCAGATATCATCAATCCCTTTCGCCCAGTATAGGCAGCGGATAGGGAGAAGCAGGTATGCAGGGGTAGTGGGCATGGTTTGATTTGGTTACTTCGAACCGTGGATATGTCTAACCAACCAGAATGCTCAGAGATATGGATCAGCTTGGGTGTCTCGGGGGAGTTACGAGTCAGAATGACTCGCGTCGTGGTGGTTCTTTTGAGGCTCGGCGGAGGATAGGGATGAGTCTGGATTTGCAACAGGGACTGGGCGAACACGAGTCCTTTGGACTTACACGTGTTGAGGGAGCCCGTCGAGGTACTTTGCCTCTTCGATCAAATCCGAGGGGGTTATGATTTAAATCATCAATTAAAGGTGATTTAGTTGATTAAATCCAGCACAGCATAGTTGACCGGATGAATTCAATTTTGTTTCCGTCTTGTTCAATGCTGGAACTGACCCGGGGAGGCATCATCAGATTGAGGGGCTGATTGAGGTTGATCATTGGAGAAGTGATTTGTGGAATGTGATGGTGAGCGTCATAGATCAGTTCGGGGTCGGTGAGATTGGCGGAGGTATAATATGTGTGGACGAAGCTTGATTTGGTTCGGTTTGATGAACGTATACGTCGCGGTGAAAGGTTCCATGGGGAAGGCCACGAGAGGGTGATGAACGCAACGAGGCCTGCTTTTTGGGGTGACTTCGGCGTTATGTGCCTGGATGAAGATGATAAGATGTATACTTAGATGAGGAGGACATTATCACCAGGCTATCAACATCGTTCTCCTCCGCTCTTGTTATCACCCCCGCGAAGGAGATATCAAGAAGGGCACGTCAGTGGTAAGGATCACTTGAATGACAAAGTTCTGTTGAGCGTGTTGGAACCCCATTTGTTATCAGTGCGAATGTCTCTTTGTCCTGAGCTTCGATTTGGCTGTGGCGACGGAATCATGGTTCTTTGAGTTTCAAGAATATATAGTGGTGTTCTGTGCGACGGGTCCTGGGTGCCTTATCATGATCGAAGCACGTTTTGTTTACCATGAGAGTCAGAAGCGACGATAACAATCAAATTGCTTAACATATCACTTCCTCTCCATCGTCTTCGTATCTTCTATTAGGGCGCTCAACACCTTTCGCGACTGAGAATTGAACGCCGGAGAGGTTTAAACTTATGTTTTCCGAACGTCGCATTTCTTGACAACCATTCATAGTCGCACTTACCCATGAGATTGAGCTCAAATACGCACGGGCTTAGCTTTGAGCGCATCTTGCAGGTAAAAGAGAAGTAGCTTAATGGTAAATTGCCTATAACCAAGGTAGTCGGTCTCTATGCACATCTTCCATCAACTAGTGGGATGGGAAAGATCGTCTCCCGCGCGCTAAGGAAAGAGTGCAGGTATTGGCCCTTCGCTGTGTCAAATGGGGGCCTGTTAGACAACTCGAGATGTCACATTTGCCGATGACGAGCTGACAGTACCCGCACTACAGACCAACTAAAGACTACCTTTGGGAACACGCCGGTGGCTTCCAGCGGAGTAAGCGTGTCTGCACGTCAGCGCAGATCGAGCGTAGAGTTGCCTCTGAGAGGTTTGCCCTGCAACGACTTTATACTTACATAGTAGGAAGTGTAATATTTGAACCTCAGGCTTCAGGGAGCGACTGCACAGTGCACACACGCTGAAGACACGGACTACCGAGCGGAAATGTCGGATAAACGCTCGGGGTAAGCACGTGTTCTCGGACAATGCCGACATTCCCGCCCAACGGCCGATGAATTGATGGGTCCGGAAAGCTTGCGGCCCCGCCCAACGGCTCTTGGCTTGTGAAAGTGTCTGTGAGGTTCCTGGTTCAAGCCGCTCTTTTCGCAATATTTTGCTGGCTGCTGGCCCTTGACAGCGGACAACCCCACGTCATGGATTCTGGAGGGCCTCGCGTTCTGGTCTTCACATTCTCAGGCACAGGTTAGAAGGAAACTTCGCTGATGAGCGCCTCCCAACCTTTATCAGACTGAGATGAAATAATTTTAGGTCTCCATGTTAGATGTTGCATCGAAGTCGAGAAAAGCTCGAGTGTAATCAGATGCCTGACCAAGGTCATCCCTTCTTGCCTGCCTTTGTGCCTCCGCGCTCCCCGCTGCACGCGGTGATCTCCAGAGGTGACGTGAACTGCACAGGCCCAAAATTGATTAGCGCTGATCCAAACCGTAACCTGAGCAGGACTAATTGATATGTCTAACGTGTTTCATCGTGCCTGGCGCCATCACCACCGTGCTCTGGCAAACCTTCAACCTTTACTCTTCTGTCTGCATTGAACGGCCTACCCTCGTGAAGAACGTCTCCAACCTCAACGAGTTGGAGACGCTAAAATAGCCCGGAGCTTCTAAGAAAGAAGTGAATGTGAGAAGACATTCCCACTGTCATCACGCCCAGCCTACCGCAAAAGGTTCTATTCCTATTTATGTTTAGGTGACAGATTGATATCACACCTGGACAACAGTTCGTATGTTCTTCCCTACCCTCTGCCATCTTCCGCTCCAATTCCCTATATCACCGCCTTGAGAGCTGGTGGCTCTTCAGCGTCCCCAATCCTTCCCAACACCTTCACCAACGATGGATTCGTGCCCTGTTCCGTTAGGAAAAGCAAAATCATGCGAGGAGGCCGTACGTCTGAAGAGGTGCGTGGATACTAATTCTAACTGCGGTTGCGTGGCAGTTCGGCTGACGGTTTCGCGAAACAGGATCGAGTATACGCTGCAGTTCTGCAGTCTCAGTTCGTAGTTCCGGTTTTATGATGTCGGGATGCATGCTGAAGGAAAACGGCAGCCATTCTCTATTTCGACTACCTCCTTACGCTTCCCGACGAAATCAAGTACATCTGGTTGAGAAAATGGAGATTGTCGACGTTGTTCTACTTTTTCTGCCGATATGCGCTGGTCGCCAATCTGCTGTATCTGTTGTCGATATCAGAGGACTATACTGGTGTTGAGGTGAGTATTATTTTGTCTTTATCCGAGAATCTTTGTTAAAATGAAGCTTTTGATCCCAGTACGAAACTTAAGACTGCTCTTCGCATCTCGAAAGCTTACTCTTATCCTTGCAGCTGCGATACTGGCTACATGATTTGCGGTATCCTGAGTATCTTTGGGCACATCGGCATCCTAGGTATGCGTATGCGCCTCGTCACTCGCCAGATTCCTTTCTCACCAAACCATTGTAGCGGTGTGGTCGCTACGAACGTGCGCCGTCTACAACAATAACAAATTCCTCATGGCCCTCTTTGGCTCCATGACTGCAAGCTCAGTCATTCTACTCTGCGTAGGTGCAACGGATGCTCTGTGGAACAAGAGCTTACGGATCTCTTTCTTTATAGATTCGAGCACCTCATATGAAATGCACCGGGATGAAAGATATGTCAAAGTACGTCACTATCGCCTTATGGCCTTGCGGGTTGGAGACTAACAGGCCCTTTTCGTGTGTTGCAGGAGTGTGTATGGGGTTGCGATCTCAGGTTGGCTGGACCTTATTCCCTGCTAGTTCTAGGCGCGAACGGTGCCATCGTACTTGCCCTCGAAATTCTCGCTTTCCTCCTGGCCACCTTCCGTGTGTGGAAAACCCGGCGCGAAATCAAACAGAAGACAGAATCGACGAAGGTCGCTTCGTTGAACGAGATTATCTTCTCTCAAGGTTCGTAAATCCTGTTTTCCAGCGTATATGACAACATGCTTACACTCGTGACCCACTAGGCATTCTCTACATTGGGTACGTGGCTTGTGTTTGAATTGGAGCAACACGCTTACTCTTATGGACAGAGGTGTTACGGTCCTCTCGGTTGGCGTCCTCATCCTCAACTTCGTGAGTTTTCAATCTCTTAGTCACCATCCCGCCCACACTGACGATGAATCTAGAAAGCTGTGAGTTCCACCTAATCTCGTCCTCAGAAATATCAATATCAAATTCGACTCTAGAAAACGGGCTTTGTCTCCCGCCTTCTGAACGGCCTCAAGCTACCGTGCGTGCACTTTCCTCTCTTCTCAACATCACTATCCTCATCCGCAGCACTTGTCGATGCAGGTTATCCGGTTTCCTCACTGCCCGATTCATGCTACGCCTACGAGCATGGAGCGCCATCGGCTCGCCCAATCCGCATTCTGCCACTACTACAGGCACAACCACCGTACCCCCGATGCAATTCGGCGAACAGCATACTTTCATGGGCGAGTTCAAGGGTGAGCTCGGGGCGCGCTCGACTAGGTTGTCGAGTGATTTCGATGATACGACGACGTGTGGGCGGGACGAGCAGAGAGGCGAGCAGATGACTGAGCTGCGCCATCATCATCATGTTGGGAGCAGCAGGGATAGTTTTGGTGGGCTGTCCTCGTCGCGGTCGTTGACACAGACGAGGAAGCGCGCGAGTGGGAGTGCGGTGGATCTGGAGGAAGGGGCGTATTCGCCAAGGCCGGTGTTTGATACCAAGGGGAAAGGTGTCCAGTCGGCGGATGAGGGTAATGATCATGATGAAGGTGAGCCAGCCAAACTGGTTCGTCTTTGATTCTTTACGAGTGGTGCGACTGACTCTTTTGTTCCCTTTTTTTCTCTATTTTTTTTTTTTTTTTTTTTTTTTCAAGATCCTAATCGACCGAAAGCTTTTTGAGAAGGACTTATGACCTCGAAACGAACTATTCTATGAAATATTTATTCGTGTATTGTAGTTTATGTATTCTAGTTTGACCTTGGATGTGCTTTAGTAGGGTTTATCGGTTGTATGGATCGTTGATTGCATCCTATGTATGTGTTATCTGCGATTCGATTCGTCCCTGGTGGGTTCTGAACTTTTTGTGAATCCTCCATGGAGAAATGTGGACGCACAGAGGCGAACGTACAAAGTCCAACCGGGGATTGGATTCCAGCGAGGGATCCATCTTCCAGCACTACGCCAGTCAAACCACCCACCCAAGGTATTGAATACATGTTGGAGTGGGAGACCGGTAGTAGCCAAATCCGCCATGACTAGAACCCTTCCAAATTCGAGTCCCGACGAGGCGCCCGAGCTATTTTTAGGGTTTAACGTTTTTATCCGTTATGAAAGTTCGAAACGAGAAGCTTGAAGACCATTTTGGGACTCGGGAGGAGCTCGTTTGAGGCGTAGAGGGCGTGTACTTAGTATTACTGGGTCGGGTGAGTAAGAGTCGTAATAGTCCTATCGAGGCTAAAATGGATGGAGCTTCTTTGTTCGATGTGGTGGCGATGAGTTTTGAGCTTACGGGGTGGAAGTCATCAAACGCCTCGCGGCTATTGGATCATTTAATGGGTGGGTCTTGGGAGGGTGTACACTTCGTCGGTTCAGAATTCGCGGGAATCGTACCGGTAGGCGAAAGGGAGAGGGTGTGGGGCTTCTGTACTCTGCTTCGGTGCGATTTCCGGGCGCGTCAAAGGCTCATCGTTCATCATTCAGACCTGGTACCAGATCACCCATGTAAAACCAAACGAAAAAAAAAAGTATTATTATTACAAAGTGAAGAACGAAGAGTTGGGATACTACTTACTGATCCTACTACAAGGTATGCTACAATAGTTTAGTTAACTACAAAATTTGAAATTGGTGGCCAAGGAATAATTAGGTATTAGTACAACATCGGACACGAGAGGATCGCGCTTTTCGTCATCCACGAAGAAGTTCTCGTTTAGAATACTTGGGGTGGCTAAGACGTAATGAAAGGTAGAGAGGGCAAACGCATGGGTGGATTGCACTGGGAGTGTGCCAGTGATAGGTAGGTGGGAGTGTAGGCGGGTTTCCTGGGAGTGGGAGGGAGGGAGGGAGGAGGACCGGGAGCAAGTTCACCCGATCTCTGCTCGTGCTCAGAGCACGACCCAGCTGGCTTCAGCCAGCTCTTCATCCATGCTGGCACCATCGTCGATAGTCCCAGCTCTCGACAACTGCAGCGTCGGCCGGCCCCTAGATCCAATCACACAAAAGCACCACGTTAGAACAGAAGGAATAAACATATGCATCGACCTCCTGCTATGGAGCAGAGCAGAGCAGGGCAGGAGGCCGCGCTCTTTTAAATTGAACCGCCACTCACCCGTAAGGCCGCCGCAAAACCAGCGAAATCGCCGCCGCCTCAGACGTGGAGTAGTGTCTTTGGCGTGCCCCCTGCCTCTTCTCCGAGAGGGAGACGAGTCCGCCTTTGGTCGAGAGCCCGAGGTTTACTAGGCTGACTGCGATCTTGCCGTCGGAGGAGGTTGATTTGGAGCGTTTGCGGACGAGAGGGCTGGGTGCGGGCTCGCGCGGTCGGAAGGTGCCGGTGGTGCTGTCGTTGGAGGATTTCCTGGTGGATGAGGTGTTGTTGTCCTCGCAGGAGGAGGTGGATGAGGATGAGCCGGATGGTGGGAGCTCCTCATCGCATTCGGGCTCCCGGGAGAGCGAAAGTTCGTCGAACCACTGGATACTCCGTGTCGACGAGGCGGATGTGTCGGAGATGGAGGTTGTCCTGCTTGATGGCTACAGCCCGAGAATGAGGAGGAAAAATCGAGGAGAGTGGAATCGATTTTGGGGGCGTACCATTGTTGAATAAATTACCCCAGGTCAACTGAGAAGATAGATAGATGGCTTCGAGAGCGTACACCGAGAGCGAATAAAGATTAATTGAGGGATCAGAAAGCGAGAGCAAGACCGAGGTCGACGATAACGATAACGACGAAAAAAAATGAGAATCGGACGACCCAGGTCCCAGCCCCCAGTTGCTTTTAAATCGCGTATTTAAGCCGTCTCTGTTTGTCCCCCCGCCGCTCCCCTACCGACAACGTAAGTAACAATGATCATTTTTTTCCCTGAGAGATTTCAGATGGGAACAGAGCGAGAAATGCTCCCGCTGCGATGATGATCATGATGATTTTTGTGTGTGTTTTGTCGATCTTGCCCATTGTTCGACAAGTGGGGTATTGGGTGAATCTGAATCGTGATCAAGCGTTGCTGCAGCTACCATTCACCCTCGTGGGATGGAGCATGGACTCGGGTGAGGGTGAGGAGATTGGTTTGTGAAGATTCAAAGGGCTTGGGCTTTCTTTTCGTTTGTTGCCACGGACGTGGTTGTGTACCTTTGTATGGCCGCGATTTCGGTAAGGTTCCGAGGTGTTTCAGCTGCGGGCTTGAGGAACCAAAGAATGTGAACGTGGAGATGGACCTCGTGGTCTGCAGCCGGGTATACCCCCTGTGTTCAATTTCACAGATACATACCCTTTGGGCGTGTCTTGAAGCTCAAAGGGACCAACTTGAATCGTTTGTGTCTTCTCTTCAAAAGGTCTACTTACATGGATCATGGGCCACTCGGGAATCGATGCTTCGGAATTTGAGAAGCATATATGTATACATCTCACCTTCCTTTCGAACTCGGACTTGGCACTACATACTCGTGGATATCGATTGCGGATGCTGCGCTCTGAAAGCCCCTTTGGGCCGTTGCGTCGTTCGTTGCCCTCGCAGCCCGATGAATCGGGTTGCCTATCTAAGGAAATCTCCGGGCTTCGAAACTTGAAAGGCGCTAGGGGAGGGTCAAAGCGCGGATTTCACGGCTGCGATGCTCGACGATGGGAAAGCTGAATGGGTAAATGTCGGATGGGCTTGCCGGAGGATGTGTAATGCGTGTCTTTGTGAGTGATCATGAGGAGAGGGAGATAAGTAGGACGCATTATCGGGTTATTTCCCCGGTACGTATGTATGTGAACCGTTTCTTTGTTTTGATGTATTGGTGAATATGTATACTGTACGTATGGTCAATTTATAGTCCGGTCAATTGCTGGGTTCGATGCTTTTAAACGGTAAGTCCTGCCGACAATGAACCTTGTGTGCAACTTGGAGGTGAAACATGTAATTTCAGTTATTTAACTTATTATTCACGGTTTGCTTCGATGGTTCTGCTTATCGTCGCTTAACCTTGTTGTGGACCGCGTCGCCAGCTACAGTGCTTCGTGATTTTGGCAGGAGTACAGCCGGAAGTCACATTCCAGGGCATTGGTACAGTCCACTATCCCCAACGATTGTACCTGTGATGAAGAGGAGTCACGTACTCGGAGCCTGGAGTGCCCGGATATTATGCTCAAACCGCGGGGTCACTCGATCGAGAGTCTGGTGGCGGGGCGATTTATGATTATACAGTGCTTTCACTTTGCCGTGTGATTCACAGTAGCAACGGAACAGTGGTGACTAACTACTGCTACCAGCAGAAGAGCCAATTTCTCGCTTGAAAGTGGAGGGTGTCTCTTGGGGAGTTACATCGATGATGGATCAAGGATACGAAGCCTGAGCGTCAGACTCATTCCCGAATGGATCCGAATGGCCCAGTCTGATCCGTCCTATTAGTATCTAGTTAGAGGGCGAGTTCAATTTCGAAATGACGTTTGAAATTTGAAATTTGGAATTTGGAATACGAGTATGTACGGTCCTATTTATGTAAAAACGCTCATTCAATCAATCGGAACATCGGAGTAGAAGGTGCATTAAGGAGTCCTGTTTACACTCCTGAATCATCGTCATTGCCATCGACATCGCAATCATTCGACGCACCCTTGAACTTATAGAACTTGTACAGAAGGTATGGGCCCGGGGTAGTCTCTTCGAATTCTGAATTCTGATTAGCGGTGCATTCGCGAGTACTTAGTATCAGCCCTCCGAGCAACTTTTAACTCTATATATGTATTAGCATTTGATGAATACGAGAACCCCCACACTAGATTGAGCGCTTAAGATAAAGCAGCAACATAGCTCAGGTGGTTAGTAGAGCGCGGGGCTCATAACCCCGAGGTCACTCGATCGAGACGAGTTGTTGCTATCTGATGGTCCTCCTCTGTTTTTATTCTTATTCCTTATTCTTGTTGTTTTTGATCCCAAATGCCACGAAATGCCATCGATAATTTTTTATTGATTTATCTTCGTCGATTTATCTTCCTCGATTTATCTTCGTCGCACCTACATATGTACTAGTAGGGCGTCAGATTCGTATGTAGTATGTACATCCACTGTCACGCCTCCGAGTCGTACATACATCAATTTCCCTTTCTTACAGCGGCTTTTTCCCTCGTGCTTTCCCAAGAGTTCATCCGGGTAATCACAAGGAAGGTACTTACTTTGCGCAGAAAGAAGTCAGATTGAACTTTTAAGAAACCGAGAGATGTTAAATTAATCAATGATAGACGCTACATGTACTAATCTTCATGGAACGATCCTCCCTTTAGCCCTTCCAAGTTCCTTCCATTATCCTCCACTCAGAACCAGAACCGCCGAGTGACCTAATGTAATGAGTCGCCTATGCTCTAATTCACCTCCGCTCCCGAGTTCCATTCACCATCCACTACTTATTGCTTTCCAGAGACGATATACTCTATATCCCATCCTCCGCCAACAATAGGGGCAAGTCCGAGTCGCGAGTCGTCAGAGCCTGCCACGGACCACCCACCGCGGCCACACCTTAGCTCCTCGGAAGTTGGACTCTCGAGTCTCGAGTCTCGAGCCGAGAGACCCAGATACTTACAGTGGTACAATCGACGGCGGCACGACGGTCAGTGAGTGGGCTAGCCATCGACTCCGACTCCGACACGAATGGGGTACGAACGATCTTGGTTAGTCACTAGTCAACGATGGGCTTAGAGAACCGCAACGGTGTCCGACACCCTCGTCCACCCTAGGTGCTGGAGAACGCAGAGACGGGGAGACGCAGAGACGCAGAGACGGGGAGACGCAGAGACAGAGAGCTCAGTTCTCCCAACCCTCAATCCAGAAAACCCAAGTTATCAAGACCCTCAATCCAGAAAACCCAAGTTATCAAGACCCTCAATCCAAAAAAACCAAGTTACTTACCTTATCAACGAACATAGGGGAGAACGGTTATCCTCAACGCCGACACAGAGACTCTGAATCGAGCTGCTGTTCGAGCCTGGAGGCCTGGAAGAGAGATTCGGGGGCGGCTATGGATTCGGGTCGGGGCGCGTCTACGCCTATGCCTAAGAGCCATACAGCATGATGACTCGCATGATGGAGAAAGGGAGAGAGCCTCTCCGCCTCATGAAAACGCAGACTGTCGACGATGCAGAGAGTGAGCATGGGGGGTTTCGTCGCAGTACATGAACGCCTGTCGTTTTCGAAATGCTTAGATGTGAGATGGTGCCCATCGGAATGGGCGCAAAGTTGGCGTCAAAGGCATGGGATGGATAGACCAGGCATTTTGAGACGATTAGGTGGCTGAGCGGATGGAGAATGGGCGCGGCGCCTCGTTAAAATGTGATGTGATCATCGCGAATGGGAAGGGCAATGGCGTTGAAAGGAAGCGGCAAGTGATCTGAGTCGTTATCTGACGAGGGGTGCACTTTGAATGTCTCGGGGTCGCCGGAGCCATCTGAAACGGCCATACCAGTTGAGTGAAACAACGAAAAAGGCGCATCGAACGAAAAGGAACCATGTCATTCCAACCCATCCACTTCGTCTATCGTACACCGCAAAGAACGAGAATGAGAAAAAAAGGTAAATCAAACCTCCGATAACGCACCCGCATTCTCCTTCTCTTTCTCCTTGCCTTTACCCTTCTTTCTCCTCCCACCACCCCTTCCTCCCTCGCCGCTTCCTCCACCCCGCTTCGCATCCTCCTTTGAAGGCTCAGGTAACGGCGGTGGAACGTATATCCCTCCTCCACCAAGCATATTCTCAAACGGACGGTCGGGACCTGGCTTTCTCCGCGCATACGGCGGTTCATCAGGCGGCGGTGGGGTACGAACGACGTTCTCCTCTTCCTCTCCATCCTTCCCCTGCCCCGCCGAGGGAGGAGTGACCTTGGGCTTTGGAGTATACGACGATACGATGACACGGTTGTTCTTTCCCGTTAGTGACAAGACTTTATGCGACGCCATAGGATGTGGTGGTGGGATCCCTCCAGCGGACGAAGACGAGGGAGGAGGAGGAGCGCCAGAGAGAGTAGGGAACGACCCAGCAGCCCGACGCGCTTCCTCTATCGCCCTTTCGCGTGCTTCGATTTCGCGGGCGATGGTGTGCGAGAGGTCGGCGGTGAGGCGGAGGACGAGGTCGTCCCGCGTGGTGGCGTCGAGGAGGGGGGTGAGGCAGTGTGGGCACGGGTGTTGCGGTGCGTTTATGCTACACAGAACTAATCCACATGCTTTGCATATGGGCGTGTACGGAGAGAGTGGGTGGGTTCTGGCTGTAGTCCGATAACCAAAGTATCAGTTCCATTCGCTCCATCTCATAACCCTACAACGCACCTCGACAGAAACACCCGCCTTTAGGATCAGGATCTACCAACGACGCAGCCCTCAATTTCTGGATCTGACGCTCCAACCTCCTAACCTCCGCACTCTTGGGCTCCTCCCTTTCCTGCGGACCCTTCCCTTTCGAATTCGATTTGGTGGATGATGATTTGGGCGTGGAGGAGCGCGGGGGTAATCGATCGGAGGGGAGAGAGGAGGGGCCTTTAGTCCATGGTGTTTTCCGTGACATGGCTGTCGTGAGGAGTGGTCCTGGGGTAGATGGGTATAGAGATGGAGGCGAGGTAGGAGGAGGTAGATAAGGAAGGAAGAGACCAACGCGATGCACTCGCCGCTCGGCCATCGTCATCTCGGTCCCGCCCCTCACGTGTCCTCAACGCGTCCACTTTTACCATTTTCGGCCAATAAGCCCCTTTCCGTACGTGCGATATGTACATGGTGGCTCATTCCCATATTGACGGTTCGAGTGTACAGAAAGGGGTGTAAAAGCAACACAGTCTGAAGACCGTATTGAGGTGGAAAAAAGGGGAAAAAAAATTAAGGATATTGGAGCTATAGCAACAACTCGTCTCGATCGAGTGACCTCGGGGTTATGAGCCCCGCGCTCTACCACCTGAGCTATGTTGCTTTGCTTTGTCAATGGCCTAGTAGACCATCAGTGTTGTATTTATCAGTCTGGTGTAGCTATACGCGAACGCCCAGCCTTTAGGTACAAGGAGGAGGGGAATCGTGAATTCCGTGAGTAAGAAGCTGTTTTATCTACGGTGGACTGTACATTCGTTATCAGGAATGCAACTTGTATATTTTGCGAAAATCCTTCAAGCTGCACATGGCTCTGGACTAGCACAGAGTCTGGGCGCGTTCTGGGAGGGTAGACGTAGTAGGCGTCTATACAGTTACTACTACCATCCTACAATAACTCGGTTCTAAGATTTGAGATGTAGTCGACTCGAATGAATGGAAAGTAGGAGAGGGAGAGGGACAGCTATCCGTCCATTCGAAAAGGTCATGGTCCACCAGGGAGACCCACGTCAGGACTCAGCGGGAACACCATCTCCAAATGGCCGCCATCGCGACGATGGCACCTGGCAGCCCGAGACCGATGCTCACGCCCAAGGCGATCCTATCGCTCTTGGAGAGACCGTCGTCATCGTCGTCGTCAGAGTCCGAGTTGCCGCTGCGGGGGGTGTCGACTCCTTTGCTGTCTCCTCCGCCGCTGTCGAGGAGAGGCCCGCAGTTCTGGCCTGGGACGCAGCACTCGGTTGGTGGAGGTTGTGCGAACATTCGGCATGTGCTGGGTGACCCGTGGTATTCGTATGTAGCGAGAGATAAGTGCGGCGTTCGTCGGGCACGGGTATAGTTATAGGTTATATGTAGTGGGAGGTTAAAGACCGTTGGTTAGTTGAATACCATTCGTGGAATCTTGTCAAGGGATGATAGATGGATGGATGGATGGACTAGAGTATGCGGACAGGAACGAAAAGAAGAAAAACAAAAAGAAAAGGGAAGTGGTGGGTAGTAACTGGGTACGCACTTGGGAAGACCGCAACACGCCACCCTGCAGCACATCATGTACGCGTCAGAGCAGCAATGACCGTTTCCGCACCCTCCTACGCCCGGAACTGGACACCAGTTCCACGTTTGTCGGCCGAATAGGCCACGCATCCACAAGCTCCCGGTAGTAGTACTTGTGCTCAGGATGGGGGCGCTATCGGCCTGAGTGCCTTGAAAACGATTACTCTCCGCGTCGTCCGAGTGTGGATGGGCGTCGATGACGAGGGAAGTCCCGCTGGATGACGCCTCGACTACTATGTCAGCCGTTAAAGGCTGTCGGACCTCGTCGGCGGGGTGTTCGACTCCTTGAAGCGCAAGGGTCGGGCCTTCTGCTGCGCTGGTGGTCGGCGTTATAACCCACAGCGTGTAAACGAGGAGCACTGGGAGGAAATAGAACATGGCAGAGAGTAAGGTAAAGGTAAAGGGCGGAGAGCGCTGGATGGATGGCTGCAGAACCCCTGAGAGAGATATACTTATGGATGGTTGTCCTGAAAAGATGTCGGCAAGCCCAATGTAGTATCGATTAAATGTTGGAAATATGTTGAAATCTTGTCATATTAACCTCGCTGGATCCACGTTGCCCGTCACGCGCTAGCCACGAGATGAGTAAGGTACACAGATAAGCGCTCACCAGGTCTAGCCTGCATTGGTCTTCCGGCTGGGTAACTTCTTGAGAGCCCATAGCTGAAAAATGGACGTTAGTAAGTTAGCAGTAAAAAAGAAAAGAATGGCGAGTGTATCACCCTACGCTACGCCAGTCTTGCGGAAATGCTGACGCAAGGAAATTAGACGCCCGTTACCTTACATTTGATCGGGTGTTTTTGGTCCAATTCAACATGAGGGCACAGTGGTCCAGGGTGTGAGAGCGCAGGGAGACAGGGGAAATACTAGTGCCCATGAATGATGAAATGAGGGTCTGGGCGCAGACCGTCGTCGGCGGTCGACTCTCCGAGCTGGTTAATGGCCTATCTGAGGGCGCGTGTACTTAAATCAAGTCCAGAACACTTAGTTACTGTAAGTACGAGGCCTGTGTTCATCACCTACATAAGTCCTTTGAGAAACAACGATGAGATGACTCATGCAACAACATGAGGAAATAAGTCGCGCCATTGAGAAGGGAAACGGAAACGCCTGGTTCATGCCCTTGGCATTTAGATTTCGTTCGAAAACCTACAGGGTCACTATAGCCAAGACATGGCTACTATGAAACTGAAACGGAGATCAATGACTGCGCCGCTGCCACCCCCCGGGCGTCGGGTCCCTGGGCGCTTAATGGCGCGGGCCGATTAGCGCCTCGTGACTTACTCGCGAATGTGGCATGGACTCGACGTAGGCTGGTTGTAGGCGCATCTTTGGTGAGGAAAGACGCAAAAAGAAGGCGAGAAAGTGCCTCGTCTATAGTAATAGTAATAACTCGTATCGATTGAGTGGGCTCTAGAGGCTTGGGCTCGTGGACGGTGGTTTATGTATGTATGTAAATAACTACGTAACCATGACAGAAATGAATCCTAGCCTAACAATCTATATATTTCCTCACTTGTATAACTCAGGCTTGAGAGTAGTAGGTATATATGAAGATATGTGCTTGGCCCTACGTCCACCAACACGCCAACTACATTCACTACGTCAACCCCGACTCCTAACGACCCCCCCACCAATGACCATGTACAGTACTTACTACATCTAATTACCACCACAGCACAAATACCTCACACAGCGACACAGCCCACACGTTATACAATTCAAGAAGCAATCGCACCCCATTTTGAGTATTGCGATTAGAGCCAGAATGGCAGTGGGCAGCCCGACACCGAGACCCACGCCGAGTGCGATCTTGTCGCTCTGCGAGAGACCTTCGGATCGTGTCCAGTCGGCGGCGCTTCGGAGGGCGATATCGATATCGATGGCCTCGGAGGGGGGCCCACAGGTCTCGCCTCGGATGCAGCACTCGTCTGGGGGCGGGCGCTCGAACGTGACGCACGAGGATCTGTGTGAAGATGGAGACGGCACATGTGTAAGTAAGCGCCCGACGGAAATGAAGCGACATAGCATAGACATTTGATGTGATGCCAATGGAAGAAGGAAGGAGGGAAGGGGAAGTGAGAAAGGAGGAACGAAGCGAGATCGATGGGTGGACTGGGACTTACTGCGGGTAATGGCAACACGCGTACGAGTCGCCTGACCTCCTACAGCACACCTCGTTCGAGCAACAGTGGCCGTGTGTGCAGATGGAGATGGCAGCACCCGCTGGACACCCGTTCGTGTTTCGTCGTCGACGGCCGAAAATGCCTTCTAGGATTCTGCTATTCCTTTGAACTTCCAATTGAGTGTCGTCGATAGGCGAGTCCGAGTCTGTAGGTTGAACCGCTGAACGCTCATGCGTCGGGAGAACGACACCTCCAGGGTGCAGTCTCACCCCATCGACTCCGCCTTCGAATTCATCGAGAGCTCTCTTCTCCACAGATGCTACGTTTTCCACTGAAGATACCACCGTCGGCGCACCAGGCACAACGTTTCTCCCAGGGTCCACAGCGTAAGAGACCAGTACGTTTCAGAGTGCGGCAGCGCTCAGGAGAAGCAGTGTTAAGAGCGTAGGTCGGGGCCCTTGAGGACGGTGCGAATCAAGTTGAGATTGGGATGGGCGTTGGGAATAGAGAACGGGGTCTGGATGGGTGAAGATGGGCGTATGTTATATAAAGAGCCTGGAAGTCCCACCGTCATTGAATCCACGCCGCATTCGCGAGTTGGCCACGAGGCGCTTATGGAATTAAGCGCCCGAAGCCCAGGAGCGTCTCGGGTGCCGGGCGTCGTGAGAGTGGTACTCGTGCGAATGGATGTAATTCATAGGTGCCCATCTTGTCTAGTAATGATGGTTTTTGTCGGGAAGGTAGTAGGGTTATAGTTATAATGACCAAATTCGAGCTTTGAGGGTTCGCTGGCGCTTTCGTCCGAATTCCATCTCACATCGATCCGAATATAGTGCCACTGCCTCTGCGTTATCACCATATCCCGGGAACGAAGTCTAATCGACGGTTTGATGGTTCTCAAGCACGCGGTGCTGCAGCGGCGAGGTGGCCAGTAGTACTACATTCACAGCAATATGGTGGTAAGCACGTCTCCAAGTGACATCCCGAACATCCTACGTAGCTACCTCCTCGTTGTCTGCATCCGACTCCTCGGTAGTCCACCCCTCCGACGAACTTCCAGCACACTCCCTACAATCACACGGCTCATGCGGGTCCTTCGCGCTCGTGAAGTTCACTATCACATTCCCGCTCGACGTCTCGGAGTCCAGCTCCGATTCAACCTGAATCTCCCCCCTGACAAATTCGACAAGGTCTTCGTGTTGGCTTTGGGAGATATGAAAACCAGGCGTAGACTGTGTCGAGAACGAAAAGTTGAACGTCAACTTCACCTTCGACGACGACGACGACGACGACGATCCGGAGGGTGATGATAAGGATGATAGCGACCTCGTTCCGACATCGATAGGCTGGGAAAGACGACGAATCGCCTTCATCAGTCCACGCCAGTCTTGAGAACGTGTGGAATGGAAGGGTGAGGCTCCGTAGACGCCGATGTCGAGATCGAGTGTGGTGAGCTGGTTCGGTAGGGGTATGGCGTCCAGTACAATCCTGAGCTCGTCGACGTTCAGAGATCGGGAGGGGTCGTCTTCGGTTATGCGGGTGTTGAGCTTGAAGGTGTGTAGTCGCGAGAGCGTGGAGAGGTTGAGGAAGGAGGGGAGTGGTTGGTAGTCATCTGGTTTAATTCGTCAGTAAAGTCTCTAGGAGAAAAGAAGAAGTGATGCAGAGCGCACCTTCCGCCTCTAATAGCAACGGATACGTGATCGTGAGGTCCTCCAGCGAATCGCGAGCTGCATCGAGGATTTTGGAAAAGAACCCGATCTCTTCCCCAGTCCTCGGCGTGTTCGTGAACGTTCTCAAGCGGGTTATGTCGACCAACGGTCGTGGAAGTGGAGGCAATCGAGGGGAATCGGTAAATAACGAAAGGATATCAAACCCCTCATACGAGGTTAACGTCTCAAGCGAAGGCGATGGGCGCTCGAAGTAGTCCATCCCTTCTTCCGTGACGGTGTTGATTCTGGACACCCGCACGAGCGTGAGCTCCTTGAGGTTCGGACAGACGAGGAGGATGGGTGGTGGAACGTCCGTGCAATGGAAGAGGTGTAAGACGACGAGCGAGGACGCGAAGAACGTCCTGATCATCTTTCCAACGAGCATATCGGGATGCTGTGATCCATAGTTCTGCATCCCGTCTATGCATAGTCGACTAGGCGGGTTGGCGCTCTGCGACAACAGGAGGATAATCCGCGTAAATGTGCCGTTGTTGAATAACCACGATCCGTCGGTGTGCCAGAGGAGCGATAACTGAATGGATTGGACAAAGTTGATCAAAGAGGGTTTATGGGAGAGGAGCTCGTATGCGTTGGCGAGTTGTTTCTTGGTGGATACTGGTTTTCCTGAGAGTGACAACTGTTTGACGAGGCGCTCCTGGCAGAGTGGAGTGAAGGCCCGATCGGCCAACGATAAGGCTTTCAGCCCTTCTGTCGATGCGATTTGTTCGACGTGGTCAACTATAAGGACCAGCAGTTCGGTGGAGAGAGTTGAGAGGGGTGGGGTGAGCATCGCGGTGGGAGGAGAGAGAGAAGGCGGGCTCCTGCATTGTTCTCACGCCGTGTAGTTGTGGACAAATCTCCGGCGATCTCGGATGTGGGCACACAAGTTGATGGGCGCCTAATTGCCTTTCAGCACGGAACTGGCGCGGTACAAGGTGACCCTCCTTCTTCTCTTACCTGCGTAGGTCCATCTTCCAGCAAAGAATCTTCCTATTGGGAACTCGACGAAGGGAAGGAACAGCCACAATACCTAGTCCAGCCCCGGTGGGCGCTTATCTTTCTGTCTGACATATCGATTAGCACCTCGGGAACGTGGCGTGGTTACAACGAGGGTGTGATACGTCAATATCCTATATACTTCGACATACGTATTTCGGCGACAAGCACTGTCTCGCAGGTCTCTTTCATTCTTCGAATCCAGCAGCCAGCGCTCGGCGATAACTCTGGTCCATGTTCTGGTCGCTCCTCATTTTAGCGCTGTGGGTTCTCATACCAGCTAGAGCAGCAGAAGTACGAACTATTGCGCTGCCTTCTACTGCAACGATTGAGGATTGGCCCCCGACGAGCACCGTCCAGACTTCACATCCAGATTGGGACGACGCAGAATGTGGAGGGATTGATCGAAGCGATGCTCATACTACGACGCACGGTGGTTTAGGAGGCGTGTTCGGCAGACGAACGTGGAACTGGTGTCCAGCTGGCGTGGACAGCTGTACACACGGCCACTGCTGCTCCGACGAGCATAGGATATGTTGTAGGATGTCGTGTTGTTATCATCCCAAGTACGTACTTATTTTTTCATTCAATCACCCTCTCTCTTCAGGAATCTCACTAACCCGCCTCCTTCTTGTGCATCGACGTCACTACCTCTCTCTTGTGTGTATCAATCCCTCGTGTGTGCTCTACCGCGGAACACCAGGCGCTCGTGTCGAACCTTCAAACACCCACCACCAGACGCGTGCTGCATCCCAGGACAAAGCTGCGGACCTCTTCTGGAGAGTGCGGTTCTGAACGGCGGCGATACGGAGGGAACGAGGCACGAGGGGTTGTCGATGAGCGATAAGATTGCGCTGGGCGTTGGCATTGGGATTGGGTTGCCGGGTGCTATTGTGGCGATCGCGTCGATGGCGAAGTGGTGCAGTCCAGGATGACACTCGTGGAGGTCGAATGCCGAGTGCAGTGTACCACCATCTTCAAGTTATTATTGTTCCTGTCAGTTCCCTTTCTTTCGCGCGTGGAAAGCGTGTTACTACCTTTGATAATTTGCATTTTACCTCTTCGATCATTAGCTCTCGTCCTCCTTTATGTAAATGCTTGCCCACTTCTCAAAGAACGAATCCAGTCTCTCAAAAAATACGAATCCAGTCTCTCTCTCTCTCTCAAAAAAAAAAAAAAAAAAAAAAAAAAAAAAAAAAAAAAAGCGGACCCAATCTTTCAGAAAACAAATCGGGTCTCGAAAAAACGGATTCATGTTCGAGAGATTCAAGTCACATAATAACTACATTCCTAAACGCCTGCAAACACCGTAAAATAACCTTCCTCGTCTCCAAATCTACCATACCCAGCTCTTTATACCTCTCCACCCTTCCCCCTCCATTCCCTCCAACCCCTCCACCCCCACCTCCTCCACCCTCTCTTCCCCCCAACCCACCCCCACCCCCACCACCCAACGGAGGCACAAACCTCATCACCCTCATCCTCCCCGGATACCCCCCACCCCTCATCGCATCCACAAACCCACTCGTCACAGGTACGCGATAGAAGACGGGCGCGGAGGCGTACATGATTATGGCGGGGATGTACAATCCTGGGTAGGGAGGGAGGCCGGCGTTGGAGCGCCGGACGTTGGTTTGGGCGAAGGCGGCGATGGATTGGGCTATTAGCCGGGGTTCGGGGTTGGAGCTTAGGAAGGAGGACTTGAGGGATGGGTATTTATTTAATTAGAGGGGTGCATGAGGTAGAGGGGTGTTATTCGGGAGAGGGACGTTATTCATTAGAGGGGTGTGAGGTAGGTGAGGGGGTGGGTAATAATCCGATGACGGGTGAGGTGAGAAGTTGAGCGATGCCGAGTCGAGTTGCAAGTCAAAAGTCGAGTTAGATGAGGACAGTGTGGGCGAGGGTTAATTGGATGGTACGTACCCGACAGTCGTAGACGATTAAGTATATCTGGTGTTTATCCGCGACGACTAGGTTTAGTTTGGCTTTGACGTTTCCACCGGGCATCGGGAGGGTCGTTTCGACTCCGCGGAGGATGGCGCGTCCACCACTCCCTCCTCCTCCTCCAGTCCCTCCGCCAAGTCCTCCTCCTCCTCCCTCACCACCACCGTCTCTGCGCCTCTGTATCTGTATCTGCCTCCTTCCACCACCATGGCTCTGTGAATACCCACTACTCTGCGAACGACTTTGATCAAACTCCATCAAACCCAAAAGAAAAGACATGAGATCCAAGACGCGGTTCGTAGTGGAAGACCACGTTCCCGTCGGCGTCCCACCACCACCCCCACCCCCATCCCTCCCCTTCCCGTTCTCGATAAACTCCAAATACCGAAAGAATTTCCTCACATCCTCCGCATTCTCGCCATCCTCCGCATCCTTGCCATTCTCCCAAGACGGACACGACGCATTCTCCCAAATCTCCTTGGGTACCAAAGGCGGAACAGGCCCACCCTCCAGATCCTCCATGTTCCTATTGAGAATAGCAGCGGCGCCCACGTCCTCGATGTGGATGTTGAACGAGATGAGCTCGCCCGAGGTCCAATCGGAAGTGGGTGTGGCGAGGTTTTGGGTCACACTTGACATCGCCTATCGCCTATCGACTATCGACTTTGGTTTGGAACGATCATGCGGGGCGGTGTGTTGGTGGTTGGTGTTGGTGTGTGTTGAGTGAGTGGAAAGGGGAAGTCGTGGAAAGGAGTCGTTGTGGAAAGGAGTCGGGGGTGGGCTTGGATAAGGCTGAGGTCTGAGGATGGAACAAAGGAACAGGAACGTTATGTGTCGGACTCGGTCTCAGTTTGGGCGCTAACTTCTTACTCAAGTCCGTCCGTCCGTGCGCAGTGACGTCATCGATTTTTCCGTGAGAGGGCTCGTGGTACTTGTGCATGAAAAAGAAGTAGAAACAGAAAAGAGAATGACAGGCAGAGCAAGCAGCAATGGGCTAAAAAAGGAAGAAAAAAAAGAAGAAAAAAAAAAAGGAAGAAAATAGAAAGAAGAAAATGGTGAACCCCAATTGACAATCTCTCTGTCTGGGAGTCGAACCCAGCTTTCGCGCGGCCAAGGAAGAAGGAACTTTCTTTCGTCCACACAGGCATGACAGGCGCGTGTACTAACCGATATACTAACAGAGAGTTAATTTTGGGCCGTTATGGGTATGTGTACTCACTCTATCAGCTATGGCTTGGAAGGAACGACCAGAGCTGGACCAGAGCATACGATCAAGAACGTTGTTCACCACAAGTCCCAAGAAGCCGTTAACGTCGGTTGACACGAACTAAATTCGAAAAATCAAGCGTCACAACCAACCCACGACGAGCAAATATGAAGTGTTACAACAACGAAAGATTTTCCTTCTTTTTTAAAATTACAAGAGAGGGCAAATAAATAGGATATACGTATCATACTTTATACTACCAAACCCACACCAAACACAGGCGCTTTGCTTAGTGCTCGCTGACGAACACAGCAGCCATACCCATACCACTACCAATACACATCGAAGTAACAAACACCCGTCCACCAGTCTGCTTCGCCACACTCAAGCCAGTCGCAACCTGTCGTGCACCAGTGCATCCAAGGGGGTGGCCAATAGCAATCGCACCACCATTAATGTTGACTTTCTCATAGGGGATCTTCAAGTGCTGCACTGACATGACAGCCTGCGACGCGAACGCCTCGTTGATCTCGTAGAAGTCGACGTCGTCGGGGGTGATGCCGGCCACTTGGAGGACGCGGGGGATGGCGAAGGCGGGGCCGATACCCATGACGCGTGGGGGCACGCCGACGACGGAGGAGGTGACGAACTTGCCGAGGATGGGGAGGCCGAGGCGCTTGGCGACGGAGCGGCGAGCGAGGAGGACGGCGGCGGCACCGTCGGAGACTTGCGAGGCGTTACCTATACACCAGTTAGAGGCGGATGTCGAGGAGGAAGAAAGAGGAGAGAGACGCACCAGCATGGGTAGTTCCATCCTTCTTGAACGCAGGCTTCAACTTGGAGAGACTCTCCTTGGTAACACCATCCCGAACACCGTCATCGTGGTCGACCACGATCTCGCGCTCCTGCTCAGTCTTGGGGTCGACCCACTTGGCGGTGATAGGGACGATCTCCTCCTTGAACTTGCCCTCCTTCTGGGCCTTGGCGGCGCGCTGGAAGGAGATGGCGGCGAACTCGTCTTGGACGGCGCGGGTGATGCCGTAGTCGGCGGCGACGTTTTCAGAGGTGATGCCCATGGGCAGGAGGCAGTCCTCGGCGTCGGGGTTGGAGAGGACCTCGTTCGAGTATTCGCCCATGGCGCCGGCTCCGTAGCCGTTGGTCATCGACTCGACACCAGCACCTGAAACAAGGCGTCAGCGACGTTCACGATGGTCAACGTGACGAGAATAGGAGAAAAAGACTCACCAATACCAATGTCAATCTGACCGGCCTTGATCTCGTTCGCAATCTGGGTGATGGCGGTCAAGCCAGAGGAGCACTGTCGGTTGACGGTGTTGATCGAGGTTTCGATGGGGATGCCAGCGTGGAGGGCGGCCATGCGGGCAGCGGTCGCACCACCGCCCGGGGGGAGGACGTTGCCGACGGAGATGTCCTCGATGAGCTTGGGGTCGAGCGAGACCTTGCTGTAGGCGGCGCGCAGGACGTGCGAGAGGAGCAGCTCGGGCTTGGTGTCCTTGAATCCACCTTTGCGACCCTGCAAAAGACGAGATGAGGTTAGAAATTGAGAGAGATAAGATGGAGAGGGAGGAATGCTGACCTTGGTGATGGCTGAACGAACAGCGGAGACGATGACGACGTCGTCGTCGTTCTTCTGGAGAAGACGAGACTTGGCAGCAGAGGTGGAAGCTTGAGTCGACATGGTGTTACGAAGGGATGTGGTGGTGGTGGTGGTGGATGAGGAAAGACAAAACCTCGAAGCGCTCAGCCCGTGCTTTTTAAGGCTCCCTCCGCAATCCGGGTATAACACTAACAATCACATGTCATCCAACCCCACCCTTCCTTCCTCTTCCCTCCAAACAGCTCCAAACGAACAAACGGCTACCTGGAACTCGACTAGAAGCCGGGTTGCTTCCGTCGAGGGGGTGTGTTGACGTTCATGGACCGGTACGAGGGTGGATAGTAGCCGATGAGGGGGGTCAGTCTGGGGTTAGGAGGTCGTTTCTGGGGAACAAGACTGGGGTTCGGCGTTCGGCGATGTTGGCTTGCGCGAGGCACAGCCACCGCTCCGGAAATGAAATCCGCCCTCGTTCGAGGGGTGCGGGGTTTTCACATGGACGAGATCTGGGCGTCTATTTTGCTTTGGAGTATCAAGTGAAACTGGGATGGGCGTTTATACATAGCGGTTCCTTTTATTGACTCTTGAGGTACTTTGAAGTGCGTGATGGTGTCTCTTCTTGTCGTATTGATTATTTCCTTCGAAGCCGTCGTTATGCCCAAATTTAGAATGCGACGACTGGAATCACAAGACAGAATTCGATTGGGTCCTTGGAAGCTCATGATAAACGCGCACATACTATACTTCTCCATGGGCGTACCAGCCCACGTATACACCCTCTCTCTTCGACGCGTTACTCAACTCTGACCAACCTGCATTCCAACTGACCACAACCGGAATGATACACGACGCTCCCTCTCATGATCATACGATGGACGCCCGACCCACCTTCCAAGCTCCTGGTGCTTAACACCCAACTCTCTGTTAGTATATCGGTTAGTACACGCGCCTGTCATCGCATATCATGTTATTGGCCGCGCGAAAGCTGGGTTCGACTCCCAGACAGAGAGATACAGCCTTCGGATGTTTCATTTTTTCCCCCTTATTCTATCATAATAGTATAGTACTCTTTGTTGTTTTTGTTGCCTTTTTCATCCACAAGTACGACGAGCTCTATGTATTTGAGTCTGTAGACAGGGAGAGATACATGGATGGTAGGTAGTACGTCGTCTCTGATCACACGGCTGATAAGTAATCGATATCGAATCTCGATACCCACACGGCTGATAAGTAATCGATACTACCCCGGCACGGCTACTAGCAATCGATTCCACACGACCTACTAGTAATACTCGTAGACCAGTCTAATAAACGTACGGAACCAACTTGTAGGGTACCTTCCTCACGTACTCTTTCCATTCGTCGCCAAACTCCTTTGCGAGGAGGTCTTCCTCCTCTTTGGTGCCGGCGCAGAGACCGAGGGTGGCTGCTGCGATGGCGAGTGTGAAGGTGTAGAGGAGGGTTTGGAGTATGAGAGGGGGGATGGTTATTTGACCTCCGAGTACGTATACTAGTCCCTGCAGTCGTCCTTCCGAGCCCAGGAGTACTAGTGTTCCGCCAAGTCCTTGGAGCGCTCCTTTGATGCTCTCTCCGAGTCCACCGAGTCCACTAAGACTCGGAGTAAGGCTGTCCAGAGACAAAACCAGCCCCTCATCCAAAATCCCACTCCCCCTCACCCACCCCCCTTCCGCAAACACGCACAAGAATCCGCTGAGGATGATGAGGACGAAAGCGGGGTAGCTGGGGTGTCGGACGACGGAGTACGGCCCGGATGTGATGAGTTTTTGGGCGGGGAAGGTGGATAGTTGGAAGACGAAGAAGGGGCCGAGGGTTTTGTAGCAGTAAAGGCGGAGGAGGGAGGAGAGGTGCAGGAGGAGGGTGGGGAGGAGGAAGGAGAGGGGGAGGGTGGGTTGTGGTGGTGGTGTTGTGGATGATTGAGAGGCGGTCAGGATGGAGTAAACCTCTAAGAGGGATACCGCCGCGAAGAGATACTACGTAAAACAAAACTCCCACATTAGTTTCCAGATTTACGTTGAGGAATTAGGAAGTGGAGGAGGATGGGAAGGTAGAGACGAACCTTGTACCAGCTGTACACCCTCAATCGGAGATGGAAGAGGTTGTATATCGGACCGCGTAGGGCGCGTTGCTTGGGTGCCTTCGAGGGGTTGGGGTTCGGGTCTGTTAGGGTTAGGTAGACGAAGAGGGAGTTGAGGAGGAGGAGGAGGGGTTTGAGGAGGGTGGGGGTGAGGAGGGTGGGGTTGAGCGTCATATTGGAATTGGGAGTTGCTTTTGTGGGTTCGTTATCTATATGCTGTGCGATTTTGTCGCTCGTGCGGGATTGGCGTGAAGGGTCGTGAGGTGGAATCGTGCGACGTTGGAGGGTTCGTCAGGTCAAGATAGTCGTTGTGTCGATGTCGTGTCGGTGTCAACTGAGAAAGGCTCTTTGATTGGAAGAACCGCTCTTGGGTTACGACACGCACTCTAGGTACCGGTGGTGCGCTGTACTTCGTCTCTTTACCGCCTACGCTTCGAATTTATAGGAAAATCGATCGACTTATCAGTGCCCAGTACGTACGTACCGTCGGAGGTCGGGCATTGTGCAGACCCTGAGGCGAGACCACCGAACTACGTACGTACGGCTATCCGAGGTGGCTGTTGACACCGGTGAAAGGAGGCGAAGGTTCAGGAAAAGTTCAGGTTGTCAAAGGTCTGACTGTTAGCTTGTGGTTAGAAGTTAAAGCGATGAGCATGATGGCCAAGCTGTGAAGCTTTGAAGGGAGCGGATGGAGGGGGAGCAGGTGTGAAAGGTGGCGCTGCGATCTTTCCCTTCGAGGGGCCTTCAGAAGCTGGGAGATGAAGGCTTGAGGCTTGAGGGTCCTCTACGTGCTATTACAAGGATGACTGAAGACGGATGTATCATCTTCAAGCCCTTTGTGCTTGACTTTGCTCGCAATTCATAAGTAGTTTAGGAGAATCTCGCACTAAATAGGAAGTGGTACGCGTACATATTCGGAGAGTGATCATTGTCCAAAGCGAATCGCGCAACGAACGCGCCAATGAGTGGTTTAGGGTCGGAGGTGTCTTGTCATCGAGACTCTACACGTTGCGAAATCGCCTGTAATAGCCCCCTATGGATGGATCTGCGCTACCGTGCGATGACCCATCTACGCTTCATTCAAGTCTTGATCCTTCAACTCGGCACCTCTCTTTCGCTTGCTCCTCCGTCTGCGAAGAGTAGCTATAGGGTGTGTACTATACCGATGACGAAGCGCTGTCTGTTCGTGTGCTCGATCCCGATCGAGTCCGACTCGGCTCTGCATGAGTGAAAACAATGGGTCTTGACACCGTACTAGCAAGGCTTGAAGCGACGGTGTCTTCGTGCCGAGTGAAAAATCGTCCACTCGTGACTCTGAAGATCATCATCTGAGACGACAAGGTCCAGTAAACGATTGGACAATAATAAATCTTCCTGATAATGATGAGACAATGTCACTTGGGATTCATGGACTTACCACCAAACTGAAATAAACATACGATCCATTTTGAGTCGTTCCAAACGACGTAGCACCTGTACATCTATGGTATAATTTCCATTTTCCGATTAGAGAGGAAGAGGATGAGTCCGTAGATTGACATTAGGAGTTGGAAGCCTGGGATTTTATGTTCGCTAGTGTGTGTGTGGTGTGGGGTAGGGGCTAAGCAGGACACGGTCGAGGCTCGGAAGGGATGGAACTTACCTAGTGCTGGAACCTGAATGGCGATACCGCCGTAGGTGCATCCCGCGTATACACTATGTCGAGGTCTCGAGCACATTCCTCAGGAGCAGCGAGCATACTTTCAAGATTCTTAGTCGGTTCAAAGCTTAGCTATCGCTATCCTTGTCAATCTTTATACTCGAATGACTTCCGCGCTGCACGTCCCAACTCATGAACGGAAGTGAGATTGAATAGCGACTCTGGCGTTCATCACGAAGATGGTGGAACAGCTTTTTTATATTTGGTAATCCGAGACGAAACGCCATTGCGCCTCCTGGTTCCAGAGTGAGGATGATTTTGGGGAATCGTACTTACCTCTAAGTTGAGATAGGCTCTTTGTTGGATTCGATAGTCGCCCGACGAGATCCTCCCTTTTATTTCGTCGGGCTTGAAATACTTCCGAGGGACGATCATGATTCAAGTGAATTGCCTTTTTCTTCTGTCTCGCGGATTCCTGTCCTTGATTGCTGCAAGTGATCGCAATTTCGTGCTATCAGCGCCCATCGGTCAAGCTTCAATCCATGGGTTGAAAATGGACGAACGACGTTGATCCCCACGCTCGAGAACCAAACGAGTGTTACTTTTCGCCTCTGTACTTGAAGTCATAGCGCGAGGCGAAGATGGTCAGTGAATGAGGCTGAGTTAGAAAGTGGCGAATAGACCTTGTGAACGAGTTCAAGAGACACGCAGGATTGGCTGTGGAACAAAAGCCAGAATAAATATTCATTTTATACACCATATTCACATCGTCTTCTTATCCCCTATTCCATCTGTACCTCCACCACCATCACTCCTAACGCCGATGAGTTCTTGCTTCCACCGACGCTCCAGCCTCCGACCAGCGCTTAGCAAGTCCAGGTGTTATCCCTAGGCGTAGGCTGGCCAACGATGTCGTACTGTCCACCGGGGATAGGCTCGCCCAAGCACTCGGAGAGGGTGACGGCCTTGAGACCACGCTGGTTGGCCCAGTTGGCAATCCAGGGACCGAGCTGTTGGGCGGTGGATTGGAGAGCGTCGTGAGCGAGGGGGATGATCTTGGGATCGCGGTTGTTGTTGAGCGCGTTGAATTTGGCTTGGGAGGTTTGGACGGAGACGTCTGCAGGGAAGGGTCAGCGAATGTTGGGAGGGAGGGAAGGAACATGGGGTTTGGTGTGATCCACGAGCGAGGAACGAAGGAAGAAGTGAAGTCGAAAGTACGAAAAAATGAAAGAGGTACGCACTGTTCCAATCTTCGGTGTCCAAGTTCCAGGTGACGGTCTTGTACCTCAAGCTCCTCATGATGTTGAGCAAGTTCTGGTTCTGAGCGCCATAAGGTGGGCGGAACCACTTGGGACGAATACCGAGGATCTTCTGGAGAGCAGTCTCGAGGCGAGTCATTTCGTTGCGGACGTTGGACTCGGACTGGCCCGAGAGGTTGGCGTGCGACCAGGTGTGCGAGGCGATTTGGTGACCCGAGTTGTAAGCCCTGTGGTACGAAACAAACGGGGAGTCGCTCAGCGATGAACGGAGGGAAAGGAAATATGTACGTACTTCTTGAGAACATCGGCGTAGTCGTAGATGCAGCCGTACATCCTTCCAACGACGAAGAAGGTGGCCTTGACGCCAGCGCGATCGAGCGAGTCGATCAAGCCAGAGGTCCAGGTGTAGGGACCGTCATCAAAGGTGATGGCGATGGTGTTTGGGACGCTGCATCCGGTGACGAGGGTGCCGAAGGGGAGTTCGGTACCGCCTTGCGTGGGGGCGGGGTTATTGGGGGTGGTCGTGGCGGCGGGGGGAGGAGGGGTGACGACGGGAGGGGGCTGGGTCGTCACTGGTGGTGCGGGATTGTTGGATCCTGGGAGACATTGGTGGTACCAGTCGTTGAGGACGGTGCAGGTGTAACCTGATACGCAGGATGTGGAGCCGCTCCAGCCTTGGCCACCGCACTGGCCTACAGTCGAGGGTGAGCAACGATAGGTTCAACGAGAAAGAGAAGAAGTACCGTAAGGTCCAGATTGGGCAGACGCGAACGAGGCGAGGAGAAGAGCGAAGAATGGCGCTGACTTATAGTTCATCGCGTACGAAGACGAAGAAAATGAACGATGGGTTGGTTTGCTCCTTGAAAAACGAAGCCTCGAGAGATTTTATACGAGGAACCCTTCGGTGCTGAGCCATTTACCGAATTTTGACCGTGGGCGAGCCATGTGGGGTAAGTGGAGATGATCGTCGTGGGGAAAGAGCGGTCTCGCGACGGTTGATGACCAGATTCGGCGTCCTAGATGGTTGTTTTGCAGAGCTTTTGGACGGGGAATATCTCCGTTGTCCCCCTGTACGGAGAAATGCTAAATGCCATGTGGGTGCCATGCAATGTGGGGTATAGGTGACCCGGAGAAGCTGGACGTGTGCTCGAGCTTAGATGAGCGCTGTTGTGGTGGATACGTCACTTGACCCGAGGGAGAAACTCGAGGTGAAATCATTGAATCGCGACAAGTGGCAAATGACCGTATTTCTAATCTTCGTGATCGTCTAAGTTGCTCATTCGAACCAGTCAGAGAAGAGAACAAAGTTATCGAAGAAGCGAAGCTCGAGATATTGCCTCACAGATGAGAGACGACTTGTCCACGGTCAGAGGACGGCCGAATTTTGGGAATTTGGTTTCACATTTGGTCCCCGAGATGAGATACAGATTTCAAGGCCGAAATGCAGTCGAAGAGCGAAAGAGAAACTTCGTGAGAACGACGATTGTTGGATCCGGTATTTGACTTTGTGTAATTTTCACGGTGTTGCCAAACAGATCCTTCGCCAAAGCGCTATGATCGCACTGCGATGGACCTTGATTATGACCACGACTACCGCTGTGTAGCAACTTCTCTTGTTTTATCCATTCCATCATCCCAGGTTGAATCTGGGGTCAAGTAGCCACAATCGTCGCCCCATGTCTTTCCATTCCAGAGCCCTACGTCGAATTTCCAAGTTCACTCATTTTTGTTCACACAGCGCACACCTTCCCGTCGGCGCCTGGTCCATAGAATGGAGAAGTTCATCAGATTGACTTGTTTCCAAACTCCTGACCTGTGTTATCTACTCTAGGACTCTTTCCTTTACCTCGCCCCGACCATCTCTTCTCGCGTCTGTGACCGGACCGCTCTGACTCTCTGCATCCGCTCTTCTTTCACATCGGAAAAATAGGTTCGATCACTTGGTTCGTCCCTGCAGCTCTGTTCTCTGGTTTCTAACGGCGTCAACTTGAATATCAGGCTGTTGTTTCAATACATCGTCTATCCGATGCTCGTCATTGAAGCACATTCTCTCTGCTCACCCCGGTTTTGTATTGAACCTCTGGCTGAGCTGTCCTTGGCCGTCGTACTCGCATCGGATGCGATTCAATCATGACCAATCGGATGCAGAATCCTTGGGAGCGTTTCTGCAACTGAATGACCTCGCGTAAACCTCTGTAAGATGGGGTTAATCCTGATCTCCGATGGTCGACTCCGATTCCTTCTTGTTGACAGCTCTCGCCGATTCCGAAATGGTTGAAAGGCTTCCTCCTGGGGTAGAAAGGTTGTTTCTCCCATCTTCGTTCTGAGGACGATTCTCGTCCCATACAGCGCTGGCCTCAACTGCGTCGCTTTATGGAAGACTCGACAGCTTGGTCATCGCACGTTCACCTTGTTCGAGGTCGATTGTAGAGAGAAGGCCAGAGACGGTGCGACGACTTTCCTTTCTGGTGAGGATGACGACTCAACTGGGGTCTGTGTTTTGTCACGAGTTCAGGGAAGGACGCACAGTTGACAGCGATGAAGAGGCGGGAGAAAGATCAAGATGATACAAGTATATCTTCTGTGGTTCTTTGAGGAGCTCGATGTACTTCTCGGACGAGTTGGAGACCACCCCACTCGCCATATCGGCGCGATCTACTGGCCAAATACCATCCTGGTTGCGCTTAGCACCTATGGATGACACCCGGATTCTAGCCCGCTACTCTCGTTTCTTGAGTTCTCCTCGAGCGAGTCGAGCGCTGGACCCACAACGCTGCTTCGTTACCCAAGTGCGAAGTCGCGGTTATGTCACCCGTTCGAACCGTATCAGGCGTGCCATCTCGAAGTTGGACTGTCCCTTCTTCTCGGAGAATCGCCTGGAGTAATTCCAGCTCAGGTGCTTATATGGGCGCGTCGATGGGGTGAAAGGAAAGTGCGGTAGAGGCTCCCTCTAATACCATTGAGCAGGTACGCTCTACTACGAAATTCCGGTCTTGGTTGTAATCCATTAATGAAAGTTTCCAGCGCAGCTGGTTTTCAAGCATGAAAACGACACGTAGCCTTCTCGCTCTCTGTCTCGGGGTTCTGTACCCCCTCCAGGCGGTTGCTGAGTGTACGCTCACCTACGCCCAGCTCCAAGCGATTACCGCCGACTACGTCAACTCACGTCTCACTGGTTCCTTGACATCCCCTGATCTGACGACCGCCACTTACACCGAGAATTTCCTCCCTTCCACCATCCAACGCAGTATCTTCGCCTCTCCCCTTCGTGTCGACTACAACCGTAGCTTGCACGACACCACCTCGTGTGCTACGTACACTGAAATGGTCGTCACCGACCCTCGCCATCCATACGTTATCGGAACCCAGATCAGGGTTGATAATACGACTGGAGAGGTGGTGAAGGTTGAGAGTCTGATCACCGATCAAGGTGATTGGTTGTTCAACGCCACGGGTACAAAGATGTATGCGGAGAGGGAGGACTGGTTCACGATTCCCGTTGGGAGGCGCGATACGCGAGAGGCAATCCAAGCCGCTGCGGACGCCTACCTCGACCTCTGGAAAGACAAGACGGTCGTCGTACCGTGGGGTACACCGTGTAACCGTCTCGAGGGTGGTATCTACACCGGAAATGGATCACCCAACGACTCGTGCAATGTGGGAGTACCGTCGAGGATTGTGGAGATGCCGGATAGGAGGTATGTGATTGATGAGACGTTGGGAGCGGTCGATGTGTTTGTGAGGATTGGGAATTGTAGGACGAGTAGGCCGGATAGTCATGAGTTTAGGTTGGAGGATGGGAAGATGAGGTATATTCATACGATGACGGTGATGGACCCGACGTGCCCTGGGTTGCCGAGTCAGGCTTGTGAGTGTAGGAGTAGGATCAGGGGATAATCGATGGGTGATCGCACGTCTCGTAACCGTTTGTACTTCGGGTAGTTTCAATGGCGAATAATAAGTAAAGCTCCTGGCGAGAACAAAGTGATGGGTCGCCCCCCTTCCGGCTTCCCGGGATTGTCTTCGAGGGAAGATCTTCCGAGAACGGATTTGACGATTGACCTCATGGGCTCTGGGAGAGTAGCCAATGACCCCATGGGCTCTAATCTCCCAGCCTCGACGTGAGGCAGGCTGTAGCTCGGGACAGATTCCATCCAATAGCATGCATAATTTCACCATAAAGTATATTGAATGAATGGAGTGTCGAACGAAGGTCGTCTGGGAATGTACCACTGCATCGTGGTTGACCAAGGGCCAAGGCTATGAACATCACCGTGCCGAATTGACAGTTTAAACAAAGAGGGCCAAATTGGAGCATATCTTTCCCAAGAGGTCCAACGGATTAGTATACAAAAGACCCACGCATCGGTGCCCACGCATGCTACTTTGCTTCGGTAGCCAGTTATCGGTAGTTAGAACAATCATCAGTCGAGTCCTTGCCTCGAAAGAACCATGTTCACGTCATCTGTAATCGTCCTCATCTTTTACTTGTCCTAAACGACGCTAGATCATCGGGTGTTTAGTGCTCTCTACGTCGTATAAAAGCGCTTGTGTTGAATAGCAAGACACAGAAACTCCTCAATCGCTCTATTAGTTGCAGTTCACAATGCTCTACTACTTCAGGTCTCCGCTGTTCATTTCTCTCGCTCTTACAGGTGTCGCGGTGGCTCAGTTCGAGTTCCCCTGCCCACCAGTCCTTCCTTCATACCCAGAATACCCATTTGGCTGTGTTGTTGGGACGTGTAGCGTGCCCAACACAGTTGCGATCACGTTCAACGGCGGTCCCTCTCAATTTACTTCTTCTGTGGTCGACATCCTCAATAAACATAACATGAAGGCCACCTTCTTCGTCACTGGGAAGAAGGATGGCCAGTGCATCTACGACTACGCCGACGCAGTCATCAAGTGCGTTCACCATCGTATTTCTCGTTCCTTCCTAACTCACCTATGACGGTCATGTCTTTCAGAGCGGATGATGCGGGTCATCAAATTGGCTCATATACCTGGGGCCACTTGAATCTCACCGACTCAACTCGTGATGAAATACTCGAGGACGATGCGAAGTTCCGGGACGCCATGCGCAAAATCTTGGGCAAACGATTTCGATGGATGCGACCCCCTTATGGCGCTCTGAATAGAGACGTGCGGGAAACTTTGGTTTCGAGGGGCATCCGGTACAAGATTGCGCATTGGAGTCATGATACGCAAGACGAGAGTGAGTTTCTATCTCGGTATTGAAACATTCGTCGGTGCCTAATGGAATGATTCCATCTCCAGGTCTTTCTGTCGAAGCTATCAAGGCCAAATTCAATGAACTTCCCGATGATCCAATGGTTGTTGTTATGGCGAACGACTGGATCAAGTCTACCGCTGAGGAACTCATGCCCTGGATCGTCGAGTGGGTTCAGAAGCGTGGGCTGAGAGCTGTGACGCTCTCGGAGTGTACAGGAGAGGCTATTCCTGGGTCAATGTACGATTGGGCGATCAATGGGCCGACGCCTCGAGATGAGACTTGGGTCTGTGATTAAAGCGACACTGTCGCTGAAAGCCTCTACCTTATACATTCTTATCTGTTCTTTAAATAGCAACTAAATCACGCTGAGCTTACTCTATGCGACATACCGATGGAAGTTTCTGCAGCACCTTACGTGTTGGATACTCTTTGGCGATGCGCCCTCTTACTTTGTCCGCGTCAGAAGTCGACGTAAGGTCAGGTGCAAGTCAAAATGGAGGATCGGGGGCAAAGAAGCAGCAACGACGCTGGCTATTGTACAATAATCTCAACACATTGAGAGGGAAACATCGTTGCCTACACGTATCAAAACACGAAGGGAATGATCCTGTAAGGTACCCTCTTCGTGTAGCCTCGCCACTCATCCTTGAACTCCCTCTCCAATAACTCTTCCTCCTTCTCAATACCAACGATTAATCCTACAGTTGTTGCGGCGACGCTGCCTATCATCAGACCCACTCCTATCCTTCCCGCTTCACACGCCAGTAGGCCACTACTGAAGAACAAAGAGCCTTCGGCCAATAGGTTGAGGCAAGCGCCGGTGAGTATGAAAAGGAGTGCAAAGTAGCTTGGATGCCGGACAATGCAGTAGGGGCCGTGTTGGATTAATTTGTGGGCGGGATAGATGTGAAGGTTGAAGACGAAGAACGGGCCCATGACGTTGAAGCAATAAAGTCGAAGAGCGGAGAAAATGTGGATGACGGCAGAATGCTCAAAATCTCGAGGAGCGAGGCGGTTATGTAGATGTACTGTCGGGGAACTCAACAACGGAGGGATATACAAAAAGGAAGATAGGGTTACCTTGAAATAGTCGTACACCTCAATTCGTTTCAAGAGTAGCTCTGCGAACCAGGGTCGTCGTACTTTCTGCCGTGGAAGCTTGGACGGCTTCCGATTGGGGTCTGTCAATATTTTGTATACCAGCAGCGAGTTAGCCAGGAGGAAAGAGGTTTTTAGCAAGGGAGTATACATGGCCATGGAGAATGGTTCGACGCTGTGGAGCCGCTACCCTGTCACCCCATGCGCAGTCGTTTTTATACTTGTTAGGGTGTTCGATAGCTGATGATTGATCGAAGCGTTACTACATGTACGTCTATCCATCATACCGGGAAAGTTTATTGAGCAGCCACCCCAATGAACTACAGTATTCGCAGAATTTGAAACGATTGGTTCATCGGACCATGAGATGGGAGCGATTCATGCCTCCTGCAGTTGATTTCCCTGCCAATCGCCCGACCTTAGCTCAGTTGGAAGAGCGCAAGACTGTAATTGGTGAACCGAGGTCATCTTGATGTCGCCTGTTCGAGCCAGGCAGGTCGGAATGAAGGGATTTTTTTTTTCGATCGCGCCTCTCAAACCATGGTGCAATAGTTAGGGTGTCCAAGAACCGTCGAGCGTACCGTTACGAAGGTGTTTTCCAAGGATTTGACGGAAAAGACATTCACAATCGCTTTCTTTCTTCGCACCTGCATTGGAATGCCACTTGAATGAAACAACGCCAAATAAACAATGCGATCGCTCTACCTGCGGCGGGTATGGATAATGGCGTGGACGCTCAACACCACTCAATCGTCGAAGATGCTGGGGTCATGAAACGGTGGGTCTCGTGAATTATTCATCCTGTGTGGAGCTAACGGAGCGAAGATTAAAGTCGAAGTTGGTGAACGTGTGCAAATACGGCGTCAAACACCGCTTCCCTCGTGGCGAAACGTGGTTTGGAAGCTCACCCTCGGCACCAAGAGTTTAAGCGCAATTGAATCGCGCTTTCCGAGCGCTATGATCGTATATTCATCTCAATTGCTAGCACCTTGCTCTGGCTATACCTCGACCAGGAGAGGGCGAGAATAGCCCACCTAGTCGAGTTCGTACCGCGCTACACGGAACCCATCCCTTTTCTTATCCGACGTATCACAGACCTTTATCCTAACTACCGTAGCGTTCCCTGGATAGAGCATCGAGAGAGGAGTACCAGATGGGTGAAGGGCGGCTCGAAGGCACTAGCCACAAGCCCAGTAGGTCCTTGCAATCACACAGTCGATGTCAGCTAATCGCTCGTCCTAGAGGAAAATTTCCCAAATAAGGGGCGTTTCTTTCGTTTATCCGCCGTCGTTCTCAGCGCGGTAGGAAGGGTGATCTTGTGCGTCGCTCGAGCGCAGAGGAAATATTCGAACTACAAGCCCAAAACCCGCCAGGAAAGTATCGTATTCAATGTAATCCGAGCCTTCGCCTTGAAGGAGGCTGGGAGAACAAGAGCGCTACCGGCGAATTCAATAGACGGAAGGATCCCGAATACGGTGAATAGAGCTCGGTGCCTTTCAGATCCTTCAACTCGAGAAACTGACGGATGGACTTTGTTAGGTGCTCAAGCCTTCTGTCCCCCACATTTCGCCTTCTTAACGCTGTCACATCCCATCAATTACACCGAATATACCTAAGCCAGTGTTCGGAATCGCACGAGACGCTCGAGTCTTCTTCTCGCGTGGCATCTCACCATCCTTCGAATGTTCCAGGAACCCTCACAGCACTTCCCCAGAACACGGCATTGATATAGGGAGTTCGAGGTATGTGTATCGACATGTAATTGACGTTACTTCGAAAATGATATTATATCCACAGAATGTATCACACCTGGAGGATCATATGAGCCGATCGAAGCGTCCGTTGCAGGTTTGGTCTTGGGAGGTGAGCAGGTGCGGCCTATTTATCGGGTCGAGGGCTGGAAGGACGTCCTCGAGTTCGGACCCGCCACTTTCCATCCCCCATCTTCCCTATCGCACGTACCACTCGCAGAGCTCCATCGAGGAGATGGCTTTGAGCGAAGCAGAACTCGCAGCCCAAGCGCTGGCGATGGACAAAGCCGAGCAGGTTTACATGCTCATTTCGTTCTTTCTGGAGGTAAGTACCCTGGCGCGCTCGATAACGACTATCGCTCACATTTGATTGTTCTAGGCAGTCATCTACGGTGGGGTTGGGCGATTGTCTCCCAAGGCGTCGAAAGCTAATCACCGATATCTATTTCGTTAGGTGTATACGTGATTCTGTTCGTAGGAGCGGTGCACCTCATGCTAAGAGATGGATCGAAGGGAGGGCGGGGTGGAAAGGTACGTCCTCAATTAGTCGCATCGTGTGAGATGTCTAACTCGTTCATTGGTAGTTCTTCCTCTTCTCCATGTTCGTGATGTTCGCATTGACGACTGTGTACACTGGTACGTCTTTGGATTATTGGAGCCTCACCCGAACACTAATCCATTCCATAGCTATCAACGTGTATCGGTTCGTTCGTGCTTATGCACAGAACTTCGACAACACGATGTTGCCGGTGTACTACTTTCGGGACTTCACGGCTTGGGATAACTTTTCCTATGTCATTATCATCATCATACTCGTGCTTCACGCCGACGTTCTCGTTGTACGTCTCCCTCTAGTTATCAGACTTGTGTCCGTAGTCACCAGGCTCTACCTCCCACAGATTTATCGCTGCTTCGTCATTTGGGGAGGTAACTATTACGTGATCGCGGTACCGACTGTGCTATTACTGTTCAGTATCGGTACGTTCTGCGCTTCGTTCTACTGTTCAGTTCAAGGTTCTAACCCCTCAAACCTGGTAGCTATTAACGCGATCGCCATAACCTGGTTCAGCAACCCCGCCGCTATGGACCACGCGCTCGCCATCAAGTTCTTCATGATGATTTACCCGGTCAACCTCGCTCAGAACTGTCTGACGACGGGCCTGATTGCCTTCAAGATCTGGAAACAGCATCGGTTCTCCCAGAAGGCAGGACTGCGACAGTCGGGCGGACTTCCTCTGATGACTGTGGCTCGAATTATCATCGAGAGCGCTTCGATATATACCCTTCAGCAGCTCGTTCTTTTGGTACTGCATATGCTGAACCATAGAGCGCAAGTCATCATCCATGCGACGATGGTTCCTAGCGTTGGTGCGTGTGGTCCCCTTTTATATTGTATGAGCTGTAGCTGACGAATAATGCAGGCATTGTCTTCGTTCTCATCGCGATTCGCACTCATATCGCAAGGTCGGACGCTCCGAAAGCAACGCTCGTTGTTCCCTCGTATCTTCGAGGCGAAAGTCCAACCGATGAGCGTCCCTCGTCGAGCGTTGGCGTCTTGACGATGATCATGTCCGATTCCGACATCGAGCGCGGCTTCGACGCTGTTTGCGAGAAAGACTCCAAAGAGTCGTGTCAAGGTTCGGTTATAGACGACGAAAAATCGGCCATTACGCTCCGAAACAGTGTTCCTCCGTCACCTGTCTAAATGTCTCCCTTTTTCGACTTACAGCGCCTCTGATGTAGCCTTAGAATTTCGCTTTCGAGTTGTAGCATTTCCGGTGACTCGCACCACTCTTGTATTTCTAGTTTGTTTCTTTTCTTGTTGTATCTCGCACCCAATGTATCATAGTTTCTTCGTTCCTTTTCTTGGGATTGAATCGCACAGAAATGGTATCAGCGCGCTGCGCATAGATGTCCCATTACAGCACACACAGAGCGTCGGGACTCGGGGCGCTCTTCCTCACACAACCACTCAACGGGCGTCGGCATACACGTACCGCCACATGAAACGCCATCAGCTTTGAAAACAAACAACGCCAATCTCCACACGCCTTCGTTCTTTCAGCGTTTAGCTTTACTACGCCCTTCTCCTCATCGTTCCTGTCCAATGCTCAGTTACCTGGTCCGATTCCCACCTGCAGATGCATCGATACAGATCGCACAACCTGCGCCTATGCAACCCAGACTATCCAGTACCACGTCATCCAGGCGTCGCGGGACCGCAGAAAGACGAATATTTTGTTGCGAAGACTGTATATTCTGAATTTGAACGAGAAGATTAAACCTAATATTATGTTCCAAAAAACATGGCCATGTTTAATGTACGACGTCGTACCATCGTCCCCCGTGGGAAAATGATGTCATCGTACATTCATCGTACCATCGTACAAAAAAAGGTAATTTTTTCGGTAAATCGTACACTTCATCGTACCAATGTACGATGTTAGGGTCTCGAACATCCACCCACATCCACCCACAACCCACCAGCCTTGACCCACACTCCCCGCACAGTCTCACATGATCTCCCGCATGATCCCGCACATCCCCACACTCGCCATCACCTCTCCGCATCCCACATTCCCATATCTCCGCAACCCTTCCCTCCGCACTCCCACATGCTCCGCAGTCGATCCGCATGCGGAGTTTACGGGCGCTAGGCACTCCGCTCCGCATTTATGCGGAGCGCCGCCGGTACGACACGGCCCGCAACTGAGGGCCGGTGCGGACCGTGCGGAGAAACCTCGTAACCGCCCTCTAGGCGCCCAGACTCTGCATGTGACCTCTTATACTTCCTTATGACTCCCTTCCTTGCTTTGCTATTGTTCTTTGGAATCGTCTTACTCATCTTCTTCGCATTCCGCGGTATTCCGCATTTCTTATGACTCAGTTCTTTCTCTTGTCCCAGACTTATCCCAGAGTATATCCAGAGTATCTACAGATATATAAGCTAGCTAGATTTCTGTAGTAGATACTCATCCGGAATCTCGAATCAGACTTATACAGAACTTCCCCTCTGTCCAGTCTTGAGCCTTTAGGCTTGCTAGAGCTTTCCGCATACTCCGCATATCCGCACAGTGCTCCTGATTCCGCACCAGACCCTGTCATTCCCATGCATGAGAGTAGGAATATCCTGCCCAAACCCATGCATGGGATAGGACGTATCCAACCCAGGCCTTTGCCTAGGACCATGCATGGGATTCCAAACTGCTTTTTATAGCCATTCCGAGATCTGGAATACGATCTCACAGATCCATACACCTTCCCATCGGGATACTTGCCTTAAAATATTTTTTTTGAGTTGCTGTTAGGTAGGTTATTTTTAGAATGTCATCCGATTTATCAAGAAATGAATCCAACCTTAGAAAGCTTTGTTTTGACAAAAGATACAGTCTAAACAAATGAGAGGGAGGCTTATTTTCTCTGAAAGGAGACACCTTTGTTAAACAGAGGGAAAACATAGGTGAAAACCCTGTTTTTTCTTCCGAAAGCGCCTGCAACAGCTCAGAGAAGCGCCCATGGATATGTTTTAGGCCTGCCGAGAAAGCCGAGATCAACCACGCGCCGAGAACGGACAATGCCGAGAGCGATCAAAAATCCTGGTCGTAAAACATTCCGTTCCATTTACCCTCTTCCTGTGCTCGACAAATCACAAAAAAATGTTCACAATTCTCAGAATAATTGGTTTTGTAAGATGGTTGGTTGCATTTTTCGTTCTGTATGTCATATAGTAAAAATCAGACGAAGTCTTGAATGGCGTTGGTACTTGCCTATAATTTCCGCTAGTTTCTCTATTCTCAAGCATGGATCCATCATCCTCGTCGAGTTTCTCAGTCCATACTGCTCCGTTTGGCGTGATACTGGGCTTGAAACTTAGGGGGAATCGTACGCAGTTGTGCTACGTGCTAGCTGAAGCAGGTCACAGGGTATCTATCCCATTTGGTTCGCTTTTTCCGCAAATTTGACTGTCAGATTGTTCAGGTTGTAGCGCGAGCTGCATAGCGTTGTCGTGCTCGAGAGTCGGTGAGTACTTAGTACTCCATTCTCGCTTTTCTATGGATCAACTACTACGCATGTACCTATCCATCCTGCCCCGCTATTACAGATTCATTGTTTTTCTTTTATCCCTTTTCTAGTGCGGTGTTGCAATGAAAAACGATAATATTTTGGCATTCCCAACAACGCTTCAACGCGTAGAATAAATGTGCAAAATTCTAAGGTAATCGGACTAAAAACGAGCCCGTAATTTGGGTTGTAACATATCTAATAACATACATTCTATGACATCTCATTGACTTCCCATCTATTATTAGACACAGGGAAGCAGCTATCGACCGTCATTTAGGTACCTTCTCAGATGTCAAAGGCCGTCAACCTATGACAGCTGGCAGGAAGAAGCAGAAGCACACCTTTTTACATACGGAAGGGTACCAGGGTGAGTCCTTCTCCATGCATGGATTCCGGTAGGATGTATCCTATCCTCCATGTATGAATATGACAGGGTCGACTCGATTCCGCTCCGCAAGGCTCTCTCCTCTCTCTACTCGTCTTCCGCCGCAAGGCGCGTCTCTCTCTCCCTCTCCTCCCCTCTCCTTTCGGGTTGGACCATATACCACCAGCGTGGGCACAACGCAATACGTTGAGGCCAAGGTCCCTTCGACTCCGCAGACTCCGCAGTTCCGTAGAGTCTAACAGTAGATTCCGGATCCGCACGCTGTGGTATGCGCACCAGGAGCACTAACTACTCTATTGTGTCCCACGTCCGCAAACCCCTCCGGAGTTTCTACTCATCTC